AGCTCAACCAGCTCGACCAGCTCGACCAGCTCAACCAGCTCAACTAGCTCAACCAGCTCGACTAGCTCAACCACTTCGGCCAGCTCAGCAATCTCGGCCAGCGCAACGATATCTACCACGATAGCTACGTCAACCATATCCACAGCGACAAGCACATTAACCACATCGACAGCGACAGCTACATCAACCACATCAACCACATCAACCACATCAACCACATCGACGACAACGTACACGTCCATGACCAGCATAATCCCAACAACTACTTCTTCCACTACCATGACTACTGTCGTCTCAGCACAAAGCTCTTCTTCCACTACAAAAGCATCTACAACCCCGATAACAACAATGACACCCACAACGACGACTATGTCTTTTCTTACCACCACCGCTTCGAGCCAAGGAGCTTGTGCAACCAAGTTTGGACAGTGCGGAGGTGCCGGGTGGATTGGGCCCGCCTGCTGTCAGTTTGGCTGGTCATGTCAATTTGTAAACAACTTCTATTTCCAATGCCTGCAGCCAGCGACCACGACTACTGCTTACGCTGCTTGCGCCACCAACTATGGGCAGTGCGGTGGTTCCGCTTGGCTTGGCACAACTTGCTGCCAGGATGGTTGGTCATGCGTGACGCTGAACAGCCTTTATTTCCAGTGCCAGCCGTAATTGCCCCCCTTTCCTGACTTCTAGGGCATTCAACTGATGCAATCGGCCTTGTGCCATTTGCGGGATAATTGGAACTGAGCGTAATAACTGAAATGAAAACAGCGCCTTTTATCATATAGAAATAAGTATATAATTTATTCTAATGTTCTGTGTAAGCGGTGTTTTCTGACAGTGTTGAGCGATAGTACAGTACCTGAAACTCCTTTGGTTATAGGTCAAAGCAAAGGAACAGGAGCCGACAGATGTATGGAGTACGTAGGAGCATATAAGCCAGTGTAGCAGTCGGCAGAGTTACCCGATGCGCATAGCTAGCACCCTCAAAGTCGCGTACAAGTCCGATGCCCGACTATTGGGTTCTCTTATCTCTCTCGACGGATATCTTTTGTATGCCTAGGTCTGTAAGTAGGTCCCTTGCAAAATGTCGTCTGCACCGTCGTCTCCGGCACCTTTGGGAAATGGCATCAAGCGCCGAAGAGATGAACAGCGTATGACCGGGCCACGTAAACGAACGGTCGTTGCGTAGGTTATGCTTGCGTGTTGGCTGGATTACTACTGACAGTCGGATGAACTTTAGCTGCGATGTATGCCGACAGCAGAAAGAGAAATGCGAAGGAGGACCTCCCTGCAGAAGATGTACCCGTCTCCGAAAAAACTGCCGCTTCCATGGAATGCCGATGGACAGATCAAGATCCGGCGTATCCTCGACCATCCGAGAAGCCTCATCTCAGCTCAACGCTGAAAACACCCGAGATTCGCGTGTACAGGACCTAGAGTACATTGCGAGGGACTTTCTTGGTCTCCCCGACTCCGCCCACCTGGATGATTTCGAAATCCGGCAAGCCGTGGAGAAGATTGCCGACCCAGTTGGAAGCGGCGGACATGATGGTCACCAAGGGTTGCAAACTTCCGGACCAAATGTTGAAGAGGAGTCTTTCGACACTCGTTTCGTGTCCAAGGTTACGGCTCGTAAGACCGACTCTGTTCTATATTAGGCACAAGTCTGACTATCGATAGACTACTCCGGTGAATTCTCCCACTGGAACTTTTCACAAAAGCTTTGGCGGCGGGTGAGTCAACGACTAGAACGTTCAGGAGGCAATAACTTGGGCCAGCGGATTCAGGTCAAGGACTATTGGCGGCCAACGCAGTTGCAATCCCCAGTGAATATTGTCTTACAAACGATGGAGCATTTACCACCCTATCATGTTGCCCAATTTTTGGTGAAGCTGTTTTTCAAGCACGTTCAGCTGAACTACTTCTTCATTGAGGAAGATTGGATTTCAGCAAAATTGCAGCACAGCTACTCGGAGTCTCCAGAATTCTCGGCCAGTGATGTTTCCTGGGTCTGCAGCCTTTTTGCGGTTCTCGCCATCGGCACTCAAGTGGCCCACATCGAGTCTGAGTCTGCCACCATGGCAGAGGAGGGAGAAGACCTCACGATGTGCTCCGAGGACGACGTAGGCAAGCTCTTTTTCCACAGTGCCCATAGTCTTGTCCCGGATGTTATCGCTCTGGCTTCTCAAGAGAGCGTCCAGGCCTGCCTTCTCCTCGCCACATACGCCATGCCACTGTCAACTGGAGGGCTGTCCTACACCTACCTAGGACTTGCCATGGATATGATCATCTTGAATGGGATGCACCGGAAATACACAGGCAGTGGCTGTGATGCTAGGACCATTGAGACAAGGAACAGATTATTCTGGACTGCCTACAGTCTACAAACGTGAGTGCCGTGCTGCTGTCATATCCATCCTCCCAACTCAAGCGATACAGATACATTGGTGTAATGCACGGCCGTCCTGTATCTATCACAAAGTCCGACATTAATGTTGAACGGCCAGTCAACTTCCCTGGGCTTCGATCACCTAATTTCGGAAACTTAATCGCCTTTATCGAGTTCAATGATTGCTTGGCAGAATCAGCAAATGCTTTGTAAGTGTGCATCTGCCTCCCTGCCTCCCAATATTGTGACTGGACTCATTCTCTATCTCAGAAAACAATTCAAGAAATGTCCCAGATCTCTCGCTCTGGAGTACGCCGCGCGGTTGCTCCAGGTACGTGACCGGATCAAGCGTTGGTGGGACACGCAAGCATGCAGCAATATTGAACGCCAAAATGGAGACGTCACCCCCTCCTCACGCCGGGCAAATGCCCATCTCAAACTTTGTTATCTGCTCCTATATATCTACGTTGGACGACCTTTTCTTTTCTCGGACACACCCTCCCGAAGACCTCCTGCGACTGGGGGAAACCCAGCACTACATCAGCAATCGATAGGCATCACGGGGATATCAACTTTGGCAGATGAATGCGTACAGGCGGCCACTCAAATCATTGACCTCTTGCAATCTCTCTATGAAACCATCCGCCTATCACGAGCTTGCTATACAGAGTTTAGTTCCTGTCGAGCGGCTCTACTAGTACTCCTAGCCGAGTGGCTTCGGTCGGGGCAACGGAAAAGGGTTTCGATTGCTCTTGACCGTGGCATGGATCTTATCCAGCAAATGATTGGGGGAAACTCGAACAAGTCTGAGGTGTCTTTGATCGAGTACCTTGAACGTGCCATAAAACACATCTCGGCGTCTCTTCCATCGGAAGACAGACTCAACAACCATCATCCAGCTGATCGAGAGCTACAGAGCGCGTACTCAAGCTTTAAAACTTGGGCACTAACGAGGAGGGCAGAAAACGTGCCTCAAAGCAACCCACCTCCTTCTTCGCTCGGTCCCCATCCCATCAGCCCGTCAAGGTCACAATATGGTTTAGTTGATGCTGCGGATTTATTCAACACCTCCTGGTCTTTCAGCGACGACGACGGCAGTCTCGATCCTTTTCTCCTCCCACTTATTCCCAGTCACGACTAGTTCGGATCTCATTTGTTCAGCATAAAGTGCTTGCCTACTCGCCACGCACCTCTGCATGAGACCGGCCCTACCCAAAAATGAGATATTTGGCACGTTTAGACCAGGACGCGTGAGGAATTTCCACGTGCGATTTGTTTCGCAATTCTTCCTCCTTCAAGCGATCTTCCTCGTCGAAAGCCATACCCTCACCAAAGGACATTTCTTCTGGCTTGACAATTCTGGTTTTGAACCAAATCTGGCGATACTTCAGTCACGGTTATCACGCTTTGCAGGATCGGAATCTTACCTTATACACAAAATAGTCGAAAAAGAATAGCGGTGCAGCTAGATAAGAGGAGAAGAAGGTTTTGGCGGAGCCCTTCTCTCCAAATGGCCAACAGGAGAGGTAAAACTCGCAGCCGAAGATAAACAACACGATCACAAGACCAAGGTACTGAGCATATGGAGTTCCAAATCCTCTGAAGGGTAACTTCTTGAGATCGTAGCCTTGAGCGCGGAGACCAATGCGGAAGCGAAGATGAGTGATGTAGATACACCCTAGCTGGAACAGAGTTGCAATTGCTGTCTGCGATTTCTTTTCAATGCACAATCGGCAGGAGGTGTTTGGGGGCTTACCAGGGCAGAAAACCAGCTGTATACCTGAACCCCTACGCTGGCGCAGTTAAGGTAGGTCAACCCCCCACCTATGCCGATACTGATGACCAACGCAACCCACGGGCGACCCTTGGAATCTTTGAGGCCAAAGACACTATGGAGGAGACCTTCGTCTGCCAATGCCGCCAGACTTCGGCTAGCAATATAACCAGCACTAACACCGCAGCTGATCACACTGAGAAAAATAAAGCCGTTGATCAAATGCGCAAACCACATGGCGTCAGCCCGTTTCATTGCTATCACAAATGGACTGCCCAGGGTGCCACTGGCATTGACCAAATCGTTGTCGTCGTATGGTACGCACATACCGACAAGCCAGATATTCAAGACGAAGAACGTAAACATACGCCAAAAGACTGGTCGAACTGTCTTCTGAAGCGTGCGGCGCGGATCGACCGCCTCCCCAGCGATGACAGCAATGTGTTCACCACCGCCGAAGCTGAAAGCCGCCTGGACAAAGGCCTTGGAGATACCTTTCATCCCGTTGATAAATGCACCTGGATTCCTCCAATAGGTGAACTCGATTGGGCCGTGTGTAGCGGGTATGCCACCAGAGGTCATGATGAAGAGAAAAATAATGACGGCAATGATAGCAGTGCATTTGGCGAAGGACATGCAATATTCAATATAGCCATATATCCGGACGTGGAAGACATTGGCGACCGCGATTGTGACGAGGAAGATTGTGATGTACGCAGCCAGCGGGACGACATCGCTGGACGGCCAAAACTTCATCACAGATATGGCTGCGGTTATTTCGGCCGGAATAATCATCACCCACTTGACGCTGCTAGTCAGCCTGATCTCCTCGTACTTCTTTCACAGTTGTTGGCCTTACTGCGAACCAGAAGTTGATCCCTAGGGCAAATCCAAAAGCTGGATCGACATACTGAGCCGCCTGTCGGATGAAGCCACCGTGCACAGGCTTGTAGGTGGTCATTTCTCCGATGGAACAGTATTGAACATAGACAATAAATCTGCGATGTCGTATCATGTCAGTATGCACCGGAGACACCAGGCCAATGAGAACAGTGTCTTACGCGAAAACGGTGTACACAATGGCAATGCCGCCCGGACCAGCTAGTCAGACATTGTCAGCAAGGTATTCACTTGGTATCTTCCCTCAATGTCACCAGACACCAAATGCTTGCAATACTGGCTCTCGGGGTCCTGCAACGTACCGTATTTCAGCGCCTGTCCCGTGCCCACCCATAGACCAGTGCCGATGCCGCAACCAAATGTCATCATCATAATCTGTCGTCTTCCTAACGCACGATGATATCCAGCTGTGTCGACCGAATGTGCAATGATGACACCATTCTCAACATCGTCTGGACTGGACTTGGTCTCAGTCGTAGCATGTTTTTCGGCAGTGAAAATCTCCTGGGCCGCAAAGACTCGGGCGTTGGTCGCAGTCGAGTAAGCATCCTGACCTATCTCAGGTGGAAGCATTTCTACTTTTGTCACGAGTCCTTCTTCTGGAGTTTATGCCGTGAAGTTTTACACCGATGTAGACAGTCAATCAAAAAGACCAGGGGTCAGTAGGTAACGGTGCATACCGCAAAGCAGCTGACTCTTAAGTTATATAGATCTAGAGACTCAGCAGCACCCCCAGTCGAGGCCCAATGATGCAGCAAAGATAACGCTTTATCTAGGCGCATTTCAAGGTCTCCCTAGATTTCTACTTACTGCCCCATTGCACTTGGAGTCCTAAGGGAGATCAACCGACGACCTTGCCGGTGTATATACCCGGCTGCATTGGCCGGCGTGGTCCGGCGGAAGTGAGGGAGTTTTCCGCCGTGGAGACCGGCAGGCCTACCGGGACCGGACAACACCGGTTCTTACACCTCCTGCATCAATGCAATGAGCACCTACAATTCAGCCTAGCCGACTTATGCTGGAGCAGCAATTACCACTGCTTTTGAAGCCTCGATTCCTCAATTGAAAGCATTCACAATAACACACTTGCTAAATCTGGCTTCACAAAAGTACAAAAAAGCGCGACTCACGGCATGTCTTCTCGATCCAAGAACGTTGTGTTTGACGTGGTCGGGACGCTTGTTTCGTACGATGCCGTCGTTGACGCCGTGGACAAGCAACTGGGCGCACGCCTGCAGTCAAAAGGAATTCAGCCACGAATGTTTGTCTGTCTCTGGATGGAAACGACCGAACGCGAGTACACATACCTTAGCATATCTGGAAAGTACGTTGCGTTCAGCGAAGTGTTCAAAGAGATATTCTGGCGAATTCTATGGATGGGCGGTATTCAAGAGCCTCGTGCGTTCGCCTCCTCGGAAGATCTTGCTGCCATTCTCGCTGCACACCAAAAGCTCCAAATGCGCCCCGGCGCAGTAGAGTGCCTGAAAAAGCTACGGAATGCTGGCTTTACTATTTGGGCATTGACTGCCGGTGACTTGAGGCGCGTTGGAGGTTATTTCTCACAGGCAGGTGTGGAGATACATCCAGACAACTTGATATCCTGCGACTCTACGGGGATTGGAAAGCCGGACCCAGTAGCGTATCGGCCCCTGTTGGACAAGCTAGTCGAGGAGAATGACGGGAAGAAACCATGGTTTGCAGCCGCGCATATGTGGGATGTCTCAGCGGCCAGAAGAACTGGGTGAGCCTGTCCAGAGTCCTTTGCTGAATATATTCAATTTCCTATGTCTTCGGATCTGACTTCGTCTCTGCCGAACCAGTTTTGCAGGTGCATATTGTACGGTGTGGGAGAAGGAACCTCTTGTTCATCTATTTGGAAATATGGAGGTGATAGAGGATACATTGCCAAAAATGGCGGATCAAATTATTGCAAGCACGAACTGAGGTTCTGCCATGGACTCATAGCGGTGATACGAGAGAAGCTTGCCTGAGCTCGGAGCTGCACTAGTTAGTTGCCGCATTATTCGGTGATTCGTGCCTGGCTACCAATGCTAAGAAGAACAAGAATCCGCTGACTCGTTCGTCTACGATGCTGCCGATCAATCATCCTCCTGATTACTACTGCTAACGAGAGATAAAGTACATGCTGAATTCCTATCATGCTGACATCTTCTTCGTAGTGCTAGCCTGGTGCAGGAGCCAGGCGTGTTTTAGAAACACCACTTCATATGGTTAGTCGAGGAGTCGACCTGAATTCTTTCTTATCACTCTGCATACGCGGCCGCCGGCACGCCAAACGCCATGATGTCCGTTGCGATACTATGCCACCCTCAGGAGGCCAGAAACCGAGCATAGATAAAAGTGGCTCTGTGAATTTTCACCTCCACCAGGAGCAGAATCCTCGGCCTCTTCCGCCGGGAGTGTAATAGAGGAAAGAGATTTCCATCCCTCATCAAGGTGCACGATTGACCTAGAAAATCGGTAGTATGTAGACTCACTGGTCATCCATGAAGAATGTTCACGGTATTTCTTCAACAAAATTCCGTTGTTCTTGATCAAGAGGCTGTCTGAAAACAAGCCGCCTGGTGAGATGTTTATTCCTTTGCCAAACGGCACAACCTCGTTCTGGAGGACTGAGCCTGATGAGCTTGACAACCATCGTTCAAGCAAATCGCTTCCAGATTCCTGTGATATTGTCGTGATTGGTGCTGGATATGCTGGAGTCTCTGTTGTTCATCATATCCTCGGCAGAGGTAATGGCAAAGCCACACCGTCGATTTTGATACTCGAAGCACGGCAAGCGTGTTCCGGAGCTACTGGTCGAAACGGTAAATCGTACTCCTTTCATTGTTGATGAAAAAAAGACTAACCTGTACAGGTGGCCACATGAAGCCAGATCCATACAACTCGATCAGCAGGTTGGCTGGTGAGCACGGCATTGAAGCTGCTTCCGAGGTCGCCGAGTTCGAGGCTAGACATGTGACTGCCATTAAAGACCTGATCGATCATGAAGGCATCAAATGCGACTATGTACTCACTAAGGCTATGGATGTACAACTCAGCGCGGATCACTGCAAAGCTATGAAAGCCCAGTACGATCGCCTCACTGATGGTGGCTGTCGACCCACCCAGGAGACTGAGTACGTCGAAAAGAAAGATGCGTAGCAGGTACAAATGTCATACTCCCCCTCTGAAGGCAAGCGTGGCTGACACGGTATGATATAAGCGTTCAAGTGTTATTGGGGCACAAGGATGTTTCGTCTATGCTGCAGGGCATATGTGGCCTTACAAGTTCGTGCTACATCTTTTAAGGCGGGCTCTCGACAGTGGTCATGTCAATCTCCAAACTCACACACCCGTCACCAGCGTGGTAAGGAGTATGAAGAATCATGGTTCTCACCCATGGATCGTGACAACGCCGCGTGGGTCGGCGGCTGCTAGGAAGATCGTCTACGCTACCAACGGTTATACACCTTCGCTACTCCCACAATTTGCAGATGTCATAGTCCCTGTCCGAGGAACATGCAGTCGAATTGTTGTCCCGAAGCATTCTACCGCTCCCCGGCTCAACAATACCTATACCATTTGCTGGAACAGCTGGGACTACGACTACCTGGTGCCGCGGGGCGATGGCAGCATCATAGTGGGAGGAGCGCGTTCATCGTTCGTGCACCAAATAGGAGATTGGTACAATATAATTGATGATGGGCACGTATTGGAGTCTGCCGCTAAGTACTTTGAGAATTAAATGCAGAGGACATTCCGCGGATGGGAGGACAGTGGTGCGTACACCGACCGTGTGTGGACTGGTAGTATGTTGATCCCTTTTGAACCTGCCCTTCCTCGTCCATTGTCCTTCCTCGCTACCTAACTCCAGTCACTGCTGAAACCATGCTAACAATGGAGCAAGTAATGGGATATTCCATGGACGGTTTGCCTCATGTTGGAGTTGTGCCAGGTACCGAAGGCCAATTCATGATAGCTGGCTTCACCGGCCACGGAATGCCACAAATATTGTTGGCTGCTGAAGGTTTAGTAGAGATGATAGTGGATGACGTGTCGTTCGAACATACAAAATTACCACGGTTCTTCAAGGCAAAGGCACAGAGGCTGCTCCGAAGGCAGGAGAACAGGCATTTGGACGCTTTAACCATTGATTCGTATCAGTCTGAGGCTCGAGCCCGTTTATAGTTTTATCCACATATCGCTTACTAGTGTCATCAACGAACAGATTGCCCCTTGGAGGAGGTATACTACGAATATTTTGTCCAACAATGTCATAACTGTAAAATTGTGATCTTTCCGAGGACCTCACCATAATATTGAGTGAAGAACAAGCGCCAATAGATCCCTTTGCTGCGTTCGAGGTTGTCCTATTGATTCCAACTTTTGCTAATGCTTACTTCCATGTGGAGTTATTCTAACAATCGAAACGGAGCGTGTACTCTTTGCCACTTTGTCAGGTCAGTAGATCTATTCAGCTCGTCTAGTAGCCATTCGCTAGAGCATCTAACCGACGGTCGCATCAGATGAGACTGAAGTTACCACCCAGTACGTTGCGACCTATGGTCAACACAAGCCAAGGTAAGCTCTTTCCCAAAGTTCAGATTCATGTCGGCTCCACTGGTACTGTGGCCTCTTGGGTTGAATAATATACTCCCTTCCGCCTGCTGATTGACAGCATCAACTTTAGTCGGAGTCGGTTCGAGGGTTTCAGATGACTGGGCATTGCTGTAGTCAAATGGGACCGAAAAGTTGGCACGGCTGAACCTAATATGGGTATCAAACCCCAGGTAGTTGCACTTAGAACAATATCGATCGAATCTTAATGTCCGAGGGTCTGCTTGCTCAACTCGGTATCACGGCGATAAGGCTGCTGCAGAGAGAGGACTTTGTGGACAGTGACCACAAGACGACAAAGAGTGAGGGATGGATAGCATAACATCTGCTGGGAATTTATCATTCACAAACTTTGATCTGGACTAGTTACCTGTATCTAGTCGCCCTTGACCTTTAACCTAGTTAGGGAATGCCTCAACATCATGCACCGGATCTCGGACACGCCACGAGGAGTGTGCGAGACGGAAGGGTAGCTGGGGAATTTTCCAAACCTTTTCAAGTCGAAGCAAAGCTCCTTGACCGTTGGAATTTTTCGATCTCTCTACCAAACTTACAATTGTTAAGATACCGACGTCAGGTTGGATGGAGTGCGGGCTACCACCTGGTAAGACTCCAGTGCTGGTACCTTTGGCCGGGGAGGAATGTCTGGCGCCTTTTCTCCAGCATATGAGGGTTCTATTCTGTTTTCATTCACATGCTTCTATGATTATTCGCTCCGTTACTCGCAAATAAACCCTATCAATGGCTACATGTCGAACTACCCCACTCCTAACCACTATATTATCTGTCCACGGACATGTTTTGGTCTCCAAGGCTCAAAGTCTCTAGCCATTGAAGCAGACACTCTTTCTTCCTTTATTAAGATCCGGCAAGCTTTACTGCGTTGAGCAGAATATTAAAATTTTGGATGTCTCAACTTCCACAAATGATGATTGCTTGATCTGTGACGATCTGGAGTCGTCGGGAGCAGTTGTCACGCAATATCACGCAATGTCCGCCTCAACCTTGCAACTCTTGAATTTCTCGAGCCATTAGCCATGCGCCAAGGCACAACTCCTACTCATATGCGATCCCGACTGTCCTGCGGGCTGCTTAGTAGCACATTAGAACACTTCTGATTTGCAAGATAAGACGCCAAGGGGTTTATCAACACCTTACCTTGAGGCCGAGACACAGGTGGAACACAGCACCCCGGCGTCCAGCAATATGCAAATAGAGCATGCTAATGTCGTGAGAATTTATCTCTCACAGCATCTCAATGTCGCAATTTCGGCCAAGATACGCGAGAGAGGACGGCCAAAAGCTGCTAACGACAGTTGACAAAAATGCCATCGCAATAAGCGACTTGCCAGGGTATTTATATTACTGGAATTGACCCCCCCAGTACTCCCATCCTGGTCTGTTATACTCTCCTAATCCATCACACTTTATTCGTTGCGCTCTTGGTGTCAAGATGGCGACAGTTCTTGTCAAGTCGGCGCCGACACCAAAGGCTGAAGTCATTGTCACCAATGAACCCTTGCTCGACACGCCACCGGGTTCTGAGGTTAAAATTGCTACGGAAGTGATTCAAAGCCTGAATCTAGGCGAACCTCATGAAGAAAAGAAGTTTTGGTGGCAAAGACGTCGTGGCTATAACGCTGATGCTATCGCGACACAGCCTTCGGTCTTCGACGATCCCGATACTGCCAAACATTATCAGCCGCGGCCTGACTGGGAAAACCTCCATCGGTTTGACCCTTCTGCGAGATGGACTTGGAAAGAGGAGTATAGCTTGGTCCGAAAGATAGACCTGAAGATCATGTTCTTTGCCTGCATCATGTTCATGGCCCTCGAGCTTGATAGAGCCAACATCAGTCAAGCCCTTACCGACGATTTCCTACCTGAGCTCCACATGAACACAAATGGTTTGAGCTTTGAGGCCCCTTCTATATCCGCTGCTAATGATGGGTAGACTATAACTGGGGCAATACTGTTTTCAAGCTGTCCTTTCTCTCTGCGGAGCTTCCGTCCCAACTGGTGTCGAAATGGCTCGGGCCAGATCGGTGGATTCCAACTCAGATGGTGCTGTGGTCCATAGTGGCTAGTGCACAGTTCTGGCTATCTGGACGAAGCAGTTTCCTAGTATGCAGATCCCTCCTTGGGCTGTTACAAGGAGGTTTTATTCCAGACGTGAGTATCTGACTAAGATGCCCTGAAGCTACTAACTTGGAGTAGATGATCCTTTACTTGTCCTACTTCTACAAACATGGCGAGCTCTCTCTCCGCCTGGGGTTCTGGTGGACAGCTATGTCAATTGCCGACATCATTGCAGGATTCTTGGGCTTCGGACTGCTCCATCTCCGAGGACACCTGGGGTACTCCGGCTGGAGATGGCTGTTCCTTATCGAGGTAGGTTCTAACTCTTTGTTGTCCAGCTTTTGCTGACAAGTTTATGTAAAGGGGATCTTTACACTCGTGATAGGGTTGATAGCCTTCATCTTAATGCCGCCAGGCCCCTGTCAAACGGCAAACTGGGCTAGGGGCAAGAATGGTTGGTTCACTCCGCGGTAGGGACAACAATATTCGTATTACGGATCCAAGCTGATGAATCCCTAGTGAGGAAACTATCATGGTCAACAGAATCGTTCGCGAGGATCCAAGCAAAAGTTCAATGCACAATCGACAGCCTATAACTCCAAAGCTGCTATGGCAAAGCATTTCTGACTACGACCTGTGGCCCATTTATCTCCTTGGTCTCAATTTTCAGACACCCATGAGTAGGTCTTTTGGCCTTGGATTGGATACTATGATACTCACGTAATTGTAGCTCCTCCGCAACAGTACCTGACCTTGACATTGAGAGGTCTAGGCTTCGACACCTTTAAGACAAATCTACTGTCGATACCGAACTATGTTGGCCACATCATCACGATGCTGACCTTCACATACCTTTCTGAGGTTGTGGGCCAGCTTTGGATATTTGGTCTGCTTGCTCAATTATGGGCTCTGCCATTTCTCTCCTACCTTTATGCCGTGAATATCAACTCGATTGACAAGTGGGCGGCTTTTGGTATCATGACGACTCTCCTAGCCTATCCTAGCGTCCACGCCATCCAGGTGGGATGGAGCTCTCGAAACTCAAATTCGGTCAGGTCCAGGACGGTGAGTGCAGCACTGTACAACATGGCATGCCAGTCTTCCGGCATCATCGCTAGCAACATTTACCGCCAAGGTAAGGATAAACATTTCGTTGACAACTGAATAGCTCGTTGACAGAGTCCTCCAGATGACAGGCCCCGTTATCGTCGCGGGAATCGGACACTTGTGGCCCTGTGTGTTACAAATGTATTCCTATACGGGTTCGCTAAAGTATACTACACATTGCGCAATCGACACCGTGACCGAATCTGGAATAGTATGACTGAAGAGGAACGTTCGAGCTATCTGGCTACAACCACCGACAAGGGCAACAAACGCTTGGATTTCCGTTTTGCTACATAGGCATTTTGTGTGGTGGGACGCATTGAACTTGTGAGGGTTGGTGTTTGTAAGATCTTCCTGAGTCCGAACAGGTATACCTGGACAATATCTCGTGTCTGACCCAGGAAGAAGCTGTATCGTCGGGTAGAAGGTGCTGAGATAGAAATGGCAGAAGCGAAGTAGATCGATAGGAACGTAGAAGTTCGAATTTCGGTTCCAGTGTCCCAACTCTGGTAATAACGACACCTCTCATGTCGGATACTTTAATTACACGGGTTTTGGACGACAACTAAACAATAACATTGCCACAGATGGATCGGTGCGTCTAGTACCTCCATAGTCAGCACATGCAAAACTCGGCCCCCTCCGCAATTCTAACGGCCCTGGTAGTCACCCGCATTTTTCGCTTGGTACAGAGAGGTGCATGAACGGGCTTCCCCCACCACCCCCTTCGGAGGCTTCTCCGGTCGCTCATACAATTCCATATTATTTTATTCGTTGACAACGCTGCCATCTCGCATGTTTTCAGAAAGCTACATGAGCAATCCGATTCTACTGCTCAATAAGTATAGGCGCTCATGTTGAATAAAAATCATTTGTAAAGTGGTTGTAGAATAATGTATAAACAGTGGGAGTTGACCAGGGGTTTGGGAGTGCCAGTCCCAAGTCCGTTCAATCTACTCTCTTGTATCAAATTGCTCCGCTTCTTTGACTTTGCTAGTGATGCAGGTAGACCCCCGCGTCAAGAATTGATCGTTCTTGTTGTCGGACTTGGCACAGATGTTGCAATGAGGGACGGTAGTGATGCGATACAAATGAACAAATGGACTTAAGTTGAGCGTGATTGGTTCTTGGTAATCATTCAACCCTCTAATACATCGATACCTAGACACCATTGCGCAATGATCACGATGATGATGTGCTTTTGATTTGCAACGAATCTAGTTCGTAGTCATCAAGCACACGGCCTCTTGCCGTATGCCAGCGGCCTGTTCTAAACAGTTCGTCCGATGCCACGAATCGTCTTAAGCACTGTCGAACCCACCAGTTGAAGCCACAAATTGGCGAGCCAGGTTGTCGAGAAGCATTTCGTGCTCGAGCCATGAATGATAACATCTAAGAGGAGCCAATAGATGATATTGTAAATGAGCAAGAGAGCCTCAATATTATGAAGTCAGCACTATTGAGACCCAGAAATCTCGACATCTCGGAAGAACGGCATCGCTGTTATCTGACAGCCTCAGGTAGCTGGCGACCTATAAGAGGGGGTCGTCGGTCAAGGGGGTAAGAATGTTGTCTTTCCTGTCCAGCATCGAGTATTTACGAATCCCTTGATTAACTTTGATCTTTTGCCACTGAAGCACTTCTTCCATTTAACATGGCTCCTCCAGCTGCCGATATTGACCTTGCTTCCAACCAGGCTAGCACTATCCCCGTGCCGGTTAACAAAGGACCACAGTCAAGTCTACTCAAAGAGCCTTTGAAATATTCTGGCTCTCTCGATAAATACAAGTCCTTCGATGTTACCAATGTTATTGGCAGAGAGTTTCCAGAACTGCAACTCAGCGGGATCCTGCACGACGACAACCAAATTCGGGACTTGGCCATAACCGGTTTGCGTTCTTTCCTGTTTTAAATGACATAAAGTGGTAACAGCTGCCAGTCTCTCAGCGAGGTGTAGTGTTCTTCCGTAACCAGAACCTCAATATCGACGACCAAAAGATTCTTGGTCAGAAGCTGGGAGAGCTTACTGGAAAGCCTGCTACATCGAAGGTATGTTGCAGCGTTGCAGTACTATTAGACTGCAATCCTGACAAGTGGACCAGCTTCATCGTCACGCTCTCTCGAATAGCAAGCGAGGCATCGCAGTTGACGAAAATGGCAAGCTTGATGATGAAGTCTCTGTCATCTCTTCGGAGGTACGTCGATTTGAAACTGAATGAAGAGTTGTCGATCTTTCTTTTGTGCTGACTTGATTTATAATGTAGCAAAACCGCAAGTTCTACAAGGATCGCTACCCTGCAGAATCCAAGAAATTGGCTAGCGAAGGATGGCATGCCGAGTAGGTTCCGAGTATTATTCACTCTGCAGCCAGGTACTCACAAAATTGGCCAGTATCACCTTCGAGCGGATCCCCTCTGATTATGCAATCCTCAAAATTATAAGCAAGCCTGAGGATGCCGGTGGTGATACCTTGTGGGCTTCAGGTTATGAGCTTTACGATCGACTGTCACCAGCTATTCAAAAACTAGCAGAATCCTTGACTGCCACTCATTATCAGCCGGCATTCAACGAGGTTGCGAAGAAGTTTGGAGAAGAACTAATTGACCAGGACCGTGGAGCTCCAGAAAACACCGGCCTTGACTTCACCGCTTCGCAGTAAGAGAAACTCGCCTATTTCGCAATTCGCACCAGAGGAATTGAAGCTAATGTGACTTTTCATTCCAGCCCGGTAGTACGTACAAATCCAGTTACAGGCTGGAAGAGTCTCTTCGGAGCCGGCCATCAGGTTGCGGCAGGTTGGATTGACAACGTCACACCCAGAGAAAGCGAGATCCTGAAGGATTACTTCTTGCAGTTGATCACGGACAACCATGATCTGCAGGTGCGCTTCCGATGGAATGAGAATGATCTTGCCATCTGGGACAATCGTTCCGTGTTCCACACAGCAACCAATGACTATACCGGCAAGCGTCAAGGCAACCGTGTTGTTTCCCTCGGAGAGAAGCCTTACTTCGATCCTAACTCGGTCTCGCGTCGTGAGGCACTTCGCGCCGCGGCCTAGGCTTCCTCTCAGACGCTGGGGTGGACGAGACTAGCAACTCATTATTCAAAGAAGATCAATTGTTACGCAGGAAGAGGCTAGATAGGTTGGCATCCGCATCACAGCCACCACGAGCATTGAAGATAATCAATCAGATAATCAATCTTTTATAACTGTGACTACGCTCAATGGGATTGGACCTCCTGGGCATTAGGCTGTTGGTTCCATTAATCCTTCTCTAGCGTGAGATAAGCTGATCGCCTGTCTCATCGAGAGTCAGCTGGAATCAAAATCACTGCGCCAATTCTGCGCGGAAGTCAATATTTGTGTTACCTGATTGAAATTCCTACTCCATTATATCTTGCGAGCATCGATAGTGAATCCCAAGACAACCCCAACCACAGCAAATCCCAACGAAACACCTGTTCCCGTTAGACTTTGAAGAATCGACAAAGGTGGATTGGCTTGCCATAACCTGCCGTGAGGCTGTTGAAATAGTCCCGGAGGACAATGTTCTTGATGTAGTCGGGAAAGGTCCAGATGAGTTGAATATTGGAGGTTACTTTCTTGATTACCTGTTCCACTGTTATTACATGTCATAGTATTGGTACAACGCGACACTAATAGAGTCCTACCTCAGCTTTATCGTTCACCCCATCTAGATCTCGAGCAAGACTCGATTGGAGATGTTGTTGCAGAACAGCGGTGGCGCTTTGAATACCCACCAGAAGGAAGATGTTCTGTATGAGATAAAGAACGGTTCCAGCGATGGCAATCTCGGATTGGTCGAGGCTTGCCGCAAGATGGACGAAGCTGGTTGACTGAATGACACCTGAACCGAACCCACCAAGAAAGAAATAAGTCAGCTCTATCCAGTGCGTCGTACCGTGCCATCGAAGCAGAATTAATAAATATCCCAACGACGCCGCTGTACTTGCAAAGATAGTGAAAGGTTTATAGCGGCCAGTGGCCTGGATAATAACACCAGAAATCAACCCGCCCACTGCATTACCGATCACGGCAGGCACAAGTCGCAAGCCTGCAGCAGAGACGGAGTATCCAGCAAGCTGAAAATATACCGGTACTAGGTAGAACATGGAGAATTGAGCGGCGATCTGAGCCCCAGCGACCAGATATGATGTGATAACTGCTCTTTTGGCCAGTAGGCCTAACGGCAAAATGGGTTCAGCGACGAGAGAGTACTCGATCGCCACAAAACTGGCCGAGAGCACCCCAAAAGATAACCCCGCGGCTAGGGAATACTGCCATGCCATTCTGTCAGTGGTTGTCTGCAGCAGAAGTAGGAACGAGCATATGGCACCGGCCAGAGTGATGGCGCCAAAGGCGTCGACTCTCCGAATTTTGTGAGAGAACGACTGGCTGAGTATTTTGCCGGTTTGGTTCGACTTATGAGGAAGTTTCAACATGATAAGAAGCAGCCCAGCGAGAGTGAGTGGGCACTGTCCATAGAAGGCCCATCTCCAGCCGACCGTCTCAGTCAGCCATCCACCGACAGGACCGCCCAGAGAGCGTCCCGTAGTGGCAGCAACGTTAACATAACTTCTCCAGGCTGCGACATCGCGAACAGGAACCATGTCTGATATTGTGAGCGGAATTGGTACGCAAATGGCCCAGTTGCTTGCTTCTTACCAGCTATAATGACAGACACCAGTGCTGTCATTCCAGCTCCCCCAATCCCCGAGATGGCTCGACCAGCAAGGATATGCCAATATTGCTGTGCAGCACCACTGCATGACGGTCTCACATATCAGGATTGTGGATCAAGTCTCAAGACTGAAGAGGTGTGGGAACATACCAGAGAAAGCATCCCGCCGTGAAGAAGACATAAGCAACGATCAAGTTTGCCTTGCGACCGAAAATGTCGCTTAGCTTACCGTACTAGCATTAGGTACAGATCAGCGACTGGTGACTACGGGGTGGAAAGCCAACCTACCAGCGGCTGACTAGCACAGACGCCCAATGTGAAGCTCATAATCAGCCATGATGCTTTGTCTAGTTGGTGAAACTCCGATGAGATGTACTGGCTTGAAGCCACGACGAGCGATCCATCCGCGTTGGCGACAAAGACACCTTGGGAATAAGCAGGTGGCTTTACCGAGGTGAGGACAGAGGTCCCACTTACCCAGGAGGGACACAGGAACGACAGTCCAAATTGCGACTGCTGACGACGGCTCTTCGGTCGCAGGGTAGTTTTCGTGGTAGGGTGGAAGATTTGTGGATGAAAGTCGACGAATTGAGTGACCGTCATAGTCGTCGTCGTGTGCTGATTCAGGATCTACCGCCGAAGCCGAAGACGAGTCGTGGGAACCCTCATCATTAGGCTGAAGCAAGCGGCTTCTTTCGTTTGGTAACTGCTCACCCGACATTCTCAATTCAGTATTGAATGCAGAGTGTGGGCAGAGAGTTCTTAAGAGCTTTTTCCTGCATCGCACGGTACAAATTTACATTTGGGAGTCACGTCGAGATCGAGCTTCCGGCCGGACCCACCCCCATTGGCGAGAGATAACACCGCAGATCCTTAAGACATGATGCCAGCCACTTAAAGAATTGCGTGATCGCGAACATCCCGAAACTTTACACCAACTTCCTGCCAGTGACAGGCCTAAGATTTCTCAGCCACACCAACTGTCTGAGCTTCCAGACACTGGCACAGGACAACTTAGCCTTGCTACACAATCCAGGGAGTGGAATTCTTGGTACATTCCCCTACTCTCCAGCTTCATGCAAGGTATACATGATGTTGTGGCACCTGGTCGTCGCTGTTATCTGTCACGGAGTCGGAGGCCTAGCAGCGTCGACTTCCAATGCGCAGCTACCTCTTCACGGCATCGGCAAAACAGACAACAAGCCAAATATTGTTTTCATTCTGACAGATGATCAAGATGTACGGTTGGAATCCATGGCATACATGCCGCACCTTCAGTCCCACTTGATCAACCAAGGGACGATCTTTACGCGTCATTATTGCACGGTCGCACTGTGCTGTCCATCCAGGGTAAACCTGTGGACTGGAAAGGCCGCTCATAACACAAACGTGACGGATGTGAACCCTCCATATGGTGAGCATATGTGGTCATAATTGATCTCTCGTTGAGGATCGCGCTAAACATTTTGAAGGTGGATATCCAAAGTTCGTCAGCCAGGGACTCAACGATGCATGGCTCCCCGTGTGGCTGCAGGAGGCAGGCTACAATACCTATTACACTGGAAAATTGTTCAATAGTCACACAGTTAGCAACTATGATTCGCCATTTCCAGCTGGATTCACAGGATCAGACTTTCTTCTTGACCCTCACACTTACGAGTACCTGAACGCCACAACCCAACGAGATCGAGACCCTCCAGTCAGTCACGAAGGAGAATACTCGACAGATGTCATTGCCAACAAAGCCTATGGTTTCCTCGACGACGCCGCTGCGTCAGACAAACCCTTCTTCCTGGCAATAGCGCCCATTGCTCCGCACAGTAACCTCATTATGATTGACTCGTCGGCTGGAGAGCACATTACCGAGCATTCATTCATTACCTCACCTCCAATCCCTGCTGATCGACATAAACACCTATTCAACGATACCGTAATCCCACGAACTCCTAATTTCAATCCTGACAAGGTTTGTTGGCCCACCGCTAATATACCACATAGTTCCAGCTTGCACTCTAACCGTCATCCAGGAAAGCGGTGTGTCTTGGATTTCACACCTACCCAAGCAGAATGAAGAAAACGTTCGCTTCAACGACGAATTTTATCGCAATAGGCTACGCGCCCTGCAAGCTGTTGACGAGATCGTTGACGGGGTGATCACCAGACTATCAACACATGGCATTCTCGACAACACGTACATAGTTTATAGCAGCGACAACGGCTATCATATCGGACAGCACAGACTTCAACCGGGAAAAGAATGCGGATTCGAAGAGGACATCAACGTTCCATTGATCGTCCGCGGCCCCAATGTACCGGAAGGAAGAATCAGTGACATTGTGACATCGCACACGGATTTGGCACCGACATTTCTATCCCTAGCTGGTGTCGAACCCCGTTCCGATTTTGATGGCGCAATCATTCCGCTCACTGAGTCGACTTTAGAGGAAGCCAAATCCTTGCGACATGAGCACGTCAATGTAGAATACTGGGGCTTTGCACTAGCCGAGGGCGATTACGGGCAATCGATTTTCTTGGACAACACGTACAAGGGATTGAGACTGATCGGACAAGGCTATAATTTCTACTACAGCGTCTGGTGCAGTGGCGAGCACGAGCTATATGACCTTAACGTACAGATCCCTGCGGGCCACGCCACTCCGTCCAGAGATTTGCTCGAGGCTGACATAAACAATAGGATGATCCCCACGAGTTGAACAATCTGTACAACACGAACCATTCGCAATTATATCACTTTCGCTCACATCCAGAAGCTAGAATACAAAAGGTCAAGCTCTCAAGCCTGCTGTCACGGCTGGATGCTCTAGTCCTGGTGCTAAAGACATGCAAGGCTCGAGCATGTACACACCCATGGGAAGTCCTACATCCATCTGGGGATGTCCAAGATTTGCACCACGCGCTTGATGCGAGATTTGACCATTTCTACGGGGTGCAGCAGCAGAAGGTCAGTTTTTCAAAGTGCGAAAGAGGCTATATCTTGGAGAGTGAGGGACCTTCTTATGTAAAGACGTACTCATTCGAGGAAATCGGTGCTAGGGGTGGCAGTCGGTGGAGTGAGCTTGTCTGAATCTAGAAATCACACTCAATACCTCAGTCTTCGGCAGTTCGTTCTCAGACGAGTTCTGGCCATTAGGCTATCAGTCCGCGGAGCTTTGAGCTTCGACCATTCTTACGGACTCATACTAGAGACAACAATGCACGTGGTTAAGATTTGACGGATGGGCGTTCCATAAAATGTTGATTCCGCAAGTTTTCGTCAATTCCTTCATGTACCTGCGTAGCCTTCCTCGACAGGTGCTCTACCCATTAACATGAATATAAAGAGTGAGAGGAAAGTTGCCAGAACTGACCTCGAAGAAATTGCGAGAGGCTTTCAAATGTTTATGCTCTTGTCATGCGTCTCTTTACATTGGAACACCATTCAACAACACTTTCAAGAGGTGAGAGTCCTTGATCTCGTCCGCACGGGCTTTAAGTTCATCTACGTCCCAATTCACCCAGACAAACTTGCCTTTCAAGAAATCGGCTTCCGGTGAAGCGAGCCACAAGTGGAATTGGCCAGGGAGCTCGACTAGGATCGTGTCAGCGATAGCATTCGTAATATATCTCTCGCGGAAGCTTAAAGGAGAGGAGGACAAGGGCCAACAGTCACTCACCATCATCCTGGCCTGTATACCCGCTCCCTGAATTTAACTCGGAAGTAACAACGCCAGGTTGAACATTGATTATTCGCAGGTTGGGGTTTTCGCTTTGGAGATAGTCGAACATCTTAGTATTGGCCAGCTTCGTGGTTGCGTAGAGCCAGAGATTAGGGAACGGGTCGATGTGGGCGATCCCGGAAGAGATGTTCAGAACTGTTGCATCAGTGGTCAACAATGGCATCATGGCCTGGATAGTGTTGAAAGCCGAGCCAAAGTTCATCTCCAGGCCCTTGTAGAAATCCGCTTCGCTGTACCCGGCCACAGTGCCGACCTGAGGCAACATTCCGGCGTTGCTAACAAATACATCTATCTTGGTCGATTCACCGCCCTCGGCCACTTGCCTGAGGGCGCTAGTGAAGGCGATTTCAACGGCGCCGCGTTTGCTTAGGTCGACACCCTCAAACACTACATGGGTAGTGCCCGCCGGGTTGGCCTTGCGAATCTCATCGGCAGCCAGGGTAAGCCGTTCGACACGTCGCCCGAAGATGGCAATTGCTTTGGCTCTAGCCTGTGCGAAAGCAATGGCTGTAGCCTTTCCAATGCCGGTACCACCACCTGTAACGAAGACCGTCTTGCCAGCGACGCTGAGCTCAGGACGATCAGGTGCAATTTGAGCGTATGGCTTGGTGTGCCAGGTCTTAGTGAAGGACTTGAAGAACTCATTGCCAGGGTATGGCTCGACGTAGAACCCCATGCTCTCGGTTTATATTTGTCAAGGGGACCCGTAAGCCAACTATTGGTGCTCTGTGATGAGGGATTGTTTGCCTGTTCGCTTCGAATGTAGTGTTCTCTCTGCCTTCATTATTGTTTACAGCGTCCTGTGAGATTGGCACTGTTTATATATCAAAGATCATCTCTGCTGAGTACTAATCCACATTGTCAAGATTCGTAATGGCTAGCCTGGAACAACACACACGAGGTGCATGATCTTAAAAATAGCTTTGTAATAGATTGGCACTCGCGCTTCACCATACCATTAATTATCTTCCGCGGACGTACTTTGAGGGTAAGTAGCCTCCGTGGAGTTGAAATTATTAAGATAACTCTTACAAAGCACATCGATATACATTAGCTGGCACATGAGCGTCTCTGCTCAGATCAACAATAATAGCTCTGGTCATCTGCATTTGCTTGATTTTGGGGCGAGAGTGGAGCGATTTAAGCTAGCTTCATGATCCTTGGTGATTGTCACGAACCTAGAAATCTATACTGCAGTAGCTATCCCGCTATTTCCTCCTCAGAATTATGGAAACTGGGATAAATATTACGATCATCAAACATCGTCGTAAGGTTCCGGCGCTTTTGCTGGGTACTTTGATGTAACTCGATGCAATTTTTATGGAATGAGCGCAGCTCTTCGTTGTTGGTCTCTTGGACAATGCTACCAAGTCTTCCCAAAGCGGTATCGACGAGTTGGCTGTCCACAGTTGCAAAGCCATGGAGGGAATTTTGCATTGTATTAGCTGTTAACGACACCATGGCTGTCATGTATGAGCACCCTGTGGTCCTGCATCATGTTCGTGAGCACAAGGTCATTACAACTCCGCGAGGAATACTTAGGCAAAACGCACGCGGAAAGACATAGGAAAACATCGCTACATGTGTACACACTTACCAAAAATTCCAACGATCCATAGGCCCCAGTGGTTCAGTAAACACTAGTAAATGACGACTCTCAGCCACCAATGTCTCCCACTGGGGTGGCATCCAAAGGGCAACGCCTTCTTTGTCGTATTTTTGAAGGCTGTTCATCCATTGAGGGTTCCAAGCATGTGCTTGGCTGATCAAACTCGTACACATCAAACTAGTGGCGTCCAAAACACCAAGGAAAGCCAGGACAGTGGGTGACATCCTCTGCACCGATTCCAGACCTCGAAATTCGGCTGGAATGCAGGACTTCCACTGTCGAAGCGCACTGTACACACTGTTTAGGGCGTCCGATCGTTCCTCGGGAGTTCGCTTCTGGGAGGCCGTGGAGTATAGGTAATCGTAGACTCCGCCCTCAATGACTGCCAGGTGGATTCGAGTAACAAAGTAATCCATCTTCAGTGATCCATCAACGGAAGTGATCTGACCAAGATCAAAGCTGTTAGCTTCGTCACTTACACCTCCTTCGGATTGGTTGTTCTCTTGTGGGAGAGCAGAGGGCAGATCGAGGTCGATGTCATCGTCACGCTGGATAGAGGGCTGTTTGGAGCGTAAACTAAGGTTTTTGTCTAGGACGTACGCCAACCAAAAGACATTTGCGCGTTGTCGGGCAACACTGAGGGTTGAGTGTAATGCAGAGAAACGGCTGTGAAGACCGATCTTATGCGCAAGACGTAGTGTTGTGGCAATCAAGATCAGTGCAGGCTGGAGATCTTTCGCTGCTTGCAAAAGCATCACCATACCCACTAGAACCTGAATGTTGAGCAGGCGGGGGTCACCAAGCACGACGTCTGACAACGCTGATTGAGCTCTGGCCAAATACTCAACTGCGCGATGGACGTTGCTGCTACCCATGAGACGCTGTTGGTAGGCGAGAGCTAGCACAACGTTAATTGCGGCCCATGCAACCGGATCTCGAGACCGTGGGTCGAGGTTGTAAGTAGTGTACAGAAGACGGAGGAGAGTTTCGGGGTGAAACAGCGGAAGGACTGTATTGAAATTTTCCAGAAACAGGTTGACGACATGTATAGCCTGCTCTAGAGGAGGGAGATCAAGTGCTTGCGAAGAGCAGTCGTAGTTGACACCTTTACCCTCGCTAGTCACGGTCAGTACTGGCACGATTACGGTTGGCGTCGGTTCCGGCTGCCCACGCTGATTTTCGTGAACTTCGCCGTAGCCCCTTGACTCCTTGGTCAACTGCTGAAGCTCAAGTTCGAGACGTCGCACGCGCGTGCGCAAGGCACTAGTATCGTCATCGCTCTGGATGTCGACTTTTCTGCACTTTGGACGAGGCTGCCGGCTCGGAGCCCCATAGGTACAACCTCTTTTGTGTACGATGCATTGCGAGCAACGAGGCTTTTGTGCGTCGCACTTGATCTTGCGTGTGTAGCAAAAGTCACAGGACTTGACTTGCTGGTCAGTACCATTTGCATAGTAAACCGTAGTAAATCAATGTTTTGGAGCTGGGATGGTACCTTTCTAGACATTTTCATTTTCGGATCTTCCATTGTGCCAGTAGGTTTGACTGAAGCCGATGATGAAGACACTGAGCTTACAGCATATCAAAAGATCAGCCGAGACCCTTAGGCCTTGCGGAACCTCCGCGGAAGCTGAGTCCTGTATCTCTAGCGTGGTTGCTGACAAACCCACAACGTGGAGAGTGAGAGAGCATTGGTCGGTACGAAGTGAAAGCTCTGGCTGACCTACAGCGTTTACTAAGCTCGCCTGCTAAAGCTTGCCTCAGGCTTGTTCGTTCTTGATCTCCAATAGTGCTCTTCTTTGGCTTATTAGGGCCAGGATCTTGCTGCAGTTCCAAATCCACGCGGGGATTCTTGAATGATGCCTAGATGCACCTTGCGGGAGCCTGTTCAGCCAATCAGTGGGCTGGTTCCCATGTAATTTTCGGGCCCGAGATGCCCTAAGCTTCGGGCCCGAACTCCCTCCAGCCTCTTATACTCAAGGAAAAGTCCGCGCCTGATGCTTCTGTATTTCAGCCGGAACCACAATCTTTGGGTCCATAGGATTAGGCAGAGGCCATTTTATGCGAGTTGATGAAGGCGCTCTTTTCTTTGCTTTCCTCCTGGCTCTCCTGCTCTGTATCGATTCCTGCCTTTCTGGTCTGTGACACTATCATAGCATCTTTATCCGTGCCAGTCTACCGTAATACATCAGATTATAGGGGAGACTGCAATAAACAGTTTCATTTGGCATTATCTCGGACAGCTCCTAGAAAAGTACACGAACAACCAGCCATGGCGTGCCTTCGTGTCCTCATCGTAGGCGCTGGCATCTCTGGAAACGCACTCGCTTACTGGCTCGCCAAACAAAAGCACACTGTAACAGTCATCGAACGGCACCACTGCCTGCGCGTCAATGGCTTACAGTTAGATCTTCGCGGGCTCGGGATTGAAGTAATGAAGCTGATGGGCCTAGAGGAAGCCGTGCGTGCGAAATGCGTCCCTGAAGAAGGGATGGGTTTGGTAGACCCGACAGGGCGGAAGAGAGCATTCTTCCCAGCGAATCGATCAGGCGCGGGTGCTCAATCCATCACAAGCGAGTTTGAGATCATGAGAGGCGATCTGTGTCAGCTGTTGACCGTTGCAGCGGTGTCGAAGGGGGTAAAGTATCGGTTTTCCACTGGAGTTGAAGCTTACATGGAGAAAGGAAGCACCGTAGAAGTTAGACTTACGGATGGGTCGACGCAGGAAGTGGATCTTCTCGTGGGATGCGATGGTAATGCATCGAAAGTCAGACGATTAATGTCCGGAGGTGGGAGTCTCCGAGGTGGTGAGCAAGACCCGGCGCTTGTTATGCTTCCGGAAAAGATCGCATACTACACGATGGATGAGCCAATGCAGAAGAATGAGAAGTATGAGGCCTGGGGATGTGTCTTTCCTGGGCCTGGGAAACGGGTCATGGCGACCAGGCGCCACAATTCGGATCGGATCCAAATGTATCTCTTTGTCAAGGACCCTTCAAATGGGCCGCTCAGCAATGTGAAGAGGGGAGACACCCAGGAGGAGAAAGCAGCCTTCATCAAGTTGTTTCGAGGCTGTGGCTGGCGTGCTGCTGACGCAGTAAGAGCCCTCGAAACCGCGGCAGAGGATTTCTATTGCCAGCACACCGGCGTCGTCAAATTGGACAGCTGGTCTCGCGGACATGTTACCCTTGTAGGGGATGCTGGGTATGGATGTCCTCCAGATGGATTCGGCACGTCCATGGCACTAGTCGGTGCATATGTTCTCGCTGGAGAAATCAACCGTGCCCAAGATACAAAGGCCGGAGGCAGAGACATGCTCGCTGTTGCCCTGAAGGCATACGAGGAAACCTTCGGGCCTTGCATGAAGCCAATCGTCAAAACATACTCCGCACAAGCTTCGATCTTCGACAGAATCCCTTGGACGCCCTTCACTCTTGGCTTGGTTACCAATGCCCTGAGCATTGCATCGTACCTACGCCTAGATAAGCTTGCTTTGAAACTAATGCCGAACGAGAGAGGTGGCTGGAAATTGCCTCGGTACGAGGGCTTGATAAACCCCTGAGCTTTTAGTGGGATACGATCCAACAGTTCCCATCTGGGTGATCCGGGGTGGACTCATTCCTTCTCCAGGGGCTTGGGACTCCATTTCATCCACCAAACACGACCTTCTCCGTTGAGGGAATACTATGACTCAGACTCAGACGAGTAGAAATTCAAAGGTTGTGTCTGGAGAAAAGGTCTCTCAACTGCCAGACATCATGTACACCGTACACAAATATTCAGCGTCAATATCGAGGATCAACAGTACTATCCAAACTGATAAGTTTCATTCCAATCCGTCACCTGAGCACATGGCCCGGAAGTCGTTCTGCTCTATTTCGTCGGAGCTTTACGACTGTACTCAATCCGGCTGCAAGGACACTTTTTGATGTGGCTCGTAGAGAGATCAGGTGCTCAAAGTCTTGATATGGGCAGGTATCGAAGCTGTCGTTACCAAATCGTTCACTTTCATCTATGAGCGACGCCATGTTAGCAATGGTCTCGTGGGTATCAATTGCAGAAGGACTGCCTTTTCCATGTGGCCAAGAGAAGAAGATATATTTATTGGCGTAGAGAGCAAGCAAGTCGATTGTCATGGCAAAAGCTTCTCCTTTGGCCTCGAACTGATTCAGGGGCAGCTGTTGAGAAGAGGGTCTGGTCCAAACGTATCACAGGATATTTGCATTCCATGCTTAAATGGTGGACAACACGAGGATGCAGAGGATATATGGATACCATGAGTCTACGATCAGGGTGCTAGTTCTTTACATTGGTAAAACTAGATTAAGTATTCACACTCTCGGTGACTTTGGAGCAGTTGGCTAAGATCTCACCTGACGATTATTCCACCCTGTTTGGCTGGACGACAGATTTCGCTGAATTGCGACGAAGGGAGCAAAATGTTCCTTTCCAGTAGTCATCTGCAGTACAGTACACCATCAGATAGGCATGAAAATAATCAGAGTTGCTGATACCAGAGCTCTCATACTTCCTCGGAGCGCACTGTGAGAAGACCCGGGCCAATACTGCTTTGTGGGTGTCATGAGACTCTAGATCGTTGCCTGAGATGGGTAGTATATCAAGTGACTCAGTGAGCACAACCACACGATAAGGAAGCATACCACCTGGCATAGCTGGAAGTACACTTCCGAACAGACGGGAGGCTTACAAGAAGCCTTCCCCTCCCGATTTAGGCAGAGACGACTTCTTTGCTCATCAAGCGATTAGTTGTTGTTACAGAGAAATGTTCAATAGAGTATATTGCATCAACTATTCCATTGTAAGGCTATTCTCAGTGAAGGAAGGTCCTGACAGTGGGCGACCTCACAACCCAGTTCGCCCAGAGTGTGATAGAAGAGCTTGAAACTTCCGCGGAACTTTTTAATTTCCTGGATGCTTTCTTTGATATGTCATGCTCTTCCTACTTGGTACCTGTATTCCCATCCTCTCACAGGCGCCCCAGTCCATTCTCTGGATTTTCCGTCCGGGGGCAAGTACGTCTTCCGTACCCTATAGCTACTGCGCCCGACCCCAATGCATATCGCAGTGGACTCATGTTCAGTTAACGTAGCCGTAGCAGCCGGTCTCGGGGCTGGACCGGACAAGAATCGGTGATCACTCGATTTAAAGGCAGTTTCGCAGATACACCTAATTCGACAGACTGGTCATCAAGATTAACAGCACGCTGGAGAAAATATTCTGACACGACTTTGTATAGCAATGTGCCCACCTGCCCTGGGCCGGTGATCCACAACTCATTGGAGTCAGAAAATTGTCTATCGATACCCTTAGCAGACCGGCCAAAAACACCGAGATGGATATCGCCACCGTCGTACTCGTATCTAAAACAGCCAGACCAGACCCTATGCCAGAACAGAGAATGAAGGAAGGGATTGGCTAGCTGAGACCTCTGATTTATTTCGTGGTACTGGACTGATTCAAGTGCGCACGCTTCAAAAAGATGAGTATGCCTCCTGACCAGGATGACTGGTCGCTTGGACTTGCGGGTATCGCCACGTATATGACCTTGCCCTTTGAATGGTCGATAAGGTCGTATTTGCTGCAGCTGCCGTGGTATTATCGATCACCTAGGATCCTGGGCTTGAATCAAAATCACTAATGACACAATACTGACCGAATGAATGTAGGCTGAGGCGACGTGACCGTCTCCCACATGTTATTTTTGTGGCTTGTGCATGAAAACGTTGAAATAGCCACCTCATCATGGTGGGTCCAACGCCTACTAGAAACGGTGGTTCAGAGTTTGAGTTTGAGTTTGAGTTTGCTGGTGACCGAAGCCTGGTGATAGCGCTAACATTGTCCTCCTTCTCGGTTGCCCGGGCTACTGACAGTAGTGAATAATCAGGGAATGGCATCGTTTTGAGATCTGAGGACGCAGGAACCTGGAATCCAGCCAAGAAGATACACTTTTGGTAGTTAGGACGTTGCCCAGCAAGCGAATCTTCGGTCTTGTAGCCCGAACTCTGTTTGCCTAAGCGAGCTGTCAGATCGATTACGTGCATCAGTGTACACGCGTCCTCCGTCCTCCAGCCTCCAACACCTGTTTTTGGTCCCACGTGCCCTTAGTTGATCATTGCTTCCACGCGTCATAGTCATCGTCAACGTCTTTTTGATATCTCAGCTTCCTTTCACATGTACATGGTACGGTATCCTGGTAACCGCCATTTTGCCTATCTGCCATCAACAAGCACCCAAGCTGCCCTTTCCATATCTGGGGGGTTACTTAGCTAGATGAGAGAAAGTTTTTCTGACGTGTCTCAGCAGCGTAAATTCAACGCAGGGGAGCCCTTCGGAAGCGAAAACCTTAGCAAATATACCTGATCGTGCATTGATCTAACGCTTCCGCTTCATGTATCACTACCAATTTATATTAGCTTCATGTGGCTTCTTGTCTATTCGATCACGGCAAGGCAACGATGCTTGGTTCCCCCCGGCTTCTGCACCACTTTATCTGCGACCGCGTGTAAGACATTGCCCCGACTGTGATTTTCTCCCGTGCGAACTGTTTTCCATTGGCGCGACAAGCCAGGCTTGAGTGCTACGAAAACCTGGCCGCAAATAGCACAGTATCACAACTAGGTGTTGGAAAGAGAATAAATTGTAGTATGAAGGACTATGAAAGAGGGTTGAAGCCTAGGACCGAAGCCTAGGACGCGGCATTAGCTAGTTAGGTGCGCCGCGTCGAGGGCCTCAGTCAAGGGCCGGCTTGGCATTCGGGCCACAACTCTGACACGCAGTCTCTTTATAGTTGTCATCTTAACCTGACTATTCTTGATGAGTGCGATAGCCTGGGCGGACCCTGGTCCGCAGGACGTATCTACCCCGGTTTGGTAATCGAGACTCCGAAATGACTTTCATAAATCTATTCTATTAACAACTCCATCATTTATGTGAGTATACCACGTCCTCAATGTGCTAGGTTACATTCCTGAGAGTTTCCAACGTATCCATGAGACTGTGATAAGCATTCAAGAGAAAGAAACATCGGCCTCCAAGCAGAAAATGAACAAAAGAGGCTCTTGGTGCTTCTATGCCCATGCGCTTCGAGGATCAACCCTCCACCAAAACATTCGGGGTGCGGCCAAGGCTGTCAAGGCGCGTCGTTCGTCAGACGTCTGCGGCTGAAAGACCGGCGCTCACTTCCGCTGGCAAGGAACTCTGAAACGACATGCTCATTGTCGCCAAGGGCCTCGATACGAGTTACAAAGCCTGAATGTCACGTACCCCTGAGCATACCTACGCCGGTCACCCTATGCACTCAAATCACATATAACCCAGAAGTGAAAGGGTGACATCAGACCCAAAGTTAAGGACGACGTTGTTGTCGGCGGGTATAGATTACATAAAGTATATCTCCATCATATTCCAATTTGCAGGCAGAAACTGCTCACACAATGGTCCGCCTTGAGCAAGTTTTGATCAACTCATTCCTAAAATGGCTCCAGGGGGACGATCCGAACCATCTTCAGGTGTACCGATCCAACCTACTGCCGATACAAGGTCGAGGGATAGGGATTGCTAAGAAGTGACAAGCAAGGCAGACGAGGTAATTTGGTGCCCTGGCGGAGAACCAAAGCCGCGACTCCTCCAACCCGATGAGTCTGCCCGGTTGGGTAAAGCTATCAAAGACCCCGCCGACTCCCAATGAAGTCCAGGATGGTTTAGACGGGCGACTGCACCGCCGAAACAAAATCACCTCTATCTGTCTGCAGCTCTAAGCAGGTCAGTCTGCGCGGAGCCCGGATATAGCCACCTTTAGATGTAACGCCAAGCGATCTGGATAGGAGTTTCGTGGTCACCCTCTATCAATTGAAAAGAAAAGCCTAGTCTGAATGACAGACTAAGTTGTCAGAAGTGTTAACACCGCTCAAAAAGCTCAGTAGCCAAAATCAACTCGGTACATGAAAAACTCCTTGTTAGGGCCAATGGAGAAATACCACGACTTGTCGCTTCCATCTGCTAGCGGCGAGTACTCGGGGTGTATCATTGATCCATAGGCGCCCTGAAATTTCCCGCCACTCGCGATCTTATAGCGGGAGCTCCATGGGCCCCATGGTGTGTCGGAGACATACATGTTAACATCCACCATCCACTGGCCACACAGCATCAAGTATTTCGCCAAGTACCGATTGTAGACGACTGAGCCCCAGGAGCCGCCACAGGAAAACTGTGTTGTACTTGGCCTGATAACCAACGCACCAGCGTCCGTGCTGTTGAGGAGTGGGAGACCTGGCGCCCAGGTATTGGTAGTGTTATACACGAGGTACTCGTATTTGGATGCGTCGAAAACATCATCTGTGGCAGGGACTCGCGTGATCCTAATATTGCTGGGGCCTCCTCCGGAATACTGGTAGATGTAGTTTCCATCCCGCAGGATGCACAAGACGCCCAAGTATAAATAATCTGCGCTCGTCAAGAAAGGTCCTACTCTGGTCGCGATGGGTCCATTCGGGCCGAGTGTGACGGATGAAACCGTATTCCCAAGCACTTTGGGAGTGTTCCCGTAAGGTCCATTGCGCCAATATGCTCGAGCGTAGATCACACCATGAGTTTCGTTGATCGGGGCAACATTGGAAGACCACATACCCCAGATAGCTCCGTTGGGTGGCTGTGGATCGCCCGACCAGGGCTTGTTGAAGTCAGCGAGCGACGACTTGTTTGCAGTGTTGACAAGCATCACATCACTCGTGCCATACCAGCCCGGAGCCGTGGCAAACCCACATGTCATAACATTTGAGCCGCATTGCATATCACCGCAGGTCCAGATAACTTTGTTTCCAACCTTCCCGGTACGGCAGTTATCGCCCCGTAAACCGAGGGAACCAAGTGGATTGGTAAAATTGAGATCCCCAATATAGGTCAGGTTCCACTTGGTACCTTTGTCTGTGTCGAATTGCCATGCATTGGGAAGTATGCCGGTTGGGGTGGGAGTGCTAGAAGAAGTTGTGGAAAATCGTGAAGACGATGTCGTAACACTGGATGAGTAATTAGTTGTTGGAGCTCTCGACAGGACGGCCATTGAAGGTGACGAGGTAGATGTGCTCTTGAACCCAGAAGGAGAACATACGCAGTGGTTTGTGTAGTCGTGGTTTGAGACAAGGCATCAATCGTCCTCAAAGTCCCATCATCCATCGAACATGTAATCGGCCGATAACAGACTTGATAACAGTTGGAAGAAGTTCCATTGGAGGCTAACACATTCGCTTGCCTGGCGAGGCGCTGGTAATGATGGTTGGCGTGCTGATCATCATGGTCTTGCTCCGTAAGAGACGAGGTTCGAACCTCTGCAATGCTGATCAACAGCAGAATTGAAGTGAGAAGAGTATACATAATTGCGGCCGGATCAAATGAATGGAAAGAAGGAAACTTGGGTCAAAGGAACGGATAAAAGGAAAAGTTCTTTGTTGTTAAACAACAGCAGAAAACAGAAGGTGTGTCGACGATGATAAATAATGCTGAGCAGCATTCGGCTGTCGCCTTCTTAAGAACGTTTGCGGCCCACGAGATGAACATGTGGCCCGGGTCCGTATGGCCCTGGTGACCCGTCGTTGACAGGTGTGCGCGTTTCAGCATAGATCGCGAGCCAGGGTGGGCCTGGCCAATCCTTAAGCGGAATGTCCCCAGTCGGCCCGCAATTTCCGGTACGACACCCTGTGGCGTCAACTTTCGTAGCAAAACCTTTTGCGCCCCAGTCAGTCCAAAGCACAATTGACAGCACTGGACAGGAGACTGGACAGATTGATAGCACTGCACAACGCCACGGAAAGGAGGTTCACGCGACCTCTACTATTACTGATACTACACGAGGAGACGTGTTTGATAAGACCTGGCATGGCCAATGCCGTAAATATGAGTGCTATTTAACTTTGCTGCAGGGAGAGAGATGCGAATTGTGCCAGTGGCTTGATGACCTTGCTGATTCGCTCGCTAACTATATTATAGTTTGTTAACTTTTTTGAAGTCGGATTTGGGGGGTTTGTTATCCGCCAGAAACTTTGCCGCCCGTAAATATTTTCAGTGCTTCTGGGGCACGCACCCCTTGCTGATGGCTCTCATGACACTTCAACGATTAGTTTTCTGAAGCGCTCTTTTTACGCAGTATGGAATGCGAATGGAACTATCTGACTGGTACATTGCTATATACTCTCCCATTGCTCTGTTATCTTCAACCTCTAGTGGTCTCAAGCACACCTTGACTGATCCTGAGCGCATGAACCGTCCCTGTTAGTTTAGGGGTGTCCTTATGTGCCCTGAAAGTCAATACACGTGTGAAGGAAATTCGTCATTTGTTTACTGTCTTTTCGGTGGTTTAGAGCTTCTGGGCGTTTTCTGTCACCCCCCTGACCGCCCTTATCGCTCTCGGTCAGGTCGATCATGGTTGCGGCTCTTGGCGTCTTTCTCGAGAGCTAAGACAAACTTCTGTCAACTGACATGGCAGCCGCGTTTGCTCAGATAACGAAGCTCCTTTGCCTAGAGACGTGCGACTTTTCAGCATGATAATTGCGAGGCGCGTCTACACAGCCTACCCGTAATAACAACTTTTTCATTCTGACGGTAGAACAGGCTGATGTTATCTGAATGAAGCGTCTACGAGGATTCTCTGAGCCGCTTCTCATAGAGTTCCCACGCCAAGTCCGCCTTTAGGGGTGGCCCAACAATGTCGAATGGTCCTTCTCTTTCATGCTCGTAGGTGCGAGCGGTCATCTTCAGGAGTCCAAGTAGCTCGATGCCATTGAGCTTGGGCGCTGTCTTGTGACTGTGATTCCCCCGTCTGGTAGGTGATCCTAGCGTCATCTTGGATGAAACCCGTCGCCTCGGTAGTGGGTAAATATGACGCCTTGGATGAGTGTAGAATCCAGGTTGAGTGGGAAGGCGGCTGAATGGGGTCCGAGTCCCTCCAACTCTACACGGCAACATTGTTTTGGCAGAGTTCGCATCAAGGCTGGCGTATGTCGCAGTTAATCTTTTTGCTACAGCATCTATCGCGTACGAGAGTGACCGTCTACCGTGTAGTCCTTGGAAGAGATATGGTGGGCGTCCACGGAAAACATGGTGATAAGGGGAAGAGCCAGGAGGATAGACAGGCCGCAGTAGAGGAGGCCTGCCTTTCAGCGGGGTAGATCCTCTGGTATGGATTCAAGATTCCGGGATACAACTCTAAGTACTGATATTCTAGCCTATCGCGGTGTTCCCGGGCTGCACACTTCCGAGAGTTCTCAGCCATATTCGGACCGTTTTTTATTGGTCGCAGCGACACCAGGCAGGAGGACTGTACAACCAAGTGACATCGCGGCTTCAGGATGGTTCCGCTCATCAAACAGAGAACTTGCGGGAAATTAGTCCTCCGAATACTAATTCCCGAGTTCAGATAGCACGGTAAACGCACTCTTCGATGCTGCGTACTGTCCTGGTGCAGCCGTGGCCACGCATTCGGACCGCAGAATGTTGGGGCTCATCTCTGGTAGCCGCGGCGGAACAATTATCGGCAGCATGGAAACAAGCAGCCAAAGACTCTCCAAGATGTGCAGTTCGGATTAAGAGGTCATGCAAAGCGGAATGGTCGTCACGCTTCGTAATATCGTAGACTGGAATTGAGGAGCCCGTAGATGATGAGTATAATGACCTAAAAAAATCACCAGAACTTGGGGTGGGAATGTACACAGGACAGAGCATGGATACCGACAAAATATGCCGTATAGATACATGCTTTTAGTGGCACTCCTGAAATGTATTGAGATTTGAGAGCGTATAGGAAAGGGTGAAAGAATCTCTCCCCTGGATCTGCCTGGGCTAGGGGACGCGATAACTATATAGACACTGGATAAAAGAGTGGCTGGCAGGTGGTTGGGAAGCGCAATTTATGACCTGGTCCGACAAAATGATAGCCAGTTCTGCTGGCCTCCTGAAAGTTTCCCGCAAATCAGAGATTCTGTAAGCTACCGCGGCTCTCGCATGGCTATGGATAACGCTGTTGGCCCCTAGATACTTGTATATCTCGCTATGAAGGTACCACTTGATGTAGCCATGCGGAGCATTACTGTCGATGAGACTTGTATCATGAACCTTGTACTTGACTAGGTCTCGCGGGAAAGAGATGCTTGCCGGGGCTACGTTTCGGGGCACTATGAAGACGTTCAGTTCGGCTGGATGCCGGAGCACAAGAATTGAGAGGAGCTGAGAGGATGATTTTCAAGCATGATGGGCTCCGAATTTTTCTAAGGGTGAAGTATCGTGAGCTCTCTCTCTCGTCGTGGTCAGCAGAGAACGAACCTGCCTTGGCCGGGTGGGCTGGGACCTAGTGAAACTGCTCTTGAAATCGGAGGATTCTTTATGCATTGATATATACGAAGTCTGAAAAGTCGTCACCTCTCTGAGTTAGGAGCTACAGGTAGGTGATGGTGAGCTGCGCTTGCTAAATCCCGGTAAAGGGGCATCAGAGACTCCGATGTCTAAAATACAAAACAAATTCAGAACAGGCGACTTTCAAGAAACCACACAATTTCCAGTAGATACAGGCTGAACCGGTTCAAGAGGTGATTGGCTGGTTCTAAATTCGCAAGAGGCCACTGCTCCCTCTTGAAGCTGTTTCGTATGCGGTTCAGGGTGCCGTTCCCCATGCTCATTTATTGCATTCCTGTCGTGAACAACCATCTCGTGGTACACATCCAGTGCCCTACAAATTGTTTGGAGCCTGGTGCCAGCACCGTTGTCAAGAATGTTTTTAATTGCGCGGGAAAGTGCTCGGATATCGTTTGCAACCCATAAATCATACTGTGAAAGTCGTTTGACACGAAAACCGTGTGACTGTCCTTCAGCCGGCGCCTTCAGCCAGTGTACATATATTCGAGCTAGCTCCTGGTCCATCGTGATCGAGAAATATAGTGGTTCTTCATAATCGAATGCATCCAATAAGGAGCCACGCCGTATCAGTTCGAGAAGGCCGTTCAACGCGATGGCTCCGGCACCAGCAGCCTGATTTCTTGCAACGTAATGAGTTCCCCTTTTAGCCTGCGACTTGAATTCAACCTGTAGGAACGGAAATCGAATTCTTTGGTCTGGAATGGCATAGCTTTGGCCGAACTGGTCGTCTTGTTGACGACCAATCATTTCGATCTGGCTGTTGGTGAAAGCTGCTTTAGAGTAGCCGAAAACAAGGTCAGGCTTCGGTATAGGTAAGGGGAGTGGATCCTAAGGAATCCCTGTAGAACGGTCGAGGGGCACAGGGACGGAATTAGACCACAGTTGGTCGTAATTCCTTTCTAATCGTGGATCGGGGAGGTCCTTCATAGCTGGAATAATGTCATGGGCTAACTGATGAATAATGTCATTCTCAGGCGCATGTAGAAGCGCGAGTGCCTTGTCTTTCAACTTGTTGATGGCTGCATCATTCACCCCGAGCGAGGCCCGTGAGCCTGATATTATTTTTTGAGCCCTTCGCATTAACTCTGGAGGAGGATTTTCGTGCTCGATGAAGATATTACGATAGCTCAATGGCTCGTGATAGTTCGTGTCATTTACACTTGCAGTGGACTTTTCGGATTTTGTGGATGAGTTCATAGTGCTTTCAGAGCCATTCTCTGGGGACGCGAGAATCCGTGCAGTTTTGCGTGATATATTGGCTGGTGTAGGTTTGGGAGGCATATTGGTCAGTCCTTTCGAAAGTAGAAGTTCGTTTCCTGTCGAGGTTCTCCGAGGCCAGCAAGACTCATTCAACCAACTCTCAACAAAGTCCACCTTATCAACTATAGTCCTTGCTTCGGTGTATTGGGTTCGCCTGCGTTCCAAATGTCTCGTATCGTGGATTTTTACGTCTTCAGTACTGACACCACGCTGTCTTTTAACTGTTCGGATCAGCATTATGATCAATCGTGAAGCATGGCGGCCACTCACTACTCTTCCGTGTTTCAAGATCCGCTAGTGAGGCAGCAGAGTCTTTGCTCTTCTCGTCACGATATTGTTTCACAGTTGATCTCTTCGTTAGCTTTTTCGGTTCTTCTCCTGCGATGCGTTGTTGGTTCGCAGCCTGTTTTTCTTGCAATTGTAGGCTCCTGTGTAAAGTCTTGAGGTTTAATGCCATGTTGTAAGGGCGGTGTTGGTCAACTGCATCAGGGTCAGTGAGACACGAATTAGACAACGAAGTAGTATGCGAGAATGGAACTGACACTTTTCCTGGATTCTTCTGGTCTTTCTTTGAGGCCTAGTTGGGTCTTGGCCGACCTCTTTTTGATCGTGTTTGCCTTGAGCAGGACAGTGCTGTTTTCCTGTGATCCTTCCATCAGGCTGAATTCCAACAACGAAGGTATTTCATACGACTTGAGCAACCAGGCCTGGCTTGCTGATAGCCAAGATTGTCGTAGCCCCCTCGCGCGCCGACCGTATCTCACTTTGCAACACTCGCTACTATATCGACTAACGAAGACCGATCTGGAGAAAGGACGTTATTCATAATTCGCGCAGGAAACAGAAAGGTGGCGAAGCAGATAGGGCCCTAGTCTGGGGAATTGCGGAGCAACAGCGATCTCTAACTAACTAGTACCCGCTGAGAAGTTCAACCACGCTAGTGGGTGGTGGAGCAAACAGGCTTGCTGGCGGGATAACGGCTAAGAATGTATTGATCCAAGCAACAGCCAGGAATGTATTAATCGCTCTGTCGATGCCAAAATTGTATCCATAGAGGCCCCATCAACGCCTATTTACGTTTACGTATTTGTAGAAGGCTGCCGATTCCTCTTCAGGAGGTGTGTGACAGAGTAATAATCAGTGAGAAGATCCCCTGCTCCGAGATACAGCTCCTGTTTTTGATCTTAGTGCTCTGATATAGTTGTGAAATACCAAGGATTAGGCAAATTATAAGGTCTAAGTAGAACTGATTGACGAGTCTGACCTCACGAAGAGCAGCCTCCAAGAGCGTGGCACGATTACGTGGGCCAATTGCTCTCCTATAGACATGGTGATATAGTGGATTCCGCTCTATATTTACAGGGAATATTTAATTTGCAACCGAATCTTCTTCTTGGTTTGCTCCAGGCAACATTCAACTATAGTTGTCGCGTTCTTAACTCTATCCATAAGCCTTGCTACGCTTATTATATATCGATGCCCTCCAAAGAAAGTCTGCTAGCCAGCATCTCACAATAGAGAATGGTACGTCGAGAAGCTGCTCTTCGTCGAGGCTGTTCCAGGCCGCCGATCAACCAACAAAGCCTCCAAAACTTTTGGCACAATCTTGAGACCCCTTTCTCATCCATGTATAGTGATACAGCGGTTGTCACCGCAAGGTCCAACAGAATATCGTTAAGTCGCATAAATACGTTCAGTCGAGGATGGCCAGAGAGTTTTAGATATGTGTATCGAGTCAGCATGATACCAGCCTGATCCCATAGTTCCATTCCATTTGCCCATCCTGTCGGTCTCCACTTCATCTCGCCAGCGGGCCTTTGAAAGTGCTTGTTATACTGCATGCTCTCGCAACTATCTTTCATTTTAATTTTACAGCCACGAACGTCAACGGTTATTGTGTCGCTGAGTGATGATAATTCCGCCGTTCTAAATGGTTGCTGGAGACCACCATGAACAATTCGGGACATGTAACTTGGCTGGCAAAGATATCGCGACAATTTCCATGTTCGTCTAACGAGTACAATATGCCGTGGTCGTCAGGTCCAGTGAGGACAAGACAAGGGAGTGAGTTTGGCATCAGCTGTGCGCCGATCGGAGCTCTTGCGAGTCCCACTAGGGTTCGAAAAAGGTGATATAGGGTACGTCCTCGGCTAAGCATATTGAATCAGCGAAATGAAATGTATTACCACTGTGTCTAACAGAGGGAAAAGACTACTCGGAGTACTTAAATAATCGACACAAGGATTGAATAAGTAACGGGTCAAAAAGGTCTCTGACACAGTTCACGGAAGCAGAAGGTACTGAAGGGTCCCCGAAGTAGTTATCAGTTAGAGCTGAGTCAACTCAATCTGCTTTATGAATCACAATAGAGATGAGATCGAGCAGAGCAAGTTCTCCTGAGTGGACTACGTTTCTAGCCCTAAAGGATGGTCTCTTCTTTGCTTCAGGAATGACGACGATCAGCTTTTCCTCGGGGATCCTGTATAAAGAAAAATAGCAGAAGGACGCACATAATGCCCCGAATACGAAAATTCTGGCGTCCAGCATTAACAACATAACTGCTTAGACTCTGTGATCTGCGTAGAATGAGACACGCTATATGGAGGTTCAGTGTGGTGCAAATTTCTTCCTATGCGGCAACGCTCAAAACAAGAGTGGTGCAAGGTGGCGAGGCCTAACTAGAGATCCGCCAAGTTCGAGTGGAGTGACAATGGGAAGGAGGTGGATACCTCCTTTCACTAAGAATCGCCCATCTTTGAAATGTCTACCGTCCTTAGATACGGGATTTCAAGTCTGAAGCAACGATTCGCAGTAGCACTAAATACAAACCACAAAACGACAACGGACCGCGAGAGCAAGGAAAGAGACTGCTTAATCAGTCAAGACATTAGGGAGTCATGCCAGTGAAGTGAAGGATCCTATCGACGCGATCAGCCCGGTCGCTCAGTTTAATTTTCACTCCCGCAATGTTTGTGCAGCAATTCTCTCACCATAGTCTGTTAAGCGGTCTGAAGCTGTGTCAGGCCAATGATGCGGAAGTTCGAACAAATACATCTCACCTCGACTTCAGAATTGACTCGGACAATGAGTTGAACCAGTCACTCCTGACATCCAGATAAACCGGACGAAGGAACGGCTATTATTGCTCGCCTCAAGGTCACTAATGGAGAACTAATACTTTACGCGAGAAAACTTTTGCCTTCTTCGAACCGGTCTGCACTTAGCGTGACAGAGTGCCACACTTTAAGGAAGCGGAGGAAATATTAGAGATTAAGAAACGAAAAGCTCACCTGGTTAAAGACGTTGTTATGTGGCAGGTTCCTTGACACAGGTCTGAAACACAACTCTAGTCGGGATGAAGGCCCAGCCTATCTCCCGCGACCAGTTTCGACCCTCTGCTATTGTTGTCAAAGCAGCAATACCACATGTCCGGGGGTGTGATAGTTGTTGGAAATCTTTCAAAATTGCCAGAGCTATTGAGAAGGAATATATAGTCCAAGAGTCGACCTTGACAAAAGCGAAGAGCTTCCAGCGTGGCTTCCAACTCTGTTATTTGGTTCACAAGCCTATGGCTTTCTCGGCTTCATATCTATATAATTGTAGGAGATCTTGATAGGCCTCGTACCAATCTTCGAGGAGACGTTTGCGAGACTTTATCTATCCTTCTCTGCGTTCTCTAAACGTATACTGGGCTATCCTATTATGCTCACGCTTCTTCTTCACTCCAAATCAGTAAGTAAACGAAATTGGATTCTTAGAATATACCTTGTGCCTTTTTAAGGAATCTTCTTTCTTCTTATTCGAGACAGTAGTGCTCCCCTGCTGTAAGTACTACACATCAGGACCCTGACCAAAATCGCAATTGTGGTGAGTTGTGGCCGTTTGCGCCCGTAGACAAGATGCCGATAGGATGGTTCCAAACTGGGAGACGCCACAGCACACGGGAACGGCGTTGAGCGAGACGCTATTCTAAAGCGATATGAGTACCTTGATATGTTGGATGTTAAGACGCTGGATGCCCGCTGGGAGGGCTGGACTGCCACTCTTGGATGTGCTGTTAACGAGATAGACAGTCGTGAATTTTATACGACTAGGAGGCTATGATATTAAGCTAACAAAATAGAGCTCCATATTGAATCTGGCTCAGAACCGATGCCACGCAAGACTGTCATGATAAGACGGCTTTTACGTAGTTCACTTTCTGGAGCCTGGGAAGCTCGGGGCGTTAGGCTAGGAGTGTTGCGAGTCTGGGAAATTTCGATTGAGAGATAGACAAGGTTCAACTCGGGGACAGCAATGTCGAGAATCGGGCTTTCGCATCTCGATACTGTCATTTCACCACTATTGATAGATCTATGCTGCGCCTTCTTCGCTGGGATCCCGATATGGCTGCTACACTACCAGAGTTCCGTAAAACACTGCCTTCCCACGAGCGGGGCATGAGTATGGCGATCAAGTCTTTAAGCGGAGAGTAAGGGGGCGGCGAATGCTGACCAAGGCCATGCGTCTAGCTCGTTTGTGCTTGACTGTGTACGTACTGTATCCATTTTGCATGATGATGCGTTGAACAAGGCCGAGTTGTGACAGCGTCATTACAACCACTATACTCGCGCCGAACGCCTCCGGAGGAACCCCGCCGCCTAGAACGCTCATTATTGCGCAAACACGCAACACTCAACTCACTCATTTTCACAACTATCGAGCCAACTATCACTTCACTCATTGAACTATATCATGTTGACAGCAATATGTAGGCCGTTCTATTGCCAACCATCGGAGCGCTTGTTGCAACTACTCAAGATGCGTCAGGAAAGGCCACCTTGCGGCCTGTGATGCGGCAACGAAAGAGGCCTCGATCGGACAAGAGAATAGTCGCTCCTTTTGCCTATATATATCATAGTCCTCGACCTCCTAGTCTTCGAGGTCAGACTCGTCAATACATCCCATTTAACTCCCATGGTTGAGCGTTGCACAACATGATGCCATTTGGTAGTGTTCAGCTCGTGATCATCCTGGCATTTCGGCGAGTGCTTACCGAGTGACATAATCAGCGCTCCGCCTTCCAATTTAGGTATTGCACTACGCGAAAATTACGAAGTACAACCCCATCAGTTAAGTACTAGGAACATTGAACAATATACACCCTTTCATTGATTGTTTTTGGGGTCCACCAAGGTTCGATATTAAATATCGAGGGGGCAAAACCAGCACACCGAGTAGCTATCCTTGATTTGACCAACTCCACATTCTATCATAACTATGTTCGCATTGCCTCCGGAGGTCCAAAGTTTTTGGACAGATGCCGACAAGGTCCACACCGCATTTGAAGGAGCGGGAACTGGAGGCGTCGGGGTATATTCCACTGGAAGAAATCTGCACATCAACTCCTTGAACGGTATTGAATTCGACATCACGACTGGTCTCTGAAGTCGAACCTGGTTCCAGGTTCCTATCGCAGTTCATAGGCTTTGTGGAGATAGTGACCAGATCGGATTGCTAAGAAACTATTCGTGGTTATGGCACAGGAAACATCATGAAGACCCCGTGAAGCGTGAGTAGTAATCATAGGGGAGGAACGCCTAGCGCTTTGAGCTAATATTTGCACCTCTGAGAGCTAGCTATCGTTTAGATACCGCGTGCATCCAGTCCCTAACAATTGCTTCCTCCAGTGTGGCAAGATTACCTGCTACAACTGAACAAGTGCAAGTACCTTCTTTCCTGTCAAGCAGCCAGCCTCGCACATGTGACATCGTGCATGCCTCCATCTCAATGGTCACCACTGACCATATCTTCAACGCATGGATGAGGGCATTGTAAATTCTGAGTTCCGAATCTAAAGAGCTTTCTTGTGCACCATTTTCGCAGAATAAATCCTCCTGGACCTTGCTCATTATTGCCATTAGAGAGGCTGAGTTACAATTTGCTGCTGTCGGCCTCTCCTGTTGCTCGACTCTCTGAAATAGATGTGGGCGGACCTCGGACATTATGGTCGTTACCGGGTCGATTTGCCGAGGGATAGGCTTCGGCATCAGCTCAGGAACTATACTTTTATTGATAGCTTCACAGAAGCACTGAAGAACGCGCGTCGCAGAGCTCCGAGACGGATAAAATTCGGCTATCGTCATGCCAAAGGTGAAGAAGAGGCCAAAGACGGCAGTGGTGTAGGTATGGGTTTCCGATGGATGAAAATGGAAGTGATAAAGGATATCTTCCACCGCAGCTCTGGAATTGTCGTGCCTTCAAAGTCGTTCTGGAAGATGATCATGACTGCGAAGCTTAGTGCGAGGGTCGCTCATGTTATTCATTTCTTTCGATGTAATGGACACTGTTTTCAACGACATACTAGACTCTTGAATCAGTCTCAACGAACCCATCAAGAGCTTTTTGAGGGTCCCTAATGTGGCAAAATCGCGTATGCGGTACTCTTCAAATGCGTACTGTGCTGCCAGATAATGTAGCCTGAAGATAGAACGGCTTTAACCTAAATATATCGACACAATTCTGCATTGACCTTGCACATAATTGTCCAGGGCCTCGAAATGCATTGTTCGTAGGAGCGGCTGCCCAAGCACAAGAGCTGCAAAGATCATCGGCATGAAACTCAACATGATGTCCCCAGGCGTCATACTCCGTTGGCTAGAGTCTCTCTCAAGGTTTTGTAGGAGTCTGCCCGAGGCTTAAGAATGATTTTTGAACCCTGCTGCTGACATGCATTGGATATGAAGGCTTCACTCATAATAATAACTCCATGAATTACATTCTTGTTTGTCTGAAGATAAGGAGTTATCAGTATTTTGCCAGGGCACACTAACGCATCCGGACGCGTGCCAAATATGGGTTGGAGCAAGGTCTGTAAGACTGGCAAGGTCAGTATACATTGATTCAAATAGCTTTTCACAGACAGTAACCACTTACAAAAATGTATAAACCCCTGCTCGCTTCGAGTGGTCTTGCCTGCAAGTTTGAAGAAGGGGTTCAAGGTTGCAATGTTTAGATCAAATTTAGTAAGCGGATGTCTGACCAAATGTCTGAAGCCGCCAGTGTCCCCAGCATTAAACGCATTTTTTTGAGTAGACTCGGAAGTAGATTTGGCGTGTTGGGGTTGGGCTTTAGCATCAGGCCTAGGTAGTGCGGTACACGAAGTTCTGCGGGATGGATCGCTCGTGACTATAGATCTGTGCTGCAAACCGCCAACGCCAATCTGGTCTTTGTGTTCACTAATGCAAATTTTTTCGAACGCAAGCCTCACAGCTGGTTTAACGAATGCTTGCTGTTGCTGCATTTGACATGTACCGTGGCTTTCGCTGTCAGGCTTCTGCGCGTCGATTAGTTGATGTCGGCAGATGAGTCATGGCAGCCGTACGATATCTTGAGTGAAATCAACGCGAGTAGTTAAAGTTGAAGAATATGTCTTCCGACATTGCCTTCTGCGATTGTGGGTCCGTGACGCGACATGGGCATTAATTTATGGAATTTTGCTTTTGAGTCCTTCTGGTCCATCGCTCTGAACGTGCAGCACGATATGCAAGGAGCTATTCGATATTGAGTGTGAAAATTGTAGCAGAGCCAAGTATCTGGATCGACCAGATTCAGTGGGTGGGGAACAGAATGGTTGACTTCAGTTTCCGGGGTGCTAATAGAGGAGCTCCTTCATGTGCAGATTGATTGGGCTATCTCACGCATCGCATCGTTTAGACCTTGGCTACATGGTCTCGATTATGTCTGATTGGACTTCACATGCCTCCGGAAATCAGACACCTGGGCTGTGATCTTGTGCAGTCCCTGGCAAGCTGGGATGAGATCTACTGTACCCTGGCTAATATTTGTCGATTTGGTCTTGAATGACTAGAATGATATAATCGATTGCAGAAGAACACATTAAGGGCCCGATTGGATAGGCAAGTACGTTGGGCAGATGCTGGGCCTCTGACACTCGTCCAGGAACAACAATTTATCGGTTCCACACACGCCACATGATACACCATCGAATCTATGCCAATGAGCATTGCAAACGTCCTTGACTTGATCCTCTCAGAATACAGCACTTCTCTCTACGAGGTTGCTGCCGCTACGGCCTACGGGATTTCTCTGTTTAATACACTGCATCATCCCATCGGAACGATGCCGAGGAAACAGAACCATTGTCAAGCTGTGTTTTCAAACTGCGGTCTGTTCCCACGGTCGATACTTGCAAGGATAATGCGAGCTCACTCATCACTGAAATAGTTTTCGTATAATACATTGTCCTTAGTCACTGATAAGAGCTTACTTTTGGCTCCGAGCGTAGTCTTATTGTGATAAAAGTATAGAGCTCTTTGTTTTTGTTCGGTGTTGAATCGCGGGTTGACGCCGCTGTTATGCCGATGATCTTGCCACACAAGAAGAAGTCCCGTTAGGCTGGACATGAGTTCAAGCGTTATCACTGAACATTTTCCTCGCCCGGAGAGTCATGCTGTTTGAGAGAGGTATAAAGCAAGATCTTCCATCGCGTAGTTGGTGCTGCGTCCGAACTGCATCCGGGTCACCACTTCCTCCCACGCTCGGTGAGTGAGCAGGCATCATGCCGGTCTTGCCGGGCTGGCTCACGACTTCTTCCACCTCCCCTCTGAACTGCCATGGTGGGACTAAATTATACATCATGGCATGTAAAACGGCAGCGGCAACTGGACCGACCCAGTGAATCCAGTGCCACGATGTGCCACTAAAACCGGTGCCAACAAATACCCCAAAACATCTGGCTGGGTTCATGCTGGGTCCACCGTAGGCAACCTTTGCGACACTGAGACTTAAGCTCACCAAGCCAAGTGTTAACCCTGCTAGAAACGGGGCCAAGGTTGGGCCAAGCAGAGATTTGTTGCGTGGATCCATTGCAACTCCAAAAACGATGATAATGAGGATGAAAGAGCCTGTGAACTCGACGGCAAAGGCGTTACCTAGCCCAACCTTCTCACTCGCGGGAGCAGTTGAACCGGGAGGGAAGTCATTGATCAGGAAGCATCCGCCCACTTTGAAATCGCGACCACCCCAGCTCGCGCGTAGCATGAGGCCCGCTAGCGAGGCACCGGTGAGCTGGAATGTTACGTAGATCAAAGCCCGAGGTAGAGACGTAAGTCGAACTAGGAATGTGGCGATAGTTATAAAAGGATTCAAATGGCCTCCTGTTATAGGACCAAAGCAGTAAATTGCTAGCGTGAGGATCATAATAGCCTGGATTGTACCGATGATTGCACCGACGAACGTGCTGGTGCCGAGAATGCCTAGGCTTGGTGTAGGACTTGGGAGGGGAGCATTAGCTGGCGACATGGCTAGGTATGCCGTGAGGTAAACAAGGATAAATGTCCCTAAGATCATTGCGCTTGAATCAGCCATGTTGAACTATTGGAAGACGTTTCTGGAGCTGAAGGGCGGCAAAAGCTCACAGAAGATGGGGTTGTGGTAAAAACTAATGAAGTACATACCGACTCCCTCAATAACGCCCTGCTTCCATAGAGCAATTCTAAGCAAGCCCTTTAAGCCAAAAAGCTGTTGATAAGGGATAAGGGGCGCCGCATCTGGTATCTCTTTCAGGAGAGAAGCATTTTCTGGGTCTGTCCGATTGAGAATAAAATCTTGGTTACCACCCAGGCGACCAGCGAAAACATTCACTGCTGGACGGAGCTCGTCACTCATGGTCCAATTAGCTCCCGAGGACAGAGAGCTGTCTTAGGTCCAGGGATGCTTCGGGTATAATCAAATAACAGGAACAATATAGGACGAGACCTTGCTATCTTCGTCGAGAAACGTGTAACTCTAAGAAGTATATACCTTTTGTGAAAACCTGGTTTGGGTTAATGGATACAGTAGCTGTTGAGATGTTGATGAGTCAAAGCTGATAGGGATCTGAATTATTAAGAAGGTCTCCACACATCGCTATTTAGGAAAATACCCTGTGTCATGGGTATGTCACCCCCTGAAACTCAATGTCGGAGAACTTAGCACACTATTCAGTGATCATGAGGCTTTGTCATGGTCACGTAAGCCTCCGTTAACTAGTATACAGAACTTGTAGGCTGCACATTGGGTTCATAACTTCATCCTAGGCCAGAAACTACAGCCGAGCGCTATTTGCCCACGCCAGATTGGATACGTAGATGAATATCAAGGGATACACTCTGTGTACTATGATGACTATGTGTCGAAAAAGAGTCAATGAGCAGCCTGTTACACGGTGCTTTCAGTAAGTCAGGGAATATGCAGATCCAGATACGGCTCGAGGGGTTAGCCCATAAAACCCCATAGTTCTCCGGCTGCTTATCATGCTGTCATGTCCCCTTGGAACCCAAACACCTATAACCGGATAGGGATAGGCTTAGTCTACTCTACTAGATTTACTTGGGGGGAATGTATACTATTTCTCGTCCGAAGAACTGGAGCTAGTGGTTAGCAGCGACATCGTTGCGGTCACAGGTATCGATCATCACACAAATTCAGATGACCGCGCTAAAACGACGAACAGTGCCCAGCAAATCAAGAGTACTTGGAGGCTCATTTAATGTCTGACTACCTTCAAGCCTTGTGTCTGAAATCGGCAAGTATACTACAAAATCCTGTTCGATATAGTCTTTAACCTAGCTTATGTCGATTACGCATAATAAGTCTTAACTGCGTCAACGGTTACTGAAAAGGAAAACAAAGACCAGACCTTTCGCAAATTGTTAGCGTCTAACCTATACGATCATCGATTCCTGAGGACTGCTCTCAGCATAAGTAGGAATTAGCTGGTCACTTGGTCGCTTGAATCTTCTTTCTCAACCACCTTAGGATTATTCACGAAAACTATATATCAGAACTACATTACAAGTTTAAACGCATAAAGAAAGACTTATCCACCTCATTCGAATCGAATCTCTCCCACCAGCATAATGACGACGGGATAAACCTGGGAGAGATTATCGCACTAAATCTTCTTTCAACGGGTCGACAGCCTAGTATAATACCAGTCTTCACCCGAAATACACAACACTAGCTCGCAAAGGCCAAAAGAGCCAAACCTTTCAAAATGCCTTCTGTCACCTTTATGGACGCTGCTTCCACGAACACCCTTTCCATTCACAGTCGACCCGAGAAGGATCAGAAGCCCAGCATTACCCAAACTTACTTCCTCGCCTACACTGCCCGCACCAAGCTCTCTCGCCAGGCTGCCCAACCTGATCCCGACCTCCGACTATTGATCGGACACGCCAACATGCTCGATTCTTTGATATTCGACCTCGAAAACGCTGAGCAAGAGCAAGAGCGGTGGCTCAATAATATTCTCAACGGTTCTTCATTGGAGGGGAAAGAGGTAAAGTATGAAGAGATGATCTTGGTCTTAAAAAAGGACGAGAAGGAAATTGAGAATAAGGCTAAAATCACTACTTCACAAGTCGACCATAGTATCCAGGATAATGAAGAGAACTATACCCTTACCCGCACAGTATAAGACTATCAGCCTCGAGGCCAAGTGCACCACATCGTCAGAGTCTCTGTCTACAAGTCGAAGCCTCCTCCGGACAATGATGCACAGTAAGCAGTTATGCTCCTCTTGCCCGACGGATTTGGGCATGCGAAACATAACTACATCCTGGCCGATGTATCCGCGAAATCCAGCCAGCACACCATTCTGCCAGATTATGTTGAAGGTACTCAGATTCATTTTCGTTGCGAAAACAGATCTATGATCCATGCGGCATCAAGGTGACAGGCTACCAGTTCAGCTGCTCCAAAGAAATCCAGCTGTCCCGATCGATGATCACGACTGGTCGTATGAGGGGAGAGCGAAAGTAAAGGCCTCGGACCTCAATGATTGGACAAAGGGAGACACCTACGCTATAAGAAAAAAATTCCGAATGGATTCTTGATCATCTCTGATGAGTCCAGCATCTCGGTGGACAATATCGTGATGTAAAAAACAATTGCTGTCACTGTCCCAACTCTGCCTGCGCAGACACCAATTTCGACTTGTCGACCGCCGTATGTATTTCCTGTTGTTGCAGAACATAGTCCTTTATTATCCCGCCGCTTTCGAAGATGACTCTCATCATGCGGACCAGAGCACTCTGAACGACATCAGCTATTGATGGTTCAACTACTAGAACAACATCGCTACGGATGTACCCGCCATTTGCAACTTGCGACCTCCGTGCAGAGCCCTGTTGGATAAGATTCAATTGCCAGTAATGGAAGCAAAACTAAGGCAACCCTGACCTCATCAACCTGATTCGCCCTGGTTCCTGTCATTCCTTCTCACCTTGTCGTCGACGAGAGCGAGGACAGCGGCAAGAAGTCAATCAATGAAACTTCGAGATAGGTGGGATGCCTGACATGATCGGCAACATTCTGCTCCGTAGTCTAGCTCTCGAGGTTCTTTATGCGCTGTCCTTTGATAGCATGTCTACCTCAACTATGCCAATGTAGATTGATATCGGGTGTGAAGTATGTTTGGTGAAGAGTACAGGAGCATTACACCAACGGTTAGGGGTGGCTGAGGGCGTTTCCGGCACCACTGAGTCGCGCTGATGTGGTGATGACCTTAGCTTTGAGTTAATAGCACTATTTGACATGCCGATTAAACTAGAAATGTAAATCTGATAAAAATCAATAGATTGGTGTTGCAGCGTGTTGAAGTGCTGAGCGGTGCTGGGAAAACTGCTGGGGGATGACTCTGAAAATTTATTCGTGTATTGTATTCACCGCGAATACATACATAGTATTAGGGTCTGTTCTGTCTGTGACCTTGCGCTGTACATGCAGGTGAGGGAGCTCGCTCTTCGCAATCAAACGATGGCTGTCAATACGGCATGCATGAACGTCGAACATCACCCAAGCAGGATCAAACTGAGGTAGTATGATCCGAAACTCGGTGTCCAACTTTAATTTGATGAGTATCGATAGATGCCGCTAGACGAAGCATCAGAGCCTAGTCAAACAGTTCTCTGCATCGACGCAATGATTTGCTCGGCATTGGCAAAGCTGAGCTCTTGGAGAGTCTCGTTCCAAATCACATCGTTCACGGTCTTGCCTTCGGTGTAGTACCAGCCTGAGAGCCTGCAAGAAGTTTCAGCAACTTGATTCTGAAGGATGGCAACTACGAAGACTTACGGCGCTATCTTGCTGTTCATCAGGAAGCAGCCATGAGAATCTTTGTCGTGTCCCAAAACCGCATGGACATACGTCGCCGCACCCCGGGCCACGGGTCTTCCAGCGATACCGAAGAACATCTTTGCGGCTACGGCTTGCATACCCTTGGTGTCGCGGGCTAGGCCTGTACCTTTGACCAAGCCGGGGTCCACCATGTTGATGATCACGTCGTTGGGGTCTACCAATTCGGCCAGCTTGACGAGGAACAACTGGGAGATTAGTTTGGACACGCCGTATTGCTCCTGTGGGTTGAATGTTTTGGGGTTGTCGAAGGAGGCCAAAAGTGGGCGTTGGCGTCGGTTCGGGAACTTCACCAGGTGCGCGGTGACCGAGTTGACAATTGTGAGGTGTGGAGGTGTCATACCAGGGCTTTTGATCTTCAATATCGGAAGGAGGAGGATTGAAAGGAAGACTGTACCGAGATGATTGACCTGGAGGGTGAGTTCGTGGCCGGTTGATCTGACTGTCTGGTACGTGAGGGGCCCGATGCCGGCGTTGAGGATTGCTATGTCGATGCGCGAAAGGGTTTCGTTACACTTGCGCGCAAAGGCTTGGATCGACTCGTACGACTCCATATCGAGCTGCCAGACATCGATCTTGGCCGAGGGATGGGCGGCTTTGAGCTTGCTGGCTGCTTCGTTGCCTCGGGAGAGAGACCGGACGCCCATAATCAGATGCGACAGACCGAGGGAAAGGAGCTGTTGCGCAGCGTCGAAGCCGATTCCGCCGTTCGAGCCGGTGATGATGGCAACTTGGCCTGCTACGTTGGGGTATTTTTGCTTCGTGGGCAGTTCGATCGTGGTGCAGAATTGATTTCTGAAGAACACCGGTGCAAAATTCTTGGGGAGTGGAGCCATGTCCTTCGACGGGACCACAGGAGCGTTGGCGGTGACCCTGTGAGGCATTTTGTATGTCGCTTCAAGGTGAGAGATTCTGTGTGCCGTTTCGAAGTGAGGGCGCCAGATGGGATGCAAGAAGGCACGACGTGGGTAGTAAGATTATCACTGGTAGAGAGCAAAAGGCACAGGAGGCCGTCCATGCTTTGAGAGCGAGGTAATACTCATCTTTAATAGGAGACCAGTTGCCGGAGCGTGGAAGCTACAACTCCGTCCGGGTGCATGGCCAGGTTTGACATAATGACGCTCATCACATCGTAATCCCATTCATCCTGAAAATGGCTCAGTCTTCTAGCAAAAGCGATAAGTAAGTCCGTTGACAGAAGCCTGCGCAAGATACTAATAACAGGACAGGAATGCGTTGAGGAATGAGGCCACCGGAACGAATGAAGCTAGTCTATATGAGGAAATTCTAGATATCTTGGCACTAGGCAGGCAGACACTGAGTTCCGTCTCCGGCTGTCTCAACTTCGACCTTGCCGGAGGCCTTCCTTTTCCTTGTTCGATGAACTGGCCCCGGAGATTTTACTTCTCCTCTGCTCCTCTATTAGTGACTTCGTACTTCTTCCAACTGTGCGTTCGGGGGGGATACTTGGCCAGTGCCCTAAGACAGCTTCCGGCCCTTAGCAATGGCCAAAGCACAGTGTAAGTGAGAAAGCTTCCATGATACGCACTGTATGAGCAGCGATATAACTCAATGCGTGCCTGTTTTAGACTCAGCCGGGCTTCACTTCATCGTTAGAACATCCGATCAAGCCCCTAACAAGGAGGACCGTCGAGCGGTTATGAGCCATGCTGCAAAACGCCGGTGGAAAAGCCGAAAGACCCCCAAACTCCATTCCTGGATTGATCCCGAGCGCAGCCTGGGAGATGTGGAGAAACACGAAGAATCACTGGCTCCCTCTGTCCTCCCAATGCTGGGTCTCAATCATTTTGGTGGGGATTTAAACGGAACGCCGTTACCTTCGGGTATCGAGCCCGCGATGGTTCAGGATCTAGTCAAATGTAAGAGGTTGTCATAGTACCTGTCCTCATCGTCCCTCTATGTGATAGGTACTGACAGTGGTCGAGTGATTGAGCTCGATAAGAACGGAGTGTATCCATACGAAGTCTGTCTCCGTGTTCATCCCGTGCAAAGAGGCTGGTTCGCATACATGATCAGCGATATCTGCTGTATACATTCCATGATGTTCTCAGTTCGAGCGTTCGTCGATAACATTTCCTCCCTCGAGCAAATTAGCAAGGCGGCAGCCTTTCACTACGACCAAACCCTGCGACATCTTCAAGCTCGAATCAATGTGTTTGAGCACACTGCCTGGGATCCTGCTTTGAGCGATTGCACTATTATGGTAATCCTGAATCTAGCTCAAGCTGCAGAGATCACAGGCGATCTTGAGGCTGCACGGAATCATGTGAACGGACTTTTGAGAATCGTCAGCCTGCGAGGCGGATTACGGTCATTGCACGCGCATAATAATCTTCAAGTCAAAGTTTGCAGGTGTGTTTGCAACGTCCCTCTCTATATTACCCACATTTGGTCTGGTCACTTGGAGTATTATACGGAAGTGACATCTCTGACTCGAAGAGGTAGGGCCGACTTAGGACTTGCAATGAGGTTCGGCACACTACCACGCCTCTTCCAAGACGACATCGAATGGAGTTGCTTCATCGCGGACCGAGGGTTGATTCGCTGCCAGCACGGGGATTTTGAGACTCAAGTTCGAACTTTCATCGATGGTCTCGACTCGCGACTGCGAGACTGCTGGAAAGACGCTCACGCCTTCTCGTGTCTGAGCAACCTGACTTATCAGACCACGCGCAAATTGTCTCCAGGAACGTACTGTGAGATGATGATCTCAATACTTTACCGACTCATGCATCTGTCCATGAAGCAAGACACGCTTCAAGAAGCAGTGCGGCTCGGCTTGCAAGCTTTTTGTACGACTCTTTTCATGACACGGCACTATCTGGACAAACCTTATGAACAGCTTGTTGAGAAATTCAGAACTGCTCTGTACGGCGTTTTTCATGTCTCAGCTATCGTTGTTCCTGACCTCATCATGCTGTGGTTCATGATGCTCTACCGTATAGTAGCCTACAAAGAGCCACTGGCGAGTGATTGGGAGAGTGTCCAACTGGAACAGGCTGTTCTCTTGACTGGGGTTACCACGTGGCCTCATGCGCATTCCATGTTGAAGTCTGTCATGTGGGTTGGCTTTGTCCATGATTCTCCCGGCGTCCGAGTATTTGAGGCAGCCAGAATACGACTGGAGAAGCCCAAGGAGATTGATGGCCAGAAAAACGAGGACCGCCGCCACTCAGGTGCCAATACTGAGCTAGGCTGAACAGCAGACTATGCCATAGCTTTGGGGGCACCAAGGGAGTGAATGAAACGGGTAGTGAATCTGCCATGATCTATTTCGCATGTTGCGGTCTTGGCTGGGAATATTGAAATGCATGTTCTCATGTTGCTGTCACATAATCATTGGCTTTCGAGACATGTTGAGGACACCAACTGCTCAAGGCCATGCTATGGAAAGATTTGTGTACTAGCTGACGTTGCACAGGGCAGCTGTCTGGTATTGAAGGCTGATATTGAGGAGGGCACACTGAACGAGGATCGTCCAATGCGGGGCGTGAGAAATCCGTATTATCGCAGGATTAGTCAGGAATCTGTTATCACCGAGTAGTCAAGGGATTTCTGTTCAAGCACTCAATACACGGTGTACTCGTTTCTTTTTCAGAATTTCAATCCCGGCTTTGGATTTCAGTTACCCGAAGTACACTTCGGCTCTATAGTACGATCGACGGTAATCAATGGTGATTATCTACTATCGGGGAAATTTTAGAACAGTTCCACATTTTCTGTTCGAATAATGTTGTTGCCTGACGATTTATTGGTCGGATAATTCGACCACCTCTTCCACATCCACTTCTAAGACTGAAAGTATAGCGGTAAAAGCTTTCAATTCCAGAAGTCTCGAGTGGCCAACAAAGTATTGGCTAAGAAAAGATGTCAATGTCCCCACCAAGCGAGAACCCTTCATTGTCTAGCGTAGGCAAGTCATTAGGGATCCCTGTGGCCCAGTTCACTCTGCGCCCATGTGAGATACCTGTACCCCCGATGGAAATTGTCCTTGGCTTCCTCGGTCGGTATCGGGGACAGATTTCCCATCCATCGTAATTGCCTTGTCCTTCTCGTACAAAACTTTTGAATGCAGTGCGTTCCAGCTGGTATGCTCTTTGATGACGAATAAAACAACTCTACCATCACATTAGATATCGATCTCGCACCCTTTGATTTGGAATCGCTGCGTCACAGTGGCCTTCATCCGACCCACGGCCCGGTCTCCTTCTCGATTCAAGTTCACCAGAGTGCCATTCTCGCGATGCATGATGAAGTCGCCTGCTGCTTTATTTACTTTGCATGAAATCATCGATTGCTAAGCCGCCACTCCATGCTGGTTGTGAGATCAGCTCATCAGCGTCACTGAGGTGCTTAAGACGTACGCTCCTTTGTCCGCGAACATGCTTCGAAAACTTTTCCACCAGAAGCATCGCCATAGGTGGGCCAACCCTTCAAGAGCTTCGATATACAAAATTGGGCCAGCATCTCATCAACAGTGCCATTGAAATGGTTCAATGTCCTTGACCTTGTCTCCTTTTCAGTCACGTTACACTCCCTCTCTGGAAGCGCAGGTCCTTGAATATCTAGGTCTCTTCGACAATATCGGCTTTATTCTCTTATTGGTTGGCACGTTTAGTGTACCACCGGAAGAGATAGTAATCAGAAAGTCTGGAAGTCGGAATTCGATGCTGGCGCCCGCTAATTACACATTATAAGCTTGTCTTCTAGATCTAGTTTTGTATCACGCCCTAGTCAGAATGAACGTTTCATGTTCGAGATAAGTAAATGGAGACATTATAGTTCTTCTTTCTATGCAATCAAAGTTTCACTCGCCCTCTAAGCTTCGATATATTGGCACGAGCAGGTAATATACTGCGTGATAGTGCCGACAAGAGTCATCAAGCCCCGCAATGTGATATTCGGACTATACAGGAAGCTCTTTTCCCAACTACAGCTGTGAATTTTACATGGCTCCGGTAAGTCCAGAGCTGGCCGAGATGAACTGCGCTGTAATCCACCTTGCCTTTTCACTCGCAACCCAGGCCACCATATCCGTAATATCCTCTGGATCTGCAAGACGATCAGAGCCTCTTTGCTGAGCTGGATAATAAGCCTAGCGTCGTGAGAAGCTTGTGACTCCATGTGGTAGATCGGATTGTTTCCAAGGCATGGAGAATCAAGAAGACAATCTCGATAAGTATTTATAGGCCTCAGCCCTCGATCGGAGCCACCTTCTTGAGCGAACGTCTACGTCATAGCGCAAGATTATTTGAGAGAGTTAAAATTGGGAACCCACGGATGTTGCCCATAACCGCCGTGTAGTGAGCTCCAATGTTTGCTTTAAATCTCAGATTCGGCTAATCGAACGTTAAAAGTAAAGATGTCGGTCGTGACTAAACCCAGAACGATTAGGGGAGGTGGATTTCGAGCGGCTCCGAGCGGGCGTACAATATCTTTCCCATTCTGCGTCGATAAACCATGTGTGTTGATCATGCGCCTCCTAATGAAGGGTCTTGACCGCGTACCCAGTTATGCTGTCCCAAGGCAACCTATCCCCAGCACGCTTTCTTTTAGCCATCTACGGCCATGCATACCTCAAGTTCCATCTCATTATTCCGCAGAATCGGTCTTTCCCAGAACCAAGCACCGTCCAGGACAAACAACGCCTAGTTGAACGGTCTATTGCCCTCAGGTCGGCAGCTCAAACTCAATGCAGCAAAGTACAGTGCTTTGGCAAGATTATGCACCGATGAATCCGTCCGGTATTCTAGCAATTCCTGATAGAAAAGAAGGCTAAAGTCACGTCCATCATCGTCAGTGATTGGCTAAATAGTTCCCAGGACCGATGTCGCGCCGGCTACCAACAAGGAGGTGATCAGGCAGGAAGATTCGTCTCCGAGCTCGACGGTCTGCTCGCCATGATGCACACGCAATAATGACACGTGTCCTTGAAGATTAAGGTCGAATATCTCCCGCAATTCAAAAGGTACGCCTTTGTCGGCAAACTCGATTGAGTCTTGCATTGAGGTCGTCTCCTTGGACAATGGGCGACGGGTAGTCTGTGCTCAAGAGCGACAAGGCGAATGCTTCTTCGTCGAGAGCTACGCGCGAGTATGCGTGACTGGACTCGTGGCTGTGCCCGTAAAAGCTGATGAGATCCACGCCTTGGCATTCACCAAGGAAAGCCTCCTTCGTTGCCTCCTTGCTCGTCTTTGCCTCAACACCTAACAACTTTACAATGTCTACGGCGCTGGTTCTAAGCCCCTTCCCGGTCGTCCGAAGGGTTTCCGTAAACGATGATAGAGAGTGATTCCGGGGGAGATTGTTGTTTTCGTCGATGCAGACCGATATGAAGAATCGAGAGACTTATGAAGTAGACAACGCAGTTTCTCTCCAAGAGTAGATTCTCGTCTTCAATTTCTAGACCGTGAAAGACCAGTGTATATAATATTATGATGAGAAGTAGAACTATAACGTCTTCTGGCTTCATGTATAGATAGAGAGGCGCAACGAGGGGCGCAAGCTCTTTCATCTATTGTTCATTGTTTCGGTTTGCGAGACTTCACCGTTAGTGTATCGAAATGGACAGGTGGAGAGTTACACTTACTCGCTATCTTTAAGTGCAAATAATTCTAGTTCTGAATTGTCTGAATGCGGTGTTTAAGGGGATACAGTAATGGGTCTTCGCTTTGATGGACAATTACCAGTATAAGCTTGTTATCTACCTCCATCTAGTCTAAGCAAATGATTCTTGCCTCTGAGTGGCTTCAATCTCGTACAGACTGGCCAGCTTCACAACTCGACCCTCCCACATATTAAGCATGTTGCCTAAGGACGGGACTTCCTTGAGCTGCTCGTGAAGGCTCTCAAGACCTTTCCGCGTATTGAAGCCCCGTTCAGGCTTTAACATCTCAACCTCCTGGATAAACTGGCTTCTAGCATCGAGGAGGTCTTGCGCATCTGCGTCAAGACCTCTGACTGCAGGAAGCGCCATGACAGCAGACCGTCCGAACATATCGAAAACACTTCGCGCCTTTCCAAGATGCGTCCACTTCCAGAATTCGGCTGGCCTTGCCTGTAGATGTCTGTAGATGCCTGTAACATAGTTGTGTGGCGAGCCTGACGATTGGTAAGAACTTTCTTCCTTTCGAGGGCTCGCAGACCCTGGAGCGCGGAAAGCTCGTTCCTCATGTAAACAGTAATATTCTCGGCGGCCTCAAGTTCTTGGAGAGCTTGTAATGCGGCGTCGGTGACGTCTACTACCTTGGAAATCTCATCGGCTTTTGGCTGCAATAACACAAAGGCCTATACATGCGCCCTCCACTTGATGGCGATCTCGTCCCAACACTTCCCCACAGCCTTCGCTCGGTCGAGACACTTAACGGCCACCATGGGAAATATATCAGGCTTCAGACGGGAACAATTATTCCACCATATCACCGTCGAAGATAGTCCCAGTGCCCATTGCCTTACTATGCAGATTGCGCAAATTTCTTAGCCGAGGGATCTCCGCCTGGGGGGATGGCCGCCGTGCAACAACCATCGACTCAACAACGAATATTATTGTCAAGTTATGCCTAGCATCGTGCGGGTCAAAATTTTCGGGGGAATCAAGACACTTCTGAATGGAAGCCTCGCAAGACTGGCTTGGGCAAGGGAAGCGAGCTGAGAGGCGTACGAGAATGGCGTGCATCTTACAGGATGTGTCCCAGTCTTCAATGTCCTCGTCTTTCTTGATCCATTCTTAAATAAAGTATTCCAGGTCCTGTCGATCAATTTTGAAACCTGGGGCATGCTTCGAGCCCAATTGGTTGAATCTCGCAAGTGCCAATTCACCGGCAGCGTAAGAAGCCAGAACATCCTGCTCATTTCGACCAGAAGTATCCAGCATCTTTTGCAGGTTGATAAGCCTAAGATCTAGTTTGTCCACATTGACATTAGTAAAGATCTGGCGAAGCCTCACCCCCGCTCCCGTGTCTGGTGTTAGTTGCTTCCAACAGGTTTTCAAAGTTGCTTCGCCGCCTTCAAGGATCTTGCCGCGACCGGCAGCGAGGATTATTGTATCTGGCTCGGACAAGCAGCAAGTCTGCGAGAAGAATGCAACTGTTCGGTCTATAATCTCTGAGATGCGCTCCACAGTCTCACGGAAGGCGCAATAGTCTCTGAGCGTCACTGCGATGTCGGCTCGAAACTGGAGGACGAGTTGTTATCCACCATGATATTGGACCTTTCCATAGTCTCCAGCCATATCAGCGAGCTTCTTGAAGTCTCTGTATAAGTCTTATTTGTAGTGACAGAGATATTTAACAGTCACATTACTATCTGCTTCTACCAACCTCCTTGAATATTAGTCCATCGACGCGCTACGTTCTCACTCACTCCTACTAAAAATAACTAACGTGAAGAAGTCAACGTTGCTAAAAGAACGAGATGCCTAATCACCTTGGTCGCAGGATTTGATTCGTCAGTTTGGAAGCTCTCGTTTACTTCGAGTTCTTGAGCAAAAATTCGAAAGTCTTCCTTTTCTTTGCAGTAAAACGGCCGACTGAAAATTGATATCTTATTGCTAGGCCATCAGGTTAATATTGGACAAACCATAATATTCCTGATCGAATAAACTTCAAATTATCCGGTAACAGATCTTCTCTGTTCTCGATGGTCATTCTTGATTAGCCTTCTGTAATGAAGCTTCTCCGTTTCACTTCCTTCTCGCTTTCGTCTTGCCCAGTCTCATCAAGCTTTAGAAATGTCTGTATCCTGAGAACTTTGGCACTTTCATCATGGACATATTTATGTGCGCAATATGCTGCGAAGCGATAAATAGAACAAGATTTAGTCCCTCAAAAAGCACAATGATGATTGTCACATAAAAGGTATAGCTCTAAAGGGAGTCAGGATACGTCAGTAGAGATCCCCCTGTGTAATGGATAAGGAGCGAAAAGGGTTTATCTTATCTCCGCAGAAACTGTATAAGAATGAAATCGGATTTGGAATTTGAACGTACGTTCTTGACGCAGAGGGCATTCCATGTCACGGCATCACCTTTGGCAGAGCGTTTGTTGCAGCTCCACGACCAAATATCCCAGCTAGTTTTCTTGTCGCCCATACTGTCAATGGCCCTGAAGTACGCTAAAGCCGCAATCCACGCCGCAAGAAGCAAGCTAGAGCTTAGGTAAACGCTCCAGATGTAAATTGCACCACTCCGCGCGCTCTGGCACTGATGGACCAACAATAAACAGGTTAGACATAATTCCACTATTGTTGTTACGAGAAGGGAGGAGGACTCGAAGGACACAAAAGGAGAAGAACATATGGATACGTACACAACCACAGAGACTTCCAAATGCTATGAAGTGGATGCCCACGGCACCCACAGCAACACCGATCATGACCCAGGTGGGCCGTGTATCGACAACTGCCCAGATCTTGGTCTGAAAACCAGTCGTCTTGTTCTTTGCTGTCATATGTTGCGTCTTGAGCCACAAATACAATGAGTAGGCCTGGATACCAAGGATTGTGATGGTCAGGACAAGCGACAGGACTCTGAAGACGGTACGAGAAGCTTGGAAGCGAGCCCGAGGCGGGCGATCCTTGTGGTGATGGCTACCCTTACTACATGGCTGGTCTACAGCATGTGGTTGGCGTGTGTAGTCTTCCTGCTTCAGAAGGGTTTCGTCATCGGCGACAGCGTTCATGTGCCCATCAGCATCGTACTTGTCTCGGCCATGCCGAAACGGCTCATAGGAAGACGGGCGAGGGTCCATCTTTCGCTGCTAGTCAGTTTGAGTTGAACCGGTGGCCTCTGACCTGAAAAAAAGGGTGGAAAGCGCGATCGAGATAAGCAAAGAACGATTTAGTAAAGAGATACAGGGATTTTGATACTGGCAAAGTTGAGCATATAAGAAGGTTATTACTGTATATAAAGACCTCTAATTAGGTACATCCCTGGACGCTATATTTAACGCATCGAGTTGGTCATCCTCTCGAAATGAGTAACAGGACCCATAACTGGACGGTGACTCCGTGAACGATGTTACCTGATAATTACATACATGCAAACTTTTATTAATCCACGGGCTGTATAGATTGCCTGTGAATAATATGCTTACCAGGTTTAATAGTGCTTACAGGGGAATTTGCGAGTTTAGGAGACATCGTTGCTTAGTGCTTATAGGTGACTTTCATATGGCCGCATGTTTCATATCCTGGTGTTTTGACCCGTCAAGGAGATGGCAGAGGGCTACCACTGAACCTAGTGATGCTGCCAGGACCCTTTCCCGTTCCTCTCAGCTATAACTTATACGGCAAGGGCCTCGAAAGCTATTTCAGCAAACATGTCAAATTTCGATCCGACATCCTTGGCAAACGGTCCATGGATGAAGAGCTTTACACTTTGTGCTTACAGGTCGCATGACCTAAAGAGCCTAAAGCTCTAATTTGGTCTATCATGGACACATACCATTGTTCCTGCCCAGGCGATAAGCTTATAAGCACAAGCTCTCAGGTGTACAGATAGAGCTGTTCTACTCGACACGAAATCTCCATCGCGGATTAAGTCCTCAGATCACCTTACTGGCATTTCCAGCCATAACAGCGCGGCATCAGACAGCTTGTTCCTCTCTTACTTCATTCTAAAAGTACAGATAACTACATATATCATGAAGGGTTTCTTAAGCCTCTTTTCCCTTATCCTGGTAGTGGCCGCCGACATCTCCTTACAGACTTTTATCGATGACAATTGCGGAGCAGACGGAAGTACCGCCATCCAAGATGTCCATGCCAACGGCAAAGATACGGTCGACAGCAGCGGGTGTGAGCTACAGGGTCAATTCAACTCGGTAAACATCGTCAGCGTCGACCCGGGCTTTAAGTGCAATATCTACAGCGACACGGCGTGCCAAAACTTTATCATGTCGACAGAGATAGTCGCATGCACGCCTGTGATCGGGCAGGGGGTTAGCTGCTTCAACCAAGCCACCTTTGATAACCCGTTTATCGAATCGACGAGCGATGTCGCGATTGGCGCCTTAACAGTTCAGGTTGTCGGTGGAGACTCGCTGCAGAACCAGATCAACAATGCTGTCAACCAGGCATGCACAAGTGGTAGTGCTTGCGATCCTACTAACACGCTCGTTCTCTCGCAAACTTTCGGACCCGGCAATCCTGCGTGTAACGAAGGGCTGCAAGATATCGACCCGAAGGCGTGTTCCTCGGAAACATGCACCACCACGATCTCAATGTCAGGAAGCTTCGATGACAACAACCAAAGAGACTATATGAAAGCTGTAATCCAAAAAGCTTTGAATAACACTCCGGCTCTAGTTTCTTTTGTCGCAGTCCAGGTTGTTGACAAGAATAAGGCTTTACAAGCGTCCATGACAGTCAGTACCGCCAGTCAATGCACTACCATTCGACCTCCTCCCGACTTTCAGTGTTCAGATACTTTGAAGGATCTTGTGAGTGGCGCACTAGGGTTGGTACCGGATGTGGGAGGAGTTGCGTCGCTCTCTTTTCAAGTGGCTTGTGACGCGAGTAAAGGTGGATAGTCTTTAGAGCTTGAGTACTGTTGTATAATAATATGACTATCTGGCTGAAACAGGCACGCTATTCTAGTGTGGAGCATTGCTTTTTCTCCCTGAGACTGCTCGTACCACGACCAGAGTAACAACTAGAGTAGAATGTAAACTGATTAGCCCGATTCCCTGTACTGCAGGCTGCGGTTCCTTCTTGCGGATTCTATCAATGTTGACGAGGTATTGAGATGAGGACTGTCACCCAGGCTACTGGAAGATGCTACTAGATGAACAGCCGGAATGACATAAGATAGAAAACCCATCGTCTTTTTGGCCAGGCGAGCTTTGAAAGAGCCAGACGCCGTTGGACTAAGGTGTGTCATACCAATACGGTTTCTCCCTCTGCATTCTGTGCGTCCGACTGCTCTCACCCATGCCCAGGGCGGAGGCTCACTTATCCGGCGTCGAACAATCGAAATGAGATATGTCTAAAGCGTTGACGCCGTTTTGAGTTTCAAAATTTCAAGACATCCTCACTCTCCATGAAGAGTGCCACTTATTGCTAGAATTAGGCAGTGACCAAACTTGCGATTTACGCCTGGGATATTTATCTGCTCCAGATAATATCCATCAACCACTTGCAGTCTACGTGGCTCAAAAGTTGCGGAATAAGAGGATATATACCGGCGATGGCTCTGAGCGTTGCCAGATTTGCCTCTCCGCTAGCCGAATATCCATCCTGGCTGCTGGTCATGATTTTTCGCCGCGGTCTCTCTACACTTTTGGTTACAGCACAGAGATAAGTAGCTTGCCTCGACATGTCTTCGAAACCGATAGCTAAGCAGCATATTCAACGCAGTAATGCAGGCTATGCCCTTATCATCGCGCTCACGACATAGAGTTCTATACTAGGGTATTCAACTAAATATTGTTCAAAGCTGCCCCTAAATTGCTGTTGGCTTAATAAAAGGATGTGTATTACCTGGATTGAGCATTAAATTCGACAATGAAATGAAAGGTTCCATGTTTAGAAAGCAATAACTACGAAGCTTTCAAACGTGATAGACTGGCTATACTGGGTATCAGGATATATTCATTGAACAATCTGTTATTTCATGGATCAATTTTGTAAGCACAAGGATGGAGGGTCTGGAATTAACCTGAACAGCGGCATGCAGATTATGCTACCACCAACAGGGTAGTAGGGGTCATTTTTACAACGACCCCTTTGAGATACTCTCCACTGACACGGTCCGAGATAAACTTTTTGTCTTCATAAGCCTTTAGCGGCCATAACTCTTTCAATGGCCTCCTTCGCTTTCTCTTCGGCCTCAAGGAAAAATTTGCAAGCATCTCCGAATCTTTTGTTCAATACCAGATTCCCTGCGATGAATCGGTCAAGATTTTTACCCCCATCCGCCACAAAGTCTGTGTCCATTGTGGCTAGCCTTCCACTCCATTCGGGTGCGGAAAGCGGGTCCAGGGTCTCCAATGTCTTCAGGCGCTCCGCAACGGTGAACTCAGCATACGGATGTGTAGGTTTCTTCTTGAGCACTGGGGCAAGGGTGTCCGGTGTTTCCATAAGCTTTTTGAGATTAGGGCCTTGAACGGTGACATGTTGACAACCTAATTCGGCCATAGCAAGGACTTCAGCAACGTTAAAATGGCTGTAGCCGCAGCAGGGTCAGCAGTAGCTCCGTGAAAACTCGAACAGCAGCCTTTGGTGCTAAATCTACCTTGCAATGACCATGATTGGCTGTTCTTTTCCCGTCTGCGCATAGGCTTCCGCAAATGTCTTGAGGATGTGTATTACACGTGCTGACATGGGATGCTATGTGAACTGTTAGGTCATTGCATCTATGTGGCAACAAGTGGACATATTATACCTCGAGAGCAGGGTCTTTGACATGTGGGCGAAGCCCCGGGTCTAAATGCGCTGCAATTTCTAAATTGAAGGTAAGTTTGGGAAGTAGAGGGTGGACGTTAAAGACTTTTGACCGACCATTATAGTATGGACTGATGAATAGACAATTTGACTGGCTGGCTGCAATGGCTTGTTCAAGAGAGAAGACAGCCGTAGCTAGCGTGCGAATTCCTTGAGCATTGAGCTCAAGGGCCGCCGAAGCCCCAGCTCCAGAAAATGGCACTTTAATGGCGAATCGATCTCTGGAAATACCAGCCTTCTCAAATGCTTCGGCGTACTCTTGGCAGTGTTTGATTATGGCGGCACAGTCATTCACATAGCGGAGCGAGGTCTGGACTAGGACACGGCCAGACAAGTATTGGACATTCCTGGCACAAAAGGTCACGGCCTAAGATAAGAAACATCATTAGAACTCAAACCGCCAAGTGACTTTATGAACTGGCTGAAAAAGAACGTACCGCCGTGTCGTACACTTTCTGCCAGCCCTCTTTGCCGTATTTATCAACCAGCTCTTCTAGAAGCATCTGATTCTCGGGCTTCAGCAACTCTTGCGTGACAACACCTTGATTCGACGTCTCTGATCATTGCGTTAGCAGTGAAGATGCTCTTTCACAGACTCTCGTGTAGACGTACGATTGTTGGGAGTGAAAGGCAAATTTTTGATAAGATCTGTGTTGACATCGTCAACGTCGACGTTACAGAGCTCTTCGAGTCTGTCGAGAAGGGAGCGCGGTGCCATGATGTATGTGACGGTAAGAGTCCTATTTTTCCTAACAAGGTTCTGACTAAGCAGGCGTTGATGAGACTGTGCTAGGAAAGACGGGAAACTGGCACTCACTATCCGAGGTTGACACCCTGTGCTGGTAACGAGGATGAGCGCAGGAAGAATGACCTGAGGCCTGGTCTCTCTTTTGTTTTAACCCATCTTCTCCCATCTTCTCTTTGTTTTATCCCTCGGCCCTTTCGTTTCCCGATGCCAGTGAACTTTCCCTGCTCTGCCCGTTACGCATCCTCAAAGAGAAGATTGCCATGTCCCGCCGCTTCGACCGACCGGCCGATCTGACTTGAGGGGCTGCGGGTCCAGGTCTCCTTTGACGGCGGTCCGCCTTCCGCCGCTAACCGAACGTGGTACGCGTAACAGCGGCAACGGAGGTGATGCTGGAATGAGCGAACTTTCCCAATCAATTCCAGCTCAAGCAGATAGACAACTTTCGGTGGTTGCATCCGTCACGAAGTGCTGACGTTCTATTATAACCGATAGCCATAGGGTCCATGTCGGCAGATGCAGCAGAGAGGGCAGAACCCCAAAACCTGCCGAGATCGGATCAATAGAGCGTCTGACCCTGGTTCCTGTTTCTTGAAACCCATTCATTCTAGCTCGACTGCGTACACTTTCCATGACACAACCGCACCTCTCTACTACCATCTTTCTCTATACTAAGGCATTGTTCTTTTCTGATCTGCGAATTCCCACGACACGATGATTTCAACAGAACCCTTTGTCGAACCAGAAATGAACGGGGGTTATGCAGGGGAAGGCGACTCCGCTAGAGATCTCTTTTCCCTCGGCCACAGAACAATTATCGGTATGTGATGGAGTACTGCAAAGTGAAGGGACGCAAAAGCGTTGTCCACTTTACTCCCAACTTCCCTCGTGTGCACAACGAAAATCTTACTCTGGGCGGGTGGCAGTAACCGGTGCCATGGGCGGAATGGGCGTGGTGGTTACCAAGGCGATCTTGCAGTCCGGAGCCGATGTGATTGCCATTGATCGCGACGCAGAGCCCAAGGATTCTCAAAAAGGTGAACAACAATCCACGAAGATTTTCTTCTTTCTCCAGAGTGACAATTTAGCGAGGAGGTTCTGAGTACTGAGCTAATGCTGGGTGTTGGTGTTGGCGTTTCCTTCTAGAAGACTTACAACGAACCGCAAAGAGCAACGGAACCATCGTGGCCTACTACCAATGCGACATAGCCAATCTAGAGTCCACCCACGCTGTCTTTGAAGAGGCCGTCGCCTCAGCCCGATACCCCCTGCGCGGACTGGTCAACTGCGCCGCGATCGGTTGGGTTGGCCCGACCATCAGCTTCTCTACTGAGGAGGCGAAACGAATCATCGATGTTAACCTCATTGGTACGCTGATATGTGCGCAGGCTGCGGCACAACTGGTCAAGAAGCACAGTTTCTCCGCCAGCTTTGTCTTTATCGCGAGCATGAGCGGATACGTGGTTAATAAGGTATGTCATTTATCCCATACGAATATCTAACCCTTTTCAAAGGCACTGTGACCAAGAGGGCAACACATACAGACATAAGCACTGACTATCGGGTTCATCATCTTAATAGGGGACTCCAAATGCGGCATATGCCGCCTCCAAAGCTGGCGTACATCAGCTCACCCGCAACATGGCGTCGGAATGGAGCTCCACGACAGAAGACGGACCTTCAATCCGGGTTAACTCGGTCAGCCCGGGCGTCATCCGCACACCGATGACAGCGAGCGTGCTGTCCAACAGCAACTTTGAAAAGATGTGGACCGAGGAGACAATGCTGAAGCGGCTATCCGTGCCTGAAGACTATAGAGGTCCCATAGTCTTCTTGCTCTCTGATGCGAGCTCATATATCACGGGGGGGGACTTGTTGGTAGACGGGGGATACACGCAGTGGTGAGGTGAATATAGTTCGTTTTTAGAAACAACATCATCAGGAACGGACAGCTTACAATGAGCAGGAAATCCGGGGAGACTATAGTTCATGTTCCACTGTAGTACTTCACTCCGTACACATTTCACATGGCAGCTGTGCTTCTCTGGAAACTGTTGTTTGCTTTTCCACCCTAGGTCTCATGAGGGCAATCTACGTAGAAATGTAGAAAGTAAGAGCACAAGGGAGACGGAGTTTTGAAGAACAAAAATTTACCAATTCTTACAGTCTCGTCGTGTAGGAAGTATGTTCTGGCGCGCGGCTCACGCGTATGTTCCCAATGCGCTATCTGCTTCGCGAAATGCCTATGTAGACTGACATGCTTACGGAATTTTGCGAGGGAATATTATTTGACGGTCGTCAACCTTTGCGAGTCATCTGCTCCACCCTAAGGCACCGAGGCATCCCTGCCTTTATTACTTGACCAGTGGCCAGATTGCCTCTCTCTTTCGACCTACAGAAACTAAAGTGAAATATATCTCGCCGTGTGACACCAAGCTGTGCGGTATCTAAAGCCTCAAACGATACCCAATGACACGTGTTGAAGAATTCTCTGAGAAATACTCCTCAAATAGCGTACTTCAGCCCGAGAATTCAAGCACTCGTAAGAGAAGCTGCAAGGTGGTGGCTTTCTAAAGTGCCGGAATCGAGCTGGATGCTCTTTGTGCGCTAGGCTGCGCCGCTTATTTTGGAGTCCGTCTCAACTCTTCTTTCCATCTGACCTTGCGAGCCTTGTTGGTCGCTGCGCTCAAAACGGCAGAGAGGCTCCAAGTCTTCTCCACGTCTGAAGAAGAGGTACCGCCTCAACGCCCATGGCAGGACCTAGTCTGATTCAACACCAGAAGCATGGTAGGCAGTGAGGCTCTACGTACCTTTTTGACTTGGTAGTTGACGAATTGTCTTGTCGGGACCGCAAAAACGTAGTCGAGCTCTTCCAGAGTGTAACCACTGGTATCAGGGACGAAGAGGAAAATTAAGATCAAGACGAATGAGTTCATTCCGCTGATAGGGTCTTGTCGTTAGCACTACCAGGCTTTTCAGAGGGCCAGGGTTTGAGTCTTACGCATAAAAGCCAAATGCACCCGGGGGGGGGGTGAATTTGCTCAGCATTAAGGGAAAAGTCAACGAAAGAGCTGAGGATAAGGCAAAGGTCGCGGAAACGGCCCAACTGTTCCCGATCTCTCTGTGCGACAATGGAAAGGCTTCCGCGGAGTATACAAAAGCAACCGGCCCTAATGCAATCACAATTAGTTCTATGAAGGTGAACTATCGATACGGTTGAAATTACCTTGACCAACCGAATAGAGAGCGGTAAAAGCGTAAACAAAGAGGGCAATCATGCCAACATGTGCCTTGCTGGATTCGGGAATGTAGAAGCAAAATCCCGCGGCAAGCATTGTCCAGGCCATGTGTGGGAAGGTTGAGAGAAGCAGAGATCTGCAACCCAGTGTCAGTTGAATCTGGCATTTGTATATGGACAGTTAGACTTACCTTCGGCCACATCTATCTATGAGAAAGATTGCCGGGATAGCAAAGACGAAGTTGACAATCCCATAGCCTAGCGAAGTAAGCAGTGCAGTATGCTCAGACGCGCCAGCTTCGACAAAGACCGTCGACGAGTAAAATGCAATGATGTTCATCCCTATGAGAAACACAGATCAGCTTCAGCATGTTTCTGCTGGAAAATTTCCTGGGCCAGGGAGTTCGAACGAACATGGGGCATAATGCGTAGATTTGATGTGTAAAGATTTGAAGGTAGACTGTAACGCACCGCAGAATTGCTGGCCCATGAAGACGACCAAGGCTGCTATGAAGCTTCGTCGGTTACGGGGGACCGTAACAAGCTCGCGTAGTCTAACAATATATGTCGACGCAGCCGCCATCTCGCGTTCGATCAGTAGCTGAGCATGGACGTAATAAAGATCGCGTGCTGCTTGTATTCTGTGTTTCCGCAAACGGCAGAGTGACTCAAATGCTTTTCGATAGCGATTCTTTTTCATCAGCCAGCGTGGAGACTCTGAGGGCTTCGTCAGCAGACAATCAGAAAAGACCGCTCGGAGACCACTATACCTGGACAGAAATAAATAAAGAGGGCGAGAGGGACAGCTGGGATGAAAGCAGACCCAATCTGAAGCCTCCACGCAATCTTGCCAACCTTGTAGACGGCCAGATTGGCAGCAAACCCGAGGAATATACCGAAAGCCGTCCACATCTGCCAGCCCATAACTAGGGCGCCTCGAATAATAGCCGGAGAGTTCTCTGCAGCGTACATTGGGATGGTCGCAGCTGTCGGAAAGAATGGATCAGAATACTTGATGGTGAGAATGCGATGCCGACAAGTGGAGTGGCTTACCTTTTAGGCCCATACCAAAACCCATGAGGAGCCTTGTCACGAGAAGTTGATGCCAACTTTGTGAGAGTGCACCGCCGATTGGTGTCAGGATGCAAAATATGGCGGCTACGAAAGTTGCCCTACGCCGACCAAGGAGCGAGTTGAACGGGTCAGAAAGCCAGCATCCCCTTCACATTGTCAGTATGTACTGGCTTGAGAATTGCGTTGCTCCCCAACTTACAGGAAAGCAGAAGAGATATAGGGAGCAGCGTTGACTAGACCGATCAGCCAATTGTCTCTGCTGGAGCCAGATCCGATGCCAAACTCGACAGGGAATGTCAAGTTGGCACCATTCGAGCCCGTTTGATCCCAACCCCTGTGTCTCGTCAGCCTGGGCGCGCCCAATTTGGGGATTTCTGTAGGACTTACTGTACGGCTGCGCCAATCGAGCACACGAACACAGTGGCATAGAGGGCGAACGGGTGGGTCCACCTGTGCTTGATCTCATGCTGTAGTCCCTCAAGCTCATCCGGATCGAGCTCTTCAATTTCTGCCAGCGGAATCGCTGCTTGGGCAACGTATGCACCTTTTTGTAGGAGAGGAAGGATGTCAAGAAGACCCTTGTCGGTGGCGAAGCGTTCCACTTGCAGCATCAGATCATCTTTCGCGATTCCCGCTAGAGGATTGACCAGCCTGTGTTATGCGTGTTTAGTACGATGTCGCTGAGCAAGGCATTGTTAGTCCGTCTCCATACCTCGCAGTGCTGTTCTCTCTTAGAATCTCGATGGGCATGAGCCCTGTAGGCGATGTTTGCCTTGCCTCATCATGGGAGGCATACTCAACTTTCTCAGACGAATGCTTCTCCGCCATCTGGAAGGGTAAAATAATCAAAAGATAAAGGCTTCAGCCAGAACGCTAAGGCTATGGAAGGATGGTGCGAAGTTGGTTTGGGGGAACAGTCATGAGCTTCAGCAGGATGGAAGGTGCACCTTATGTTCTTTGGTCCCTGGCTGTCTGCTTTCCAGATCCGACCCTATTGATTCCAGACTGCTGGTGGTTCGGGCCCCACGGGGTAGAAATAGCTGGGGTTGTTGTGAGAACGGACCGAGCGCTTGCTAATCCTCAATGCTCCAGTCGGTGTTCTCAGCAACGTTCTATGTACTCCAGTCCACAACAAATTGCGCCGGGCTGAAGCACCAGTTCCCTGGTCGGTGGGTGTCCACATCTAGCAGCACTGTAGGAGCGAGAATAAATTTGTCAATAAGCGCAATTCCATCTTCGTGTTAGTCGGCGGTCAGAAGCCTGTCGATAACGCTATTTTCTCCCCGACAGGCGGTCCGCCGGTCGCCGCCTCAACGACAATTCCGTCCGAATGGGTTTAGACCCACACGCCTCGATCCTGTGTCAGCATTTCGGGTACTTGCGGCAGGCGGCAACGATGGCCGCCGCCAGTAGCTTTTAATTTCTGGACCAAGTTGCGCAGTGCACTGTACAGCAGAGTGACAAAAGTACGGCTCCAGAAGCAGCTGTTGAACAGGCTGAGTTGCGGGTATCACCCCTGACCGTCTTTACAGCTGTAATACTCACGCCTAGCGCCCCCGGCTGCCCGTTCCCTCTTGTCCATTTCTCATAAGCAAGGCCTTCGCCAATATCCTGTCTCTCCCTGCAAAGGAAGATATTCAGATCGTGATTAATTCATGGAGGCGATCAGCTGCTTCATTCGTACTTGGACTAAATTGACAACATCATAGCTACCTTCGCAGTGAACAGCGAATAGCTTACAAAACGCTTTAAACATTTACAGCTTCATTGCCAGCTGATATTTACAGGAGATAAAATACTTTGAGACTTCAGAATAGTTTTAAGTGCCATAGTATATTATATGTTTTCCGACGCCGTGCATTCTCGGTCTCAGAGGTCCACCTCTTAAATCTTCAACAAGTCCTACGACTGCCAGAGCCACATTTCCATCCTGTCACTCGTTTTGACGGTTGTCAGGAGCTGAGGCACTTTAGTCTTCTCTGCGGGGTTTACGTGTTTCAACCTCAAATCAACAGCGATTGCATCGAGTTTAACAGACAAGGACTTGGGCAGAAAGGTTTAGCAGCTGTGTTTGAACTGCCATGAGAGAAATGGTCACCTGCAGCTCAAGGTGAGGGGCACAGCAGTTGGTGAAACACCCGTAAATCCAGAGGAGAACTAGTGCATATTGTCCGTACTCGACCTCTTCGCCTAAGAGAGATTCTAAGTATTCACACTTGCATTCGCATTAAAGTACACGGACCGTTTTGTGGTTCTAGCACACATGGATCTTACCCACTTCCAACTTCAGTATTAATCAGTTGACAATATATTGACGGAGCATTCGTATGGATAGAGCGTTAGCTTAAATCTCCTTAATCGTGTTGTCATGCCGTCGCCAACAATACCCTGTTTCTACTAGGCATCTTTCAAAACTCCAATAAAGTCGTGATTGCTGCGAAATTTCCGGAACATGGACTACAAGGAAGCATATGGATAAGTGGGGTCTTTTAGCAAAGCGAAAATGATAAACAGCAAGGTTCTACCTAGGAATCCCACTTAGTGAGGCATGCCTAGAGCTCGTCGAGTTATAGCGTATAGCAGAATGGGTTCATGTGCGGTATCAAAATTAGCCGCAGTAATGAATCGGTCGAGATCGATCTTTGTTTGTAGCCGAGACCCGGGCGGACTTGGGCCGCCCAAACGCCGCCGCTACGTTAGAAGGTACTGTCGGAAATAGTTAGCGGCGGGGAGATACACCGCATCCAACTCACAACTAAGAAACTGGCGCAGCAGCCCTGTCGAATTCAAAGCTGTTGGTCATCTTAGGCAACTCCGCTCCATGTCTTCTCAGCACGAGCTGAAACGAGTCTCGGCAAGCGCTTGCTGGCTAAGGAAGAGCGGCAGTCCGCATGACAGCTGTTATCTGATGTTATCTGCAATCGCCAGGGGAAGAGTTTAGCAAGATAGTCGCATTGTAACCTTGTGTTTAGGTATGTTCGTGTCGAGCGTTCCATCTACTAATTCATAATGTCGTGTTAACGCTTGGTGCGGTACAAACTCTAACATGACCCCCCCTTGGGATCGCACTGCAAAACTTGGCCTGCCCTGTGTGCGTGTTTCATTTACTCATTACTCCTCCTTAGGGCATACTCATTTAGCTATATCATAGTCTATGTAAGACGACGGATATTTGACTCAATTGCCTCGATCTTGTTAAGAGCGCTGGCGGGGCTTCTTGAAGTATCGTGTGTGACGGAGAAAATCATCAATCGGAGAGAAGTCTTTTGCCTGTACGACAGATAGCAATCGGCCTCCTAGTTTGTGAGGGCAGAGTCGTGAATCCTATATTTGACTCTTAAATATTACCTATTCCTGCCCATTGCATAACACGTGAGTGTATCGACGAACAGGTGCAAAGAATCGAAAAGGAGCGCTAGATTGTACTCTTTCCATCTAGCTAATTTTCTTCATATAAGGGCTCTTTCTAAAGCAAATTAAAAGCACTTAATCACCCATAACATCATGAGGAGGAAAGCAAGATGCTTAATAGTTGTTTCGATTGATTGGGTCCACGAGTCAGCAGTACAGTATGGGCTGGCTGTTCTTACAACACGTAACTCTCAGCAATCGATCTTTATTAATTGGTCTGTCTGGATAACCTTACCTTGGACATCTGAAAGAAGTGAAGTCCTTGGAAACGCTGCGTTAATAATTGCTATACCGCGCAATCTGTTGGACCAGGCTGAGTTGAGGGCGATGTCAGTCACCGTCTTTACAAGTCAAATACTCACGCCTAGCGCCTTAGCGCCTCCTGCGGAACGCCGACGCCCTCACGTTCCTTACAACTTTTGCAACACCATCAATTCACTCTTTCTAGTCATATATGACTATATTCTCGGACTTCACAGGGAGGCTTTCTCTCCGTCTAGAACGTCGCCCGATAGAACGCCGTCCGAGGACGGCCGATGACTCCATGCGGCGCGCTGTGCGACGGCGAGAAAGCCCTCCCTTGGAACGTTCCTTTTGCCTATATAATAGTTAGGAATCTCCCTCCAAGAGAGGGAGGTCAGACTCGTCAATACATCACATTTAGCCCCCAGACATCGCCTAGAACTGAGCGTTGCATAACACAATCGCTCTAACTCTAGCGCATAGAGAAATCACTGTGGTTGTGGCGGGCGTGAAGAGAATTAATTGTCTAACTAGAAGTGAGCGAACGACCTGCCGCTATATACATAAGAGCAACTAAACCTATATAGCGACCGGGAACAAGTATTACCGAACCCGGAGCTAAAGTCATAACTCATCCTTGTCACGTGTTAAATTGACCCTGGGCTCAATCATCTGTTGTTATAGGTGTTACTAATCAGGCAAGTGTGCCGAGAACCCCCTCTTAGCTCGGCTCTACAGTTACGCTCTCCTCAACAAGCACCTTTTTAGCCACTCGATAAGATTCATCTCAGCCCTGGCGTTACCTTCGCCAGCTGGCACACATTCAGTTGCTCTTCATTATATTTGGGTGAACTACCTCCTTACTCGATATACTCTTAGGTTCACTTCACCGATCATCAACGTGGCCCGCCACAACAGCGACACCCCTCATCTGAACTTCTTTTGCTCTCCTGAACGCGTCCTCATCTTGACGCACGGCTCTCTATGAGTTCTAACTCCAAGCGAAAAGCTATGGCATGCAATTACTGCCGTCATAGGTAAGTAGAATGCTATCCAAATCCAGCCAGAGTCCTTGATAACCCCACCCTTTTTCCGTAGAAAGCGGCGCTGTGATGGTGACCTTCCGGCATGTAACACCTGCCTTGAGCGTGGTTTAGAGTGCAGATATCAAGAGGCAGTCACATTCAAGTATGCAAACGAGTTGAATGATTCAAGAGCGCTCCGTCTACTCACCTTCAACAGAAATCCAGGATCCGAGGATCTCCGGGCATATATGCAACGGCTTGACCCGATCGAGGATGTATTAAGGCAGCATTCACTAGCCATTGATATTTTACATCGGTTTCGGGCCCGGTCACCTCGATCTTTCCTATCATCCGCTACTATGGGAGCGGGCGATATATCTGTCGACCCGAGTCCACAAGAGGCGCAGCACCAAGAGAACAACTCGGAGTCGTTCCCACACAACGTAGACGATGCTGCAGGCGAAAGTGCATATGCCGTAAAGCAAGACGATGCACCTTTGACCATACCTCTGGGACACCAAACGAGCACAAGTAGTCTTCTCACATTGCCTCAGATGCGCAAACTTGTGGGTGACTATCCCGAGGAGTTCATTTTCCTTGTCGAAGAGAATCGGCCCCGACCATTATCATTTCAGTACGACGGTGGTGACGATGATGATTTCGAAGATGTTCAAGTGATTATCGAGAGGACTCTCGCCGACGAGTATTTTGAACGATACTTAACTCTAGTTCATCAATTTCGACCCATGTTTGAGCTGGATGATTTGAGAGCACGATACGAAAAGACGATGGATAATGGCCTGGAGAAAAATCTACAATCTGCGTTGTTTTTGCCTATTCTTGCCCTCGGAGCCACTGCACTGGACCCAGTTGACCGTAGCAGAGTCAAGTATTCCGGTGATATGCTTACGAAGATGGCTCTTCGAATACTATTCCCATCCTGGGCTGTCAGTTTCAAAGGTGATCTGGTTCTTTCCCAGGCGCTCACCCTCTGCGCACTCTACTTCTGTTACGTCGTCGAGCCTTTGACGGCTTGGAAGCTTGTACACATGGCTTCCACGAGCATCCAGCAAATGTTTGTTGTCTCATTCTCTTGCCGGAGTAAAGCGTTCCAACTTTGGCTAACAGAATTTGCAGGCGTAGAGAACACTTACCCCCCGATATCGACCAAGATGTAATTAGAACTAGTTGGGTCTGCTTCTTGATCGAGTGGTGTGTCCTCGATGGAAAGATGCTGTGTGAGATCTGTTCCTAATGAATGAACTGCATAGTAACATTCTTGCCGAGTTCCATCAACCAAGAAGTGGCATCGAAATGGTTGTCGATAGGATGTCCCTTCCAAGATACGGTCCTACATTTACAACGGAGGGCTTATTCTGCCTCGCCGATATTTCGGCCCGGTTGCTGCTCAATCGAATTCATCACGCCATCTACTTTACCGACAGTCTCAGTATATACGCCGGCCTTCGGCAAGGTTTGTATACGATGAGTACGTCTGATCCGGATATATCACTTTTAAGAGTTTGTGAGGAGCTTGATCGTCAGCTTGAAACATGGTACAAGGCACTGCCCGAGGCTATCAAGCCGGACCTTTCAGGCGCTTCGGGGAATAGCATACAAGCATGTGTCTTGCGACTGAGATACTGGTCTGCAAAACACAACATCTATCGACCATTTATAGTGTTCGTAACCTCTCAGCTTGCAGAGGAGTCCGAGATTGGCGTGCATCGGGTGATTCTTGACCGATGTGAGACCTGTCTTTCTGCCTGTCGTATGTTCTTGTACAGTGCCGGTTACGTACTTTCGCAGAGAACGCCATACACGTTTAGCTCGGCACAGTGGTAAGTAAAATTTGCTCATAACCCCAAGATTGTACAAAGGTTGCATACTGATCGATACTAAACCGTTAGCGTTCTGGGCTTTTCACTTGTTGTCGCTCTTGCAGCTCAGACCCCAACCCTTGCTAAGCTTGTTGGAGACATATCAAATCTACTGGAGACTGCGATTGGCCTCTTAACTCCGTGGGCACTGCCGAATTCGAGCTTAGAATGCGGCCTCGAAATTGTCACTTCTATACACAGAAAGTTGCGAGTGCAACCATAAAGAACATGATACCTTTTGCAATACCCAAGTTTTCTAAGAACCGGCTGCGTTTGTGCCCTCGAGCATTGAGAGGAACTGTGGCCGGTGAACGCAGTCCTATTTGACCGAGGCGGTTTCAAAGATGTTGAGTAGTAACCACATCCAAGCCCTTATGAAGACTTCAGACACGCGAATGGTGTCGCTGAATGCACTGAGGCTTAGCAGGCTACGTCGTTCTCGAAAGCGGCGCCGGATAACAGCATCACTAGGCAGAACTACTACGGTCACTCTGCCTGATGGTTGGCTACGGACTGGGTTTCGATCATCTCCAGATGTCGTGTTGCTCAAAGCAACAGAATGCGCCAATAGCTTCAGACAGTCCACCATGCGCAAACATCAGGTGGTCGACTACCCGGATGTTGATCTTGCATCGTTTTGGAGGATCCGATGTATGGGCCTGCGGTTACAATCGACAGCGCGAGAACATTATCTACGTGCAGATGAGCTCGGCTTTTCCATATTGCGAGTACATCTAGTCAACCCTCTATGCAAAGATCCTCAGGGGCTGCTGAAGATAGAAGCCTGGGTCATTGAACCTCAACCCCCTGTCGAGTGCGGTGATGCCATCAATCTCGTCTTTGGTCAAATCAAAACTGCTCGCTCCCACTTCAAGGTTCTCTTGGAGTCGACGGGGATTGTTCGATTTGGGTATCACAGCGATGTTCCGCTGCGTAGCCCAGCGCAGAAGCACCTGTGCTGCTGTTTTTTGATGTGCTGCTGCCGCTTTCTTAACCACCTCCACATCAAACAAGGAAGCAACATCCTTAGCACGGGCGCGAAATGCTGGCGGCAATTCCAGGAAACTCTGCGGGCCGAACGACGAGTATGCAGTGAGCGCGATTTTGGCTTCTTGCGAGAGCAGCACGAGGTCCTGCTGTACCAAATATGGATGGTGGTCGATTTGTAACGAGGATATTGGGTGACGGGCATATGTCTGAATATCGTACAGCATCTGCGCCTGTGCATTGGAGATTCCGATAGATCTGACGATTCCTGCGTCCACAGCCTCTTCTATCGCCTGCCAAGTCTCATGGATGGGCACTTCCGCCCGCGGCGTTACAATCTTATGCTCATGATCCATCCACCATGACTTCGTTTCCGTTACGTCAGTAATATAGAGATCGACAAATTCCGTCTTTCTAAACTTACAGGGTAGTTGAGTGATTCTGGGTGGATGTAGCTTGTCGCGATGGGGAAGTGTATCAGGTATAAATCGATATATCCAAGACCCCAGGCGTCATTCTGAGCTTTTGCCATTACTAGCGCATGCTCTCTACGGTGATAGTTGTTCCATAGCTTAGTCGTGACAAAGACGTCTTCACGGGTTACTATTCCTTCGTTGATAGCGCGCCGGATCCCTTCACCTGCCTCCTTTTCGTTTTGATAGTCATACGCTCCGTCAAAGAGTCGATATCCTATCTTGATCGCCTGTGGTAGACTAAGCTTCAGCAAATGAATATCCAAGGAATAATGGACGAGTTAAAGGTCATGTTACATTGTAGACAGATTCAGCTTTCTGGTTGGAAGGGATCTTCCATAGTCCAAAGCCTATCAAAGGCATTTCATGACCAGTGGCCAGTCGAATAGTGTCAGGAGACATATGTGCGTCTAGGAAATAAAATATTTAACAAAAGGTCGAAATTCAACTTCAAGGAAAATTGAATGAGCAATACTCGACGCATCATTATATACAGCCTCAGACACCACCACTGTCCAAAGCAGCATCTGACAGGAGGTAACTCCAGTACTTCTCCTCTACCTCCTCAACACTCGATAAGGCGAAGGCAACTCGTGAGTCATCGCCCACTCCGCCCCCTTGAAGACTATAGAGAACCATAACATAAGGTCAATAAAGTTAACACTTATTGTTCTCCTAATACACACTGGTATCATCAAGCCTTTTTTAACGCCAAGGTTCATGACGAAGCCAACAAACATTTTGCTGAAGAATAAGCGAGATTGGGCGATGCGGAGCGGAGGCGGAGGCGAAATAAGGCAGAAGTACAGAGCTAGATCGCCTCTGTCTTCGCCTCATGAGGAGTTATCTTCGAGAGATATTGACCCCCCGCACTAGAGATTATAATGATTATCCCTAATATTGCTCTTTTAAGAACGACATTAAATGGATTCAGCGCCTAAAATTGCCTATTATGGCTCAGTACTACAATTTATAAGGTCTAGGTTCGCTACGTCAAGTTAGCTGAACTTTCCAGACTAGGCGAGCATTCATTCGCGTCTAACGAACTAGAGAAGTGCTCCTTCCAACGCCCTGGTATAACTCATTGCTGGAGTCGCCGTGGTTCCATCGCTGTTATGGCATTGGAGAAGACTCAGCTCTTACAGCATTGTCCACGTTGCGACGTCAATAAAGCACAGAAAAGATTCCAAGGGTCGAGTTCAAAGCTGATGTTCTCGTTCAGGAGAGCTTTACTAAGAACTGTTATCCGGTGCTATACGTACATAAATTTGTTTTCAAGTGAGGTGGAAGGGTTCGCCGATGAGCTTAGTACGTCATATTTAGATGCAATGCCATAAACTACTATTCACGGGCTGTCTTTGGTCAGCTGGGTTTATCTGGAAATTCAGATCACTTCTGCACGCAGGCGTAAACTGACTTATTAACAGGTTCCATGCGGGAAGCATTGCTCTCATCGAGAAGTTGGTCGGCGATCACTACTCTGTTGTGGCGGCAGTGTTACCTTGGTGTCACTCGTCATCGTGAGTGCCATAATGAGAGGCTATGGAAGCCGTGCCGCATTGACGACGGCGTGCTCGACCGAGATAAAGTGTAAGTCCCGGGTCGGTAGCTCCCAACGAAAACTCCCGAAATAGAACAACAGATAGCCCTGAGCCGGGCCTTGCTAGGCGCAGTTGAGGTTGCAGATTTTCATAGCTGGGTACCAATGGTTGGGACGGCCGAGTTCCGTAATACTCCGTCAATACAGTCTTTTCAAAGCGTGCTTTCAGTTCACCAAGTTGACGGCGGTGCAATCTCCGCCGCTCTGACCAAAACTTGAGATCGGCGGGCCGCCCTTGCTGACTCGAGCGAGAGCCTGTGTTTACACCCTATATAGTCCGACAGTCCGCGGGACCCCCTTGTAGAAGGACAAGTTCTCTTTCACAATCACACAGTCCGCGATTTCATGCCGCGTTTTGCTCCGTTGCTCTCTTCACTGCGCTCGTCACTCGTCACGTCGACTCACCGTGGAACGTAATGAGTACTGTCCAAGGGCGCGCTAACGTGCTATCCAGCGGCACAGTTACATGACCGCTCAATGCGCGCGAGAAAAGTTGGGACGGGAGGTATGCTGCCAGGTATTGCGCAGAACGCCACGCGCGGTCTGTAGCATCATTAACCAGCCTCGCGCGGCCTCGAAAGCTGTCCTGCAGAGACCCCTAAGGGTTGTGATCTATGGTTAACCTAAATATTCTTAGGGTTAAGAGAGTAGAATTAGGTTAAGAGTAGATTTCAGACAGAAGAGAGTGTGAGGGAGTAGTTTGGTGACTGTACGTGACAAAAAGACGAGATAAGGTTCAGTGAGTTTCGAGCCCTATTAGACGAAAACGATCCCTTGGGAACCACCACCTAAAAATCTCGGAGCGCATTAATGGGTACTGTCGAGCAGGCGGGTAGGTTGTATACTGTCCTAAGAGCGCAGTCAGCCAAAGGTACACCGAGAGCAAACCCTTACAGAAGAACAGGGTCAGTTAAGGATCTCACTTTCAGCGACATTGGCTCTCATACTTCTCTCTATCAGGAACTCTACAGATTATGAGATCTTTAGCTAAAGCGAAATCTGACACTACTCTAGGAGCGTCACAGTATTTTCTCACATCCTTTCTCATTATCATATACTTATAGTTAGCTCTCTTGAGCTCTCTTAACTCTCTTATACAGTTACCAAGGCCATGAGAGACTCTAAGGTCCGCAAGCTCTGCGACAGAAGGGGTGAGAGAAGAGTCAGTATACCTGTCACATGATTTTCAACTCTTGGTTCATGTGCACCGATCGCAGTAACGTCAAGCAGTTATCATCACAGTTTAATCATCGACCTCACAAGAGCCCTGATTCGCAACCCTGCAGTCAGCCTGACTTGCAACAGAAAGCTATTAACTACGTTGAAGCAAGTCAAACCAGTGTTCAACAATATGGTTTTTCTCAATTAAACTGAGTACCAGTGACCTAATCGCTCTCAAAACCATAAATTTTCGTTGGCGGGAACGCCTTTCTTGTGGCAGTGATCCACGTACATTCTCCAGAAACTGAAAAGATCCATTATTTCTCGAAGTTCGCCATTGTCGTTGAAAAATTCAATAGAGCCCGTAACATTGAACATGACCTCAGAGTCTCTACCCATCCATAGTGTGTGGATAGTACCGGGGTTTTCATTTATGTAATCGCCAGCCTTTGCAGTCCATCCATACCTAGTAATGATAAAAATCAGCATGGAATAATAATAGAGGGTCACAATAATTGAAACTTACTCATGGTAGCCCCAGCTGCCCTTGACAGTCAATGCTCTTACCTCGCCTCGATGTCGGTGCTTGCCAAGTTGAGCTTCTGGAGCAGTCTTCAACATAATGACATACGTTCCTGATCGGTTTTCGAAGCGAAGTGGTTTAACATAGATAGTGCCTTGCCAATGGAACCAATCTGTATCCTTCTCGGCGTCGACGTAGACATCGGGAGCACCTTTCCGTGCTGCAATGTCAAGTTCTCTTTCGGTATTCTCTTTAATTCGCTCTGTTTCGGACGTGACGGGTTTCGCTGTGTCATTAGCCAGTGTCAGATTAGGCAAGGCTGATTGAGGAGAAGTTGTTATGATGGTAGACATGTTCGTTAGGAAGTATGAATGGATTGTTACAGTTAATGAAGTTGTGAATATTGAAGGTGGTAGTAAGCTGGATTGCTGGTTTGTTGTTCAAGTATTAAAGGATCACAGTACTGAGTCATGGTGATAAAATTGTTTTGCACTTATACTCAATTCGCGGTTGAGCTGGAGAGACGGGCCTGGGAACCCCACAGCGGCAAGTTTGCTCTTTTGGGTAGTTTTAGACGCTCTGGCGGATTAGTTGCCCGTCTATTCGAGGGTTTTGGGCCGCACCACAATCGAGAAACACGCCGCCAGTACTCTAGATGTAATCTCTGACGATCATCACTATTGGTACATGTGCGGAGATCGTTGTAGTGTAGAGTGTGAGATTTACCGTCAATATAAGTGACAAATAAAATCTGATCGTCAGAACTACTTCAATGACTTCCTGGGTATTATTCGTTATACTTTCATTTGGTAATTGGTATTACGCACAACGCCAAGGCCACTATACCTAATTAGCTATAATATATTCAACCCTCCCCCCTCTGTATTACGCACACGTTCCTCATGCCTATAATCTAGGCCCCTCATACCCATAATTTATCCCCCCACGCCTATAACTTAGACCCCTTATACCTATAATTTAGGCCTCTACCGCCCATAATTTAGACCTATTATAACCGTACTTTAGGCTGTTTACACCTATAACTTAGATATCTCAAAACCATAATTTAGACTCTTCACACCTATAACTTAGACCTCTTCCAGCCATAATTTTGGGCCCTTATATCTATAATTTAGGCATTTCGGACTTAACTTTGCCAGGCTTACAATTTAAGCACCCTAAAACTGTAAAATATGAGTATTCATAGGCGCTGTGGTGATTGTGATGCTATAGTTATCTCTAGTTAAAAAATTGGCACCTAGTGGGCATGAATAGGCATCCATAGCGAAGTCATGAGTGCCTGGAATATACGCTCTCGGCATACTTACTAGATTAGGTGTTGTGCGTAATACCAATTACTCTTTCATTTTAGGCTTTGAAAAATTCCGAATTTGGGTCTACAAATGCGTTGAAGCGATTCCCGTGAGAGATTGGCCTATCAAAAAGTTCAACTTCCCACTATTCGCCTTGCTTGCCTCCCAAATCATTAGGACGACAAGCCTGTCACGCAAGGTCAGGTCAACCTACCATAGCTTAGCATCGACGAAGAGCGTATTGATCTCTGAGCACCGTCCATTTCCCCAGCAAAGTGCTGGTTCAAAGATTGCTGCATTTAGGAAATGGTTTGACAGTATAGTCGCGAGATCACTCTCATGTTAACATTGATCACTACATAGTCTGTACTTGTGATGTTACCACGTATTGGAAATCGCGATCTCATGAGTGACTAGTTGGGCCGACAGGTTGCAGGGGGAACCCCGAGGTGGCTAGCGACATAATCCGGTGGATCCTCCATTTCATTACCCATATCTCGACCTCGTCTCGCCCTGATTTAGAGGGTATCCCACAACACTTCCCCCATGAAAACCCCCATGAAAAGTGAGAACGCTCTGGGGACGAGCTTATCTCTCCCCATGGGGTGTCGAGGTTTCAAAAAAGGAAATTCAGAGCGCGATACCTAACATCAGCACGAGGCATTAACATTTATAAATATCTCATCATATTTCGATGAACGAGGTCTACCTCCACTGAGTATTCAGGCCGTGTAAACCACAACCACAGTTCTTCCATCACTCGGTCAAACAGCCTGTATTTGTCATGGCCCAGATTCCTGGCCTTCAATCTCGTGGAGGTGAAAGCAAGAAGTTCATTGGGACTGGCAAGTCACTCACAGTATGGATCTCAGTAGCTACATCAACAGTTCTAGTCTTCTATGGCTACGACCAAGTGAGCTGATTTCAATCTCTACCCTTGACCTAGAGGCGGTATGCTGATCGAATGATCAGGGTGTGTTCGGAAACGTCATAGTGAGCCATGATTTTCTCAAAATGGCTTCTCTCTACACTCTCGGCAGCCTCTTTGGAGCAGTCTCCACCATATGGACCGGCGATATCCTCGGACGGCCAAATACTATCCTCGCAGGAAGCGGAATTATCACCATTGGAGCCATACTTCAGGCTTCCGCATACGGTGTGCCGCAGATGATTGTCGGAAGAATCATCGTTGGCCTCGGGACGGGCATGAATACTGCAACTGCTGGGGTTTGGCAGTCAGAAACAAGCAAACCTCAAAGCCGAGGAAAGCTGGTGATGATTCACATGGTAACTCACCACAGTCCTGGCTTGGACGGCCAGAAAGATCTGTGTTTGCTGATAATGTTGCTATCCATCAGGCCCAATGTATCTCCGGTTTCTCCCTCTCAAATTGGCTCACTCTAGGGATTTCGTTCGCACCAGGATCGGTGGCGTGGAGATTCCCTCTCGCTTTCCAGATCGTGTTCGCCGTCATACTCTGTTGCATCTGCCCGTGGCTTCCTGATTCTCCCAGGCTTCTGATCAGAAAAGGTCAGAAGGATGAGGCGCTTGAGGTTCTCGCCGCACTTGAAGGTGAGGGCGCGACTAGATATAGTGATTCGGTGCAATTGCAGTATGACATTATCAAAGACGTCCTGGACCGAGAGCATGTCAATACTTATTCGTGGTGGACTTTGCTGCGCGGACGCGGTCCAGCAGGAGTACTCCGTCGGATGGCCCTGGGTGCTGGAATGCAGGCAATGAATCAAATTTCAGGGATAAATGCCACTTCATATGTAAGCTGAAGTCTTCCTCTGTCAATCCCCACCCACTGACTAGCTTTTGAAAGTACACCACGTACATCTTTATCAACGCGCTCGGCTTCAGTGAGGTGAGAGCTCGTATCCTGGCTGCCGCAGGTAGCGTCAATTACTTGATCTTTGCCTTGCTCTCCTACTTACCTATCGAACGCTATGGTCGTCGCCGTGTCTTCATGACGTCTTCGGCCGTCTGCTCCGCTTGCTTCGTGGCCATCACGATTGCCCTATACCTTTCAGACTCTGGCAAGAAGAGCTCCTTCAATATGGGTGTAGTTGCTGTCGCCTTTTTCTTTGTGTTCTGGAGTGCTTTCGGCGCCGGAGCCCTCGGGGTTCCCTGGCTGTATGCCTCGGAGATCAATGCTCTGGAGATGCGCGCCAAGGGCGCAAGTGTGGCTATGTCAACAAACTGGATAGTGAATTACGCCGTTGTTCAGGTTACAACTGATGGGATCAACAATTTGCACTGGCGGTTCTGGATAATCTGGGCCGTCCTATGCGCATCTTTCGTTCCGATAACCTACCTTTTCTATCCTGAAACCGCCAATCGCTCACTCGAAGACATCGACAGGTTCTTCGAGACCGAACCAAAAGCAGTCATCTGTAACAACCAGCTCGCCACTCAACTGAAACGACCCTCTGAGTTTGAGGAGGCAGACAGGGTAGTTCAGCGGCATATGGCCAGAGAGGGTGGCGCTTGTGTGGAGAAGTCCCAAGTTGAGCAGGTTGATGAGGTCGCTAATGCCCATCTCGAAGGAGGACTGTGAATAAGGGCCAGGAAGAGACTCAGTGGCTCCTAGTCTGAGTGACCTTCTTCGAAGTTTCTGAATGAAGATGGGAATAAGACAAGGAAATCAGGAAGCCTAACTTTGGGACTTTCAGGCAGATGGAGACACAGGGCTTGTGTGAAGTTTAGATAAATTTGGAGATTTAGGCGGGGTTCTGACCTGTGCACGTCGTCCAACGTGTCAAGAATTTGTATTCTCCCAGATTTCTCAACATCGACAGTCTACGGATCCATCTGCCACAGTTTCCGCAGACACTGCGACCGCCAGCCGCATCTCCAGCCCGTCTCTTGTTGAATCGTTGACAAGAGCTGAAGCACTATGATTTTCTCTGCGGGAGTCCGCATGTTCCTTCCACTGATCCACAGTGGCTGTCTTTGCCGTGTCCATGGACAGTTCACTGACATACGAGAGAAAATTGACGATACGCGCAAAGATCCAGACAAGAATCGTGGCGTGATCTTGATACTCAACATCTTCGCCCAAGAGCAGTTGTGTGGTATCATTGAACCATACCGAAGGTGATGTCAGAGTACTCGTTTCGTTGCAGAATGCTGCCCAAATATCTAGTTGCCTTGTGTTAGCATGCCGCATTGAGAATGAGTGAAACTAGAGAGGGCAAACTGACCAACTTTGGCATACGACCAGAAACATGATGACACCAGTCCACCTGAAGAACCATTCCAACCTTTAGAAGTTAATATCGCTGCGCAGCCTTCCAAGTGGCGCAGCCAGTCGGAATGCTTCGAGGCCATCATCTCGTAAACGGCGAGCAAAACGCAGCTTGCAAGTGTTAAACAATCGGCATACTCTATTGGGGAGCTAATAAGCTTTTGGACAGCATTTTGATACAGCTCCAGTGCGAGTCTGGAAGAACAGCTTGAGTCTATCGCATACTTGTAACGAGCTGTTACCGCCAGAATAGACGCCCTGCAGATAGGGGTTTCCAGCAGTTGATGAACATACTTGACCGTAAAGTGGCGTGAAGGATCACTATTCTCCATCCACTGGCCGACTTGTTGTAGATAGACTTGCAGGAATGGTATTTCCTCTGCTGGTGTAAGTATGCCTGTAACACTGGAACCTGTGGGCTGTGAGTGATTCAAGGTGATTTCTAAAGACCCATCCGAAGGAGGGACTGCTAATGCTGTCTTCAAGAGCTCCCCTGACCAATGTCGGATTGCAACAGGGCTGTTTGTGCTCCTGCTTGGTAGTAGATGTGATGATGATTCATGGTCGTAGGCATTAGCTGGAACACCCTCTAAGGGAGTGTGTATGGCGGGAGCTGGTGTGTTGAGCGAAATCGAACTCCCTTTGGTCGGGGAGAACACAATACTTGAGATCGAGAGCGGATGAGATTCAACCGGAGCCGCAAATGTGATATTCAGCTCTTGAAACGTGTTGCTGGCGGCTGAGGCAGTGGTATCCTGTCCAATATCCATGGGCTGAAAATCTGAGAGGGGTTGCTGTGGTGTAGCATTGGATGAATGCCGGCGTGAAGAGTGTTCATCCTCCTTGCGCCGAGATAGATTAGCACTCCTAGGCCGAGCAGAGTGGCTGCCTTGTCTCACCGACGTGCTCGTCCACTTGTTATGTCTGCCGTTCTCTCCAAAAAAAGGCTTGAAACGAACCCACGTCCCATATTCGCAGCGTCGCGACGCACGTGTGCAGTTGGAGCAAACTGGTAGCAGTTCATCACATTTCTTCCGCCTCTTTCGGCAGGTTAGACATCCAGTTCGTGTCCTCGTCACCTTATAAGCACAATGGTCTTTCAAACTTCCTGCCATAACCTCTATCGCGTCGTCAAAGAGACTTCGAGCGACGATCAAAATGTTCGTTAATTAGACCTCGGCAATGGCCTGATAAATTTCATGACAAGTTCTCAAATCTCTGGGGGGTCTTGGCAATGTCGAGCTCCCCGCCTTAGGGAGCAGGGTCCATGCACAGAGCCTGAGTTAGTATCTGGGGACCCCGGCCTTTATGATAAGGCTTATGGGGCTTTTAATCAAGTATCAGGGGTAAAGGGATAACCTAGTCAGTTAGACGTGCGAGCGCGGTTAATATTACTCCATGGAGCAAGTCAGAACGCCCGGAGCAACTCAATCGGTGTTAGCTGCTACTGGGCCTGGGCACTATTTCAATACCAACCACGGTCCAACGGCTTGTTGGCACGAGCACTTCTCCTGGGTGCCACTCTGACACTGTCAGCACGGCCATTATAAGCAAAATGTATGTGACTCGGCTATGCGGCTGAAGATCGATGACGCCACTAATAAGACTAGAACATTTGTTGAGTGAATAGCCATTGTTGGGTCGCTATAGAGAGGAGATCAGTTGCGGCGAAACTGCTCGCTTGACTTCTCGCTCTCGTCGCGGATTTTCCATGTAAACTCGTATGTTTTGCATGCATCTTCGTATGATGACAAAGTTTGAGTTGAGGTAGCACACCCATCATCTCTCTCACTTTCTACTCCGTCTGCAGCTTCTTGGCAAGGCCCGAAGCCGAGGGAGCCTAGCAGAGCTGCAAACTCCGAATAGAATGGGTCGTCATTGAGGAAGGTGAATGACTCTTCTTCTTCTGAGGCCGGGGTCCTGTTCAAGAAAGCAATCAATGTCAGCTCCCATTCCCTATCCTCGGGCCTCATCAACAAGTTCCATTTTCCTCGCAGATGTGGCAGAAGGTTAGCCCATAGGGTTTGTTAATGGCAACTTACCTTACATGGAGTATTGGCGTTCTATAGAGATCAACAAGGCGAAGCTGAAAGCCGTCTCCGCTAATGACGATCTCGTTAGTATATCTGATACCATGCAGCGCGACTATATGCATGAGTGATCCCACTGCACCACTTTGGTATTTCCTGCTATCCGTCAGTCAGCAGTCGCTTGAAAGTCGTAATTTCCGTCTAGGAAAGGCGTACCAGAATGCTGCAGTTACACGAGGAATACGGTCCTCAGCAGGTACCTGTAACTCGTCCACAAGCATGTTCGACAACTTCCCAGCCGCCTCATAATGCTCCAACGCACATGCCCTTACCGTGTCGAGGTCAACTTCTCCACCGAGATATCGACAAAGATCACAAAAGTGGGTTGCTTGCTCAACAAGGGGTCCAGACTGCTTTGCTTTGTTCCACCAGTCCGTCTTTCTCACCTTCGAGTAAGCCATGCTGTATCGAGCATTTACAGCCATTACCTTTATATCATTGTCGCGTATAATAGACATGGCTTTCTGCACGACCTTGACATAGCGAAGCATATAGCCCACAGCGATCTTGTTACCTGATTGCTGAACTATTTTGGCAACTGGCCACAGTTCGACGGGGCGAGCTGTTGATACAGGCTTCTCAACGAATAATCCTGGCTCAGGACCAAAAGCGGAGACGACTTGGGCTTCCAGATCGCGCCCTGGCTGTGTAGTTCCTCGAAATTGGGGCGGGGTGGCTAACAAAATGAGATCTGGTAGAGCCCCTGCGCGTCTCAGTTGCTCTCGTGCCTCTTGTAGCGTGAGAAAGTGCTTCGTCTTCTCGTAGCAAGTCGCGGCCGGTGACGAAGACTTTTGAAAAAGTACTTGTTGGACGCGTTCCACAGAAGGATCGACAATTCCAATAACTTCGAGTTTTGTGCCTAGGTATGTTTCGATCCGCACCGAATGGTTCCAAAGAACATTGTCATTGCCGAAGGTGATGTTTCCCTATATGCAAGAATCTCAGCTACCAGATCACACAGCAAATGACGTTGCATACCGCTCCAATAAACAAAACATGGAATTTCTTATTATCAACTGCCATGCTGGACTTTTGGAAGGAATTCGCATACACTTCAAAAGCGATTGGTAATCTCGCAAAATCAATAACTTACTTAGGAGCACTATGATATATAGGTCATTAGGGTCTATTTAACACGTAACAAGGATGAGTTCTGGTTTTGGGTCCGCGTTCGGTAATACTTGCTCCCGGCTGCTACATGGGCTTACTTGCTCTTACTTATATATAGCGGCAGGTCGCTCCCTCAATTCTAGTTAGGCAATTAATTCTCTTCACGCTGCTACAACCACAGAGTGATTACCTATGTAATAGAGTTAGAGCGATCATGCGGAATCGATCATGCGGAATAGCAGTACAAGTCGTAAGCTGAACTAATTACGCATCGGGGTCGTGTACTGTCCTGTGTTGCAAACGATTCGCTAGTCCGTGTCTAATGAGTTGTACCAGGAAGTTGGGAGGACTTCTCCAGTGCGTTAGACACGACCGAATGCTTACCCAGTTTGGAAAGATCAGCTAACTTGACTTAGCGAAACCCGTCTAGACCTTTTAAAGTAACTACAGTATAGTATCGAGCCATAAAAGGCATTTTTAGACGCTGGATCAAGCTCATGTCTAATCGTCAGAAGCTCCAGTGCGGGGCTCCAGTGTCTTCAGGAGACGATTCCTCATTAGGCGAAAGCGATCTACTCCTGCCTCGCTCCGCCTCCGCCCCAACCTCATCTAGTCTCGCCTTGTCCTTGGCGATAGATGTAGATATATGGCTTAGTCATGGAGTTTAGCGTCCAAAAAGGCTTGACAATAAAAGTGTCTATCGTGCGAGCAACAAGTATCAACAACATATGGACATTATGTCATGGCTCTATATAGACTTCAAGGACGCTGAATGGGCAGTGACTCACGAGTTGCCTGCGCGTCATCGATGTTGAGGAGGCAGAAGCGGAGTAAAGGAGTCATCTCCTGTTAGATACTGCTTTGGACGGTAGTCGTGTCTAAGGCTCATTCAATTCTCCTTGAGATTATACGATAGATGCACACACGTCTCTTGACAATGTTCGACTGGCCACTGGTCTTGAAATGCCTTTGATAAGCCTTGGACTATGGAAGATACCTTCCAACCAGACAACTGAATCGGTCTACAATGTAAGACGACCCTTAACTCGTCCATTATTCCCTGGATATTCATTTGCTGAAGCTCAGCTTACCGCAGGGGTAGTCAGAGATGAAGATAGGTGATCTTGACCATCTCAAAGAAGCATGAAGGGACGCCGATATAGTATGCCTGAGTCGCCGGCACCAATGGTAACTATCTCGTCTTGCAGTGGGTGTAGATGGGAGTTCCGTGGACGACATAATCCGCGGCTTATAGGGCTAGCTGAGATCACGTTGATGCTCCCTATGACAGATTGTTGTTGAGAGTAGAACTGAAGATTTTGTAGAGACAAAAGGCACCTTCAAGTATAACAAGAGAGCTTTTGAGAGGGACTAATTCAGCGAAGGCGATGTCTGAAACAACGGGCCTGCAGATTGACCGACTTTGCTACGGTTTGGTTTCTCAAATTCTCACCTTACGGTCTTTCAACTGGTGCGGAGAAGTTGGTTCGCGTTTTGGGTGTAGTATAGATTGATATGAATGTCCATGCCCAGGGACCTTGTACGGAGGGTCCTGTGGTAAGCCCATCCTTTGTTAGTACAGAGCATACGATCTTTGCGTGGGCAGATCTCCATCTCTCCCAGACGATGCAATATGAATATTCGAGCCAACCTGGGCAGGTCGTGTCTTGGGACTCAAGACTGGGGTCAATTGGGCTTTGCAGCTGTCCGAAAAGCTGTTTTGGGATCTTATGTCAAGCACACATCAGCTTCCTAACCGAATTTCTCAGGGCGGTCCAATAGTCGTGTCAGGTGTGGCTGGCAAGATGGTCCCTCGTCAGGATAAATTATGATTCGAGGCACGTGAGGACGGGTTATCCACGGCCCTAGATTGGACTCAGAAAAATCAAGTGCAACGGCTTCTGAGAGAGCAGTAGATGAACCCTCATCGGCGGTCCGAGTTGCCCAAGGCGGCAGGTCATCCCAGGACTCTTGGGGTCCAACGAAATTAGGGCCTGTCGCTTCGGTCTCGTTCATCATTTAGGAGCACATCGAAACAACTATGGAGACAGTGGAGAGTTTGGAGAAAGGTGAGCGAGTGGCTTAATATAAAGAAAAAAGAAAAGATTCTGCGGGTATATCAAGCACGTCAGTGGTGTGCTGTGGAAATGAGACCGCGTCGGCTGGAATTGTACAGCTTTACTGATCGAGCAAAAGCCATTTTAGTGTACTCCGTAGTCGTTATAGAAAGGATAAAAGGTTTTCTGGATCGTCCAAGTCTCAATCCTGATCATGACTCTGAATTTAATCATCTCAAGCATCCCCCACTGCATCTTCTAGGCCACAAGGTATACAAGCAGGATGAGGTGACCATCACCCTATGCGACACCAACCCAGAGGCCAACGAAAGTGGTTACCAACTTCCTGATGGCCACGTCCAAACCCACATCTAACGCCGCCGCATCAGCTCCATTCCGCGACATGAGCACTTCAGCCCTCTTTTCTCTCAAAGAAAGAACCATTGTAGGTAAGAGACCCGAGAGGCCGTTTACGCAGTGATGTCTCCATTCACCCAGAGGAGGAGGAGGAGGAGCAGAAGCAGAAGCAGAAGCAAGAAGCAGAAGCAAGAAGCAGAAGCAAGAAGCAGAAGCAAGAAGCAGAAGCAGAAGCAGAAGCAGAAGCAGAAGCAGAAGCAGAAGCAGAAGCAGAAGCAGAAGCAGAAGCAGAAGCAGAAGCAGAAGCAGAAGCAAGAAGCCGAAGCAAAAGAAGAAAAGAGAAGAACAACAAGAAGAAGAAAAGAGGCTGACTTGTTGAATCATTCTCCTCAGTGACGGGCGGAGGGCGAAGCCTGGGCTTGACTATTACAACATCGCTTCTAGAAGCCGGAGCCGACGTGGCTTGTCTCGATATCCTCGATTACCCAGACGAACAGACATGGGGTAAGTAAGGCTGTCCTTGTTCACCAGCATTGCTTTCGGGATCGTGTAAACCCTAAGATTTAATCGTCATGACGGAGATCTGATCATATATCCTGTTGGTCCAGCTTTTGCTGAGACTGTGGCCAAGCAACATTCAGCCAGGCTGGCCTACCACCAAGTCGACGTAACCAACCACGAAGCGCATTCATAGTGCTCGATTTTGTCGTGGATTCAGCACCCTTCCCCCTGCGAGGAGCTGTTTGTTGCGCTGGAATCACCCAAGAGCTGCCTGCCATCGACTACCCGGTGGCTGATTTTCGCCGGATACTCAAGGTCAACACCACCGGCACATTCATCACTACTCAGCTTGCTGCTCGGGCCTTTCTCCGCCAACAAGTCCCCGGTAGCATTGTCCTTATCGCAAGCATGAGCGGGAGTATAGCAAACAAGGTACGCTAACGTCGCCGAATAGAGGCTCTTCTTCCGCCTCCTCCTCCTCCTCCTCCTCTTCTTCTTCTTCTTTTCTTGGAATTCGGGGAGTGCTTGAGCTAAGCAAGCAAATTTGAAACCAAAAGGGTCTGTCTTGTGTGCCGTAAAACACGTCCAAATTCGCCGTTCACCAAATGTGCCGATCTCTCGCTGCCGAGTGGAGCGGGTCACCCACCGTCCCCATTCGGGTCAACACACTGAGCCCGGGGTACATTCGGACCAAGATGACGGACCAACTATCACGGGATAATCCAACATCCGCCCAGTTGTGGTACGACGGTTGTATCATGAATCGTCTGGCCGAGCCAGAAGAGTTCAGGGCGCCATCAATCTTCCTGCTGAGTGACGGAAGCAGTTTCATGACTGGGGCCGATCTCCGTGTCGACGGCGGATATTGTGCTTGGTGACGGCCGCTTTTGCATGGAGCAGATTATCGTTGTCTTGCTGCTCGTTGTGGGCTGGCTGGGATTTTTCCTGCACTAGGACACATATACTACTGGTTGATACACAGAGTAGAATCCAATTTTTTCCCCAGATTTTCGAACAAGATTACTGAGGCTGCTGAGCAATAGTCTGAACGGTTCACAGAGGCACACTACTGAGGACGGTCGATACCACTATTGAGCACATGGTAACAACAATAAGTACAGAAAATCTGAGTTGGTTATCAAGAGGAAATACGCGTCTTGGAGTTTCCGATTTTGGGATTAAACTAGTCTTGAATAGCTATTCTCGTCCCTCATCCTACCTACTACGAGTTGCTCACCAGCCGATTACTGCCTCATTAGAGGATAGACTGATTGAGGCTGAAGATCGTCAATTGGGCGACGGCACAGTGGCTGGCGATACGGTGAGTAGGGGCCAAAGCATGCTTCTGGATAGCCGGGATCATGTTGGCCTGACGGATTCGTGAGATCCTTGGGACGGTGGCAGCGAAAGTTTACTCGATCTCGTACAGTTTTTTGAATGTACCTTTGACCTGACAATAAGAGAGATGTCGATCGGGCAGGTACTTTTGGAAGGGTGCGAAGGCACGTTTGAGGGGGTAGAACGATAGTGATGTACAGGCCGGCACTGGCGTCGGGTGGACACAAGCAAAGGCGAAGCCAATGTTCTGGAAGCCAGACTATGTCGGACTCGGACTCCGGTAGGTCAGAGGGTTCTGTCCGCGTGTGCTTGGAGGCGGTGACGCGGCTCTGGATACTCGAAGGTAAACCTACAGTGCTTTGTGTAATGGCGGCTGAATGCGAGAAGAATCATAGATGAGAAGACTTCCGTTGACTTGGAGCAAGTCGCAAGCCAGAGGATCTATCTCGGAAATTCTCCGAACTAGCCTCAAGCAACAGAGATGCCGGCTTGGGAAACCTTGCCATCGAGCACGTCTAGCTGTTGGGCAGCATGATATCTGCCTCTAAGGGATTGTGGGAAGACCGTCCTCTGTAATCGAGAGCTTGCAGATCCCATGGACACAGCCCTAGAAGATGATGACAAGGTGGCTGGAGTGCACCTAACCATATCGTTAAGATTGCCTCTGCCATGTAGGGATGGGGTACAACCGGATCGAGCACCTCCGGACCGACCGCTCCGCACCTCGCCCTCGTATCTCCATTACCGACGGGACTTCGCCAGGTGGTAGGCTTCGTTTAAGTGGGTCGAATGCGTCCATCTGTACTCAGCTGCTATCATCAGAGGTCACTGAATGATTCATGCCACGATCCAGTGGTCGGGTTTGACCAGTGGAGAATTCTGCCATTTCCGAAACGTGACTTGTCGGGCACATGGATGCATTGAGTTGCTTGTGATGTGTTGGTAGACGAGGGGACATATAAAAGGGCCACCAGGAGCAAAGTGGTCCACCACACCCTCGGCCTGACCTGTTCCGTTTTCGCAAGACAAAAATCTGCCAACGATGGCTCCGGCGACTCATTCGGAAAACGCTGCGTTGTTCTCACAGCTGCGGACACTGGCCATGACCTTCCCATTGCAGCTCCTTGCCGCCATCATAGTTCTTCGTCTGGTCTGGAACAAGTTCCAACGACGCTTGGTCTCGATTCCAGGCCCACCAGTAGCCGCCTACACCAAGTTCTAGAGACTGTACGATGTCTGGAAGGGAAAAGCACACCTAACCGCAGTAGAGCTGCATCGAAAGTACAGTACTCTGATCCATATTGGGCCCAACCATGTCTCGATCGTCGACCTGTCCTATATTCTCGTTATTTATAACATCAAGAAGAACTTTACAAAGTCGGCATTCTATTCTATTCTATACATGTCGTGAAAGAAGAAGCCCGACATAAACCTGTTCTCGACACAAGACGCAAACTACCATAGAGTGAAGAAACGCAAGGTCGGCGCTGTATACAGTCTACCCAACCTTCTCAAGTCAGAAGAGGCAATCTACTCGTGCATCACACTGTTCATGCAGAAGCTCGACGAGTTCGCGAAGACCCGATAACCAGTCGACCTGAGAACTTAGCTGTAGTACTTTGCGTTTAACGTCGTCGACGAGGTCACGTTCGCGAGTAAACTGGGCTTCTTGGACCAAGGTCGTGATGTAGACGGCATAATGAAGGCGATCGAGGGTACACTTACCTACGCTACTCTGTGTGGGCAGGTTCCCGAGTACCACAAGTACCTTTTGAGCAACCCGTTGTTTTCGATGTTGATGCCGGCGATGAAACTGTGGAATCAAGTGCTTATATTTACTCTCAAGGCGATCAACGAATAAGCGTCGATTAAGCGGGACGGAGAGCCATTAACGCCGACGTGGAAGGCAGAGTTATCCTTTCTAGATAGGTATACATCAAGTCTTCGGATCCCATGAAGATAAGTACCCGGGATATTATTGTCCACTTATCGACAAATATTTTTACAGATATATTTCCTTCTTAATAGGGCTCACTCAAAGGCCAATTCACTAATTTTGATTGCTCTTTTTCCTTTTACTCTATAGGAAGCGACACTATAGTAATCGCCCTTCGAGTAGTGATTTACTACCTATATCTCTTTGCCAAGAACTAAACGAGATTATATGAGGCGGGAGGCGAAGGCGTCTCATCGAGGTCGATGAGGCGGAGACGGAGCGAGGCGTGAGTAGAACGTCTCCGCCTCATGAGGAGTCATCTCATGTTAACACTAAGCACATGTGTTGTCATATGCAGTAGTGAGAGTTTGACATGGTGATTTGTTTCTTCGGAAGACCAGGATCAGTAGATGTGATGATAGTGTGGGCGACTTTTGGTCTGTAGTGTAGATTCAGATACTTATCTCATTACTTAGCACAAACTGCCTGGTACTGTAAATTGCGGTTCGGCAGACATTGAAAATATGAGAGCAGTCCAGCTCAATGAGTTTGAGACTTCTGGATACGAACGAAGAAGTCTTCTTGTCCAACAAACCAGCCTCCACGTACCTTCCACTGATGATCCGGAATTGGAAAGGTAAACTGAAAAACGTAGATACTCGTCAGTCAACAAGAGTCATAACTGCAGGTCTCGAACCAGGACAGTACTCAAATATAACTTACCTCGTAGTGACGCAAGAGCTGTGGAACAAGCTTCGCAATTTCAAGCATTGAGATATTCTTTCCAATGCATGAGCGTGCGCCATGACCGAACTGATATGAGATGTTAGTGCGGACTCAATACGTCGTATACAGTGGGTATGGTAGGAAAGAATATAAAAGAACAATCAGTACCGTACGTACCGTAAGGCTTGCACGATCCATATCTGCCAGCTTTTCCGGCGAGGCCTCCAGCCATCTTTCAGGTCTGAATGTATCTGCATCGGCGCCGTAGACATCTTTGTTCCGTCTAGATAAAACTTTATCAGTGCCTTGACTCTCGAACATTGCCAGTGTCTGCTTTGAGAAGACTTCTTACGCAGCAACCCAAGGATTTACTCCCACAATTGTGCCCTCAGGAAGGTAATGTCCTGCAAGCTCTACGCCCCCCTTAGGCACGTACCGCTCCAGGAGCAGGCCGACGGCAGGGTGCATTCCTATGGAGAGACAAGGCTAGCAATCAGCGTCTGGGAGTCTTGCAAGTTCCAAGTCAGAATGTGGCCGGTGGCTCCTTACGGAGGGCTTCCTTAATGCAAGCCTGTAAATATGGTAGGTTGCTTGATTCCTTCCAGGTGACAAAGTTGCTCAGCTGTCCCGCTTTCTCCGCTTGGTCAAGTTCGTCGACAACTTTCTCCATACAGTCTGGAGATTTCATCAGATAGTATAAGATCTGTGTTGATGGTTAACAGAGCCCCGAAATGGCTCGCTTACTTGTTGGTTACTGCTGAGACTCACGGATCTCAAAGATATCCCTGTTGTGTCACTCCCAGCGAGGACGTTGTCAATGTTCCACATACGAATGATACGGTCGGTTACTAGATCTGCGTATTTTGATTGAGCCTCGAAGCATCTTGTCAGGAAGTCCCGTCTCTTTTCATTAATGCCCTGTTCTCTGGCGGCAATTATCTCCTCCATTCTTTCAACCGTGAACTTCACGACTGGGTGAGTCGGAGCAAGGGCTAGGAACAGAGGACTGTTGGTGATAAACTTGTCGAGGGTTGGAATTTGACCGACCTGAAGTGCATCCCAAAGTGTCAGCGCGTGACGTACTGAGTTAATCTATAGATTTGGGTCATGACAAACAGTCCCGCCATAGAACACCTTGGTCCGTATATCTGCCATGATGCCGTCTACGTCGGACCTTGTTTCTAGAAAGCCAAGTCTTTTACTGAAGACAACTTCGCCGCTGACACCAACAAATCAACACATTAGCTTCTGGCCGATGTTTGCAAAGGTAAGGATCTGGGGGAGAAAGTCTTACATGACATCAAACGCGTACATCTGCAACCATTGTCCAAGATCGAACGTTTCTTTGGACTCGACAAACTCGTCTAATCTCGACATGAAGAGTGCGCTCGTAGAGTCAATCAGGGGCTCGAAATCGACCATGGTAGACATGCTATAAGCATGTGCTATTGGCCTCTTGTACTTGGAATGATACTCCTCGTCCAGGGTTGTGAACAAGCTGGGAGTGAACTGTCCATTGTAAGACAGCATATGCAAGGTGTAAAACTTTGAACCCAGAGTTTATTCCATAGATTTTAGGGATCAACGCTGGGTCAGATACCGACACTGTGGAAGGACCAATGCGCACAAGGCTCGATCTTGATTGCTGATGCAACTTGATGTGCGTCTCATGAGGATTCCTGTTTAGTGCATCGAAAAAACGCCAAAGGTCTGTGAATCCGGCGAGAAAGGGCCCAGGGATGGAGTTCAAGCGCTTCCCGTACTTGTTCAAGATAATACGGGACAAGATGACGAGGATCAGGAGCCCTGGCCAATAGACCTGCGAGACTCGCGCAGCTTCTCGTAACTGTTGAATCATATTCCAGCGATCAGTGCTAGGATGTATTGCAAAGAGACCACTTGTATAGAGATGGAATGTCCTGGAACTCCCCTCTGTCAAGGAGCCGACTGTGCTTTTATAGACCGACGCCTGAGTACCTTTCTACCCATGAGTCGACCAAGCCCAAGAAGACATTGTCAGTCTATCTTACTATCAGCCGCGTTCTAAGATGAGATCCTTCTCATTCACATGACGAGGTGCGAATCGCACAAGACCCAACCTGACCAAGCTCCACTATTTCCGGTGCGAGTAGTCTGTCTGAGGGCCAATCACGCAGTCGCTGTGTTATTCTCTGACCCAGATCCGAGTCTTCTCCTCAGTTTAGGCAACTCTCTCAAGCTGACCTGAATCACCTGAATCCCGGAGCAATAGTTATGAATCAAGTTTTTCCAACCCCGTGGGCACCTGATTAGAGGTCCACAGTGGCCAATCGTAACCTCGCTGGTCTACAAGATCCTCATGATGCCTCTCTGCTAGACATTTAGAAGGCTTGGGTGTCTGCATCGAGCGCACATGGTGCTAGCTTCAACGGGCCAGCACCTACCACGCCCACTTCCCCTCAGCTTTTCCGGACCCCTTTATGGTTTAAACTCTACGACGCACCCTCTGCGTAATTCTCTGCTCTATGAGCGGACAGATTAGGAGGTGAGAGGCTCTAGTGACGGTCTAATTTCCTACCACCGTGTCATATCCCAAGATCGTTTAGCGACTATGAAATGGACGGACCACTATGCTCGGTCCGATGCACACATGATGCCACTGGCCGATCTCGGATAGTCCGAATAAATGGTCGGAACTGTTCACTTCGACACCATGGAATTTGGACTGGTCGAGGCACTGAGGCTTACCCGCGGGGACTTCCTATAAGAACTTGCATGAGCTGTCGAACGAACTAACCCTTCTCGTCGTGTTCTGTACACTGCAAACTTAGTTATCATCGTCATAATATCGGTACATACAAACAAAATGGGTTCACCTGTCCATTCTGATTTCATTCGGGCGGATACGTCCAAGATTGAACCGTCCATAACTCATACTGTTTCCAACGGAGCTGTTTCCATGAGCCCTGAGCTCTTTGAGAAGGTATGTCATTGATCTTGGCTACATTGTTGGCCATCAGCTAAGGGGAGATACTTGTACAGCTATACCTGACTCCGAAGGTTCATCGTGCTGGGGGCAATATCAAGCGGTTTGCAAATCCAACACCCCTAGGATTCATTGGGCAAGTTTCGGCGACCCCTCCTTGGTGGCTTCCAGCGTATCTAACAAGACTGTATAGCTTCGTCATCTCTGCTATGACATTTTCCATGGTCTTGATGGGATGGGGCGGAGCGAATGGACTCACATAGGTAGTGTAAGTCCCCTCAAGGAATGTCGATTGCGATAAGAGTCCAATTACTGATTTATAATGTCTTTAGTGAGATTTTCTTCTTCGTTGGTCCAGTGCTTCTGATTCTGACTTGCATTTTTGAATGGGTCATGGGCAACCTTTTTCCCATGATGGTATGCGGCGTGCTCGCCGTGTTTTGGTTGAGTTTTGGTATGTTGAAGCTGCCTACATTGAACCTTGAGGCGCCATATACCTCTGCGGATAGTGGTCCTGCTGGCGCACTCTCGACCGGATTCAACGCTGTCATTGCGCTGTACCTGATCGTCTGGGGGTTTACAATTTTCACTTTCCTCATCCTATCAATTAGGACGAACGTTGTCTTCGTGATGATCTTTGTCTCCGTCACTGTAGGTGTCTTTGTTCTCAGTGGGGCATACTGGAAGGTCAGTACGGGCGATTACGGTATGGCTGGACACTAGCAAAAGTAAGAACAAGTAAATTGGTCAATTTTCTCTGGAAAGTCAACACCAGCACTAATCCTTCTTTCCAGGCTGGAGGTGCGATTATCTTCGTCGCAGGAGCCCTGGCACGGTATATGGTCATTGTCATGATGGCTGTTGAGATGCAGTATCCTGTCTTTCTTCCTGTCGGTGATTTGTCACACTGCTGGGAAAAGCCAGCCGGACGGGGCTTTACTACAGATGACGAAGTGTAGATGGTCCGTCGTGCACATTCGTTCGGATCGAACATCCATTAAAGTGCACTGGACCACAGCCGCTGAAGCGATGAAATTTGGCGATCTATTGATGGACTGGCTTCGTGTGTCAATCTAGAGATTACGAAAGTGGTTGTTGTCAGAGTTTCCTGGTCACTATTACTTTTGGCAGATACGGTTCAGACATACCTTATGCGATTGTGCCAAGCTTCGTTGGATCTGCGGAGATCAGAGATATTGCAAGGTCAACCATGGACACCGTTCCCTTGCTCATCCTTCCGATCGTTCGCATCGGATGCTGCGCAAGATTGACAAAACTTTTGCGCTTGAAAGGTTCGTGACCTGTCATTTTGCCATATCTTGAGCTGGGACCCACCTTGTGCGAGGTCGCACACCGTCGATCAAGCCTATCAGCTTCGACCATCTCATCACATAGAGACTATTATGGGGTCGCCATTGGGATCCATCGGCAACCCCAAGGTTCGACCTCGGCTGCGCGGGGTCTCGTCCGGGGCAGTTGCATACATTCCCGCCCCGGTGTCACTTCGAGATTTTCAATCCTCGATATTTGTATTGATCAGTTAACCGAGTGTTCTCCTGCGTACCCGGGCCCACGACTTTTACCAGGCTCAACTGTGGAGACCAACTCGATGATTCTCTTACTCTTACTCGAGTAATGTCCTCACGGCAACCGAAATCCCGAAGCTCCGACGGAGAAAAATGGTCGTCTGGGCGAAGATTGACAAGTGCTCAACGCGAACGAAAGAGAGCGATTGACCGCTTACGTGCAAAGGAGCGAAGAACCCAAGTTGCTGACCATGTGGCTGGTCTCGAATATAGGGTTAGCCAACTCAGTGCCGAACTCGAAAGAGCCTACACAGGTGCCTCACAACATGTTGAAAGTCCTGAAAATATCCACGAAGGATTGTTATTGCAGAATGGCTGTGACTTTACGCATTTTCAAGGTTCTGGGTACACCCCGAGTGATATATCGACTTCTTTATGCGTCATACCAGCCACAGGATGGGTACCGGCGGTTCTACCAGATCCGTCCAACGTTGTTGAATCCAGTCCATACTCGATGCAACCAGAGATGAGTACAACAATATCTGCAAGCAAATTACCCCCGCAATCGATCAGCGGGAGCTTACCAAAGACCAAGCTCGACGTAAACGCGGAGACTACCAGGGGCACTGAACAACTGACCGGGTGCAAACGGCGAGAAAAAGCACTTGCTGGTAATGACTGCCAAAGCATCTTCAACGACGCCGTAACCATGGCGCGTGGATTATCTAGCACCACTGTGTGCGGAGATCCCAGCTTAAACCAAGATGTTTTAGTGAGAGGCGTCCTCTTTGGCTGGGAGATTGCTACGACGGCATCCCCAAACCAGTGGCGTTGCCCACTGTTGCAGATTTTGCAACTCCTGGACAGACGGATCTTTCACTTGAGCGGCACCATCACCAGACTATGCGCGTTACGAATGATCCACTTGTTACTTCTGGTAAGCCATCTTCTCTGTGCGTCTGTTTTCACACAATGATGCTAATTCGATTCTCAGTGTCTTGTTAAAGCTGCCTCATACGAGACCCTTCCGCCATGGTATCGCCCACGGTACGCAGCTCCAACCCACGGATCACGAATTGGAGACACTAACGTAGAAATTGTAGGCCCTCACAGTATTATCTCTCACACGCTTTGGCGATAGATGTCCTGCCATGGTGAGACTACCGATTTCACTCCATTGCTTTTGCTGTTACTGATTCTCGACTTTAACAGGCCAGGTCTACGAGAACGTGCCGTGCTTTGCCAGAAATTAACGCAAACGAACAAGTTCTGGACTGAAGTGATCTACTTATTCCGGTTCAGCTGGCCATACACCGTCCGTGATGTGTTGAGTCTCAATTCAGACACTGGGCTGTACGAGTTTTCGGGCATGTTCAACAACTATCTGTACGAGATTCAAAGGTGGAGGATGGACTTGAAGTTTTTCGAGAGCTTTCCCGAGACCTACGACGACATCATCCCTGCAGAGGTGATTGAACGGCCTCTTCACTTAGCCAGTTCCGAGAAGGTTTCCGCGTGTTGGGACGCACCCCGCGGGGCTCTTCTTCTGCCTTTACCGCAAGATATTCATGAGGAAGACGTCGACTCAGAGTGGCTCGACGGATTCTGCTCACGGTCATGCATGGGCAACTGGGAAGCAGGGTGTTGGAAACAGCTAATCATGGGCCATTCGAAACCTATTAATATCAACATAGACGATGAACCTCAGGCTTGTCTAGTCAACTGACGCAGGCGCTGGATAACGCTTTGGTCTTAGCCAACTTCGCTGCTAAGATTTCCACCGACCTTTATAGGTGATGAGTGAAGGTCGTTATATCAGCAAAGGGAAGCAGGCCATACTACCGAACTCTCTTCCTTATGCTTAGAGTCTAGGACTAGAGCGCACCTCTAGATAGGAATACCCGAACCCTTCATTGTGTTATCACTCTGCCTGTTACTCGAGGCGTTCCTAACAATATCAGACTGAGTTGGCTTGACGCGCTCTTCTGGGGAGCGTTGCTCTCTGAGCGCCTGTTAGGTCGCCTGTTCTGAGTTGCGCTCATGACACTTGTCCTCAAGGGGTGCAAGAAAGAGCACTGTTGACCGTCTCGACGACACCGAACTCAAGAGAGTAATCGCTTCGATCGATTTCACAATTTATCTGTGGTGTCAACGGTTATCGATCGCTGTATTACCTAGACGGATGCCAGACACCCCTTTCAACGGCCAAAATTTATCGCATCTACAGCTCGGGTACGTAGGCGCGCCTTGTTCCTAGATGGGTCCTTAACAACTTGGGTCAAATATTCCTTAATCGACTACTTCTTCGTCGTCCATCGTTGAGCCGCCATACCGTGCTTGTACATCGTCCATAGAACACCTGAACTATGGCCAAAACGAATCCGCTCATGAGACCACTTCTGAAGGTGTTCTGCGCGCGGAAGACTGAGCCTATTGAACTCAGCCATAGCCTTCACCATCGAGGTATTGCCGCAAATTTGTTCCGCTAAATCCCATCCGTCCTTGAGGGCCAGATTTGCTCCTTTGAATTCAAAACAATTCAGCACATGGTTGGAATCTCCGATAAAGGCAACTTTACTCCATGACAGTCGTGGTGACGCTGATTTTCTCTCTTTGGCAGGGCGAATGAATACAGTGGTCGAATCTGTAGCTTCGATGATAGTCTTGAACGGCTCGTGAAACATTTTGCCAGTCTTTAAAGCTTCTGTTTTGAGGGCGTAAAATTCTTCTGTGGTGAACCTTCCGCTCTTGAGCCTGCGCTCAGTCCCTTTCTGGCTCAACGCCCAACCGATAGTCTGTCCATCGAAAGGCGTATAAATGCAACAGACACCTTCTCCTGAAGACATCTGCAGGCCGTAGTCCTCGTGTATGGGACGAGGAAGGCCGTTTGGAAGACGCGAAATACCTCCGATTTGGTTTGCACCGGCATATCCTAGTTTGTCCCCGGGTTGGAGGATGGCCCGGATTCTGCTATCTGCGCCGTCTGCGGCAACGACCAGGTCGCAATCTTGAGTAGAGGAGCTTTCGGTGTTGACGTCGAAAGTAGTGACGCGCACTTGCCCGTTTGAAAGCTGCTCTATGGACGTGCAGCTGCAAGCCCATTTCCACACAGCGCCTGTCTTCTCCGCTTCATCCAAAAGTATACGTTTCAAGTCCTGTCGAGAGATACGTATCGCAGCCGAGGGTAAGTTGTCGTAAGGTGTGGGCTCAATTGTGGCCAACTGTTTCCATTTGTCACTCCATACTCTGATGGCGCCACTGTTATGAGTTGCTTGAGCGCCAATGGCCTCGAGGAGGCCGAGTTGTCGCAATGTCACCAGGCCCTCATCCTGGCTACCCCCATGCAGACTGAGAATGTAGGGGTCTGTTTCAAGGCTAGCTTCTCGAGATTTTTGCTCAAGAACAATGACCTCAGGGCGCTTTAATGATGGATTCCATAACCTATGTAAAGCAGTCACGAACGAGGATCCCGCAATTCCTCCTCCCACCACAAACACGCGCTTCCCCTCAAGAAATTGGCCTAGCAACTCTCCCATAATCACGCTGGCGATGTTTGTCTACTGCTGCACGTCGGGCACCAACAATAGTCGATTCCGAAGCGCGACTGACTTGACTACAGCCATCCTGTTCTTATATGCCTTGAGACGCAGGATCTGGGCGAATTTCAACGTGATTTATGGACTCCACAAAGTAACAGCATCTTGCTTCGAATCGTTACCTGAGGCAGACAGAGGACGGGCCAACAATTGAACCGACTCATATGATTACGACGACTGCTTATGTTCCCTTCGAACGGCTGATGTCTACCCGACTAAGCGGTCATCGAATTTGCTCAGGGATGGGTCCAGTTGTTGTTGCTCGGGGTTTGATGCATTCGCCTCGGAGCAGCTCAGAGCCCGGATAAAATATCAATTAGGCGCCTAATACCTAGGCGGAGAAAGAACCCGAAAACGGGCCTTTGGCTCAGCTGACATATCACGGGAATTGTTTGCATGATTTCTGGAGCCGAGACGATCAGTTACCGAATAATTTAGGCTTAGTCTGCCTATCCTCTTTGAAGCATATTGAACTTGGAAATAGAAATTTGAGGGTCTTGAAACTGACTCAGGTGGACCACGGATTGATTGTCACTTGATCTGAGTCTGGGACTTGACCTTACTTGAGGTTGCACGGCAATCAGCAAGCATCGGTTTAGCTACTTGGGGTTGGCATTATAACTCTAAACAAGGCTGTAGCCCACGCTCCTGGCAGAAGGGTTGGCCCGATGCCAAAGTCCCAAAAGCAATCCGGGACCTGCTACGAGTGTGGTGGTCAACGCCTTCACCCGTTAAAAGTCCAAGCGAGGCATTTTGAAAAGAACTCATTCATCAGCAACCTACTCGTAGATTGACTCGCGCCACTCTACATCGACACCATGTCTGCGTCAAACAATCTCCGAAGCCCTGCCCGATTTGTGACCGGCCATAACATCGACGGCGCGTCTATCTTCGAATCTAGTATAGACGAACGGCCACCGACCAACAAATTTGGTGATGACATGCAAATCATGTTCTGCTACGGCACGCAAGGATTTCCCATCGACGTGAGCGAAGGAAAGGACATGCAAAACTACGAGAATCTTGTGCAAAATCCTCCGGGCATTCTTGTTCCTGATGGCTCGGCCGCTCGGATAATCGACTTTGCACCTGGCTATACGACACCAATGCATCGTAGTATGAGTCTGAATTACAACTTTGTCATCGAAGGGGAGGTAGAGGTGCTCCTCGATTCTGGCGAGTCAAGAATCCTCAAGCGTGGAGATATGTTGGTCCAGCGTGCTATCAAGCATTTTTGGAGGAATACGAGCACGACTGAGTGGGCGAGAATCACTGCTGTCGTGCTGCCTGTACAGGACTTTAGTGTTGGTGGACGAACAGTGAAGCAGGATCTATCTTCTCGCTCTGAACAGGAGGGTAAAGAGGAAGGCAATGGTACCTGAAACGTTTTGGGGTAAAGAATGTGTGACTATTTTTGGTCGATGCCATCCCGGCACGTATGCGAGCATTAACAATCCTCCTCTAATTCTCGTTTTGATTTTCCGAAATCATCTCCGTATGTGGTAAAGGACTCTAGGCTCCCATACCATTAGTTACCTAGATCAGGTAGTCATCGAACCCCATAATGATATCCCTTTTGCTCGGCACTCGCTCCAAGCAGAAATATGATGCGTAATATCAATGTAGAATGAACCCTGGTCGTTCTCGGGTCGGCGTGCGGCACGCAGTGACTACATATCTCCATCGGGGGTTGGTCTGTGAGGTTTTCCGTGGTCGGCTATTTGGAGCTACAAGTTTCCAGCTCCATCATTGTCACCCTGCCATTGTGTTATAGAGGCACTTCAGCGCTATCCTCAAGATCATTTCTGCATACACCTCATTTTTGCTCACTTAACTTTCAGTGGTTTTGTGTGTAATATCAAGTCAAAGATATGCAGCGTGGCAACATTGGAAGTGTTATAATTGCGGGCGCTGGTCCTGTAGGGCTTCTCACGGCGTTGTTTCTTGGTCAGAGGGGCATCCCTGTGGACGTGGTCGAGGCAGCGACTGAAGTCAACGATGCACCGCGAGGCCTTGCTTATGGCCCCGCAGCAGTCAGGTGAGATCACCAGCCTGTCACCCACACTAATTTCAGAAGTAACAAAGCTGTCCTCAGCGTTTTAGCTCGAGCCGGAATACTTGAAAATGTGATTGAGCGAGGTTTCATCCCGGCCGACGTATCCTGGAGAAAGCCGAGCGGCGAATGGCTGGTAGGGCTAGAGAGGCTGAACAATATGGTGGATGGGTTACCAAACACTGTGATCTTGCCCGTCGGAGCTCTGTCAACTCTTCTTGTTGAGGAAGTTCAGAAATACTCAAGCGTTACGATACACTGGGGTCACCGAGTCTTGGTCGCAAGCCAAACTGAGGAGAAAGCATGGGTGGAGGTAGAGGAGCAAAAATCGAAAGCCACGAGGAGAATGGAAGCCGACTTTGTGATTGGCTGTGATGGTGCGAGCAGTGCTGTGAGAAAATCTATCTCTGGCTCAAATTTCCCTGGATGGACCTGGCCAAACCAGCTTGTTGCGGTGAATGTAAGTAACTAGGCAAATTCTTACTCATTGAGTTACTGGCAGATTTTGCGAGGGCTAATATCACGGCAACAGGCACGAATGAACTTTGACAAGTTGAACTTTTCGGATGTTCAATGGGTTGTAGACCCGGAGAATTGGTTCGTGATTGCTAAGATCGACAAAGGAGGGCTGTGGCGCATAGTCTACGGTGAGCCAGCAGGTTTGTCAGTTGAAGAAATCAAAAGTCGTCTGCCTGACAGACTCCGCACGACGTTCCCTGGGAATCCAGAGCCAAGCGAATACCAAGTCACCAATGTGACACCGTATGTCTGCCATCAGAGATGTGCCGAGAAGATGCGAGACAACAGGATATTACTGGCAGGAGATGCCGCTCATTTAAACAATCCAATGTAAGTACATGAAGAAAATGAGGCTCCCAGGATGGCCAAGGCTTCTAAGACAGCCAATTGAAAGCTTGACCATGCTTTCAACGTGTTGGCTAACATGAAGACTCTGATAGGGGCGGGCTTGGTCTCACAACCGGTGTTTGTGATGTAGGCAGCCTTGTCGACTGCCTCTACGGCATTGACAGCGGAGAGGCAACCTTGGATATTCTCAATAAATACGATGAGATCCGCCGCCAAATCTTCGACAGAGTCGTAGACACAATGTCAACGGCGAATTTCAAACGGATTATGCAGGGTGCGGCTGAATTCCAGGAGAGCGACCTATCCTACAAGATGATAATGGCCGCGAGGACTGATATCAGCATTACCACTGCAATGAGAAAGGTGAATTTTCTTGCCTCATCTTGAAAGCTTGGTCCAGATGCTGACCTATTTGTGTTTTAGCATGACATGAGCATTGGGTGTGATATGACGCAGTTCTACAATAAGCATTAGTCGGGGTGATTGACAATCACCAAGGAAATGCATGACAGCGGAGATGACACTTGATAGTCCGCGTGGAGAGGAATAGGAGTCAATAGTAGTCAATAGGCCAACTTTGCTAGCAATTGAAGGTTAATTATACATATTTGAGAGATTTCGTAAAACAAATCCCATCTAAAGCTGTTTAGAAATGTGAGTATGCCTGCCTATCTCCGGCCAGAAGGTACAAAGGCTGCTCTGGGGTCATCTATAGGTTACCTCCAGTTCCCTAACCTCAGCAAATCAAACAAAGGGTTAAAACGACTGCCGGACGAAAGAGGAAATCCCGATATCCGGAATCCATATAACGAAACCCGGCATATCTAACGACTTGACTAAGATGTGATAGATCGGGCTAACGATAAGTCCACAGAGACATAAGATATCCTCAATATTCGGTGTTAGCCAATTTGAGTCAGTGTCCTAACGCCCGGCACGAAGCAGCCCATGTTGATGACTACAACGTAATCTATAAACACCGCCCTCGCCGCGATCGGCATAACTGTGGAATAGGGAAAGTACTTAGTAGTGCACGGATAATGCTCATCTCTACTAGCTAAAGGCTGTGTGTTTGAGCTGCCGAATCGCAAGTCCGCCATAGTTTGAGAATTAAAACTACAAAGTGTCATTTTTCTTGAGGAACACATAGTATGCCACCAGCTAAAACATAACGAGAATGATTGTCAATCTCGATGACATATCTGGGCCGCAACTACGGTCGTTGAAGCTAGCTCATGTGGTACTTAGAACCCCTGATAAGGCCGTCATGAGTCAATTTTATGTCGATTCCCTAGGCGCCACGATCGTCCACGAGAACGCGATTCCTTCTTTCATCACTTACGACAATGAGCATCACCGAATTGCTCTCGCTCAGATCCCCTCTCTGAAGCCAAAAGATCGGGGGATCTGTGGTCTAGAAGTAAGCCAAAGAATCCCATCCGACGATTCCAGCTAGGAGTGAGACGGACTAGTTGCTGTTCCCAAAGCATATTGCATTCGCTTTTGACACGTTGGAAGCCCTGTTTTTATCGTATCGCCAGCGCAAGGCCAAGGGAATTCTCCCCTTCTGGTCTGTCAACCACGGTATGACTATCAGCTTGTACTACCACGATCCTGATGGCAATGTTTTGGAGACGCAGTGTGATACTTTGGATAACGAGAGGGCAAACGAATTCATGTCGTCGAAGTCTTTCCAAGAGAATCGTATTGGAGTGGACTTCAATCTAGAGGAGATATTAGAACGCCTCAAGAAAGGAGAGTCTTTCAGAGACTTGACGCACCGACCCGATATTGGACCAAGGAGCGTTGAGACTGTACAAATGCCTTAATCTGTAGGACGCAGAATAAAAGTTGGCAAATCCTGAAAAAAAACTTGGACAACACCTTGTATGTGATCAATACTTGGGTCTCGCCTCCGTTTTTATTGTGTATGATCAAGCCTCGGACCTCCTTACTGAAAGATCTGCCGGTTGATGCTGCTGTCCTGAACTGAAAATCTCGAACATTATTTCTCTGCGCCCATGCAATCTCTATTCATTTAGACTTAGTAGCATACCACGAAGGGGAAAATATTTGCCTCTCAAGCGTTAATGTTACTAGCGACAAGCTAGTCCCTCTATAACATTTTGGCAAAATTATCGCTAAGTGCATGAATTAATCAATAGATATCCTTCTTGGTCGGCAAGGATGCAACACTTTTCATCAGTCATTGTCAGATACGAGCGTAAGCGGATTTGACCCACATAATACGCACGGAGAATTGGAGGTACCTATGGCACGAAGGAAACCCAGGTACGCCAGTGTCGTATGGTCATTCGCTTTCCCCGGGAATGTATAGGGCCGTCTTCCTACCTGTGGAGCCCCGCTCGGGCTACAATCTGGGACACCCGGGGAAGTGGTGTAATCAAACGAATTGTCTTCGCCTATTTGGGTCGGCACTCGGTTAGCAGTCAACATAAAAGGTATCTTCTTGTCCACCCCTCAGTAAGGGTAACTCATGGACATCTGCAACACACCAATTTCAGCTGGTGACTAGGCATAATGGGCTCTTATAACGCTGACCACGACGAGATTGAAACAAGGCCTCAGCGTGAAGATGGGGGACCTTCAGCACACAAGATTGGAGAGGAAGTCCTTGATGCTCGTATCCACGACGACCATGGCGATGCCCACAAGGCTGCACTCGAGGACGCCGATGCTGACGGTCATGTTGCGGCATCTACTTGGGCTGCAGTGTTTTTTCTGGGATTCACTTTCATACCGGCATTGAGTTTTACCCTCAACTCGTTTGTACCTGTTGCATCTGTGGTGGCATTGCAATTGCAAGACAACCTCCATAATCTGAATTGGATTTCGGGTGGTTTTTCTCTTGGAGGTAGTGTCGCTTTTGCAATTGCAGGCCAATTAAGCGACTACTTGGGCCGAAAGGACATTATTCTCGGTGGCCAAACATTTCTCCTCGTTGGCCACCTCGTTGGCGCTACTGCCCAGACTTTGGATCAAGTCATTGCTGCCATGGTGCTACTTGGGCTTGGAACTGGTGCAACTTTTGTGTAAGCTCAAATACTACTGACACCATGTCAAAATCCGCTTGCTAATGCTTCAATCTCTTAGTACCTACGCGGGAATCTCAGAGATCTTACCCCATAAGTGGCGAGCGTTTGGTCTCGCCACCACCGAGGTTTTCCTCATGGCATTGGGTACTTTTGGGCCTTTGACTGGTCGCGGATTAACACAGAACGTGACATGGAGATGGCTTTTTATACTCGGCGACATCACTGCGGTTATTGCTATGGCAGGGACTTTGATTTTCTATCACCCTCCTTCTCAGGTTTTTCAGGATCGCACAAAGCTTCAAGTCTTAGGCGAGCTGGACTACTTCGGCCTTTTCCTCTACACGGCAGGGGTTACACTATTTCTTCTCGGCATCGGCTGGGCCACACAACCATATGCTTGGACGAGTGCAGCTGTTCTTGCACCACTTCTGATCGGCATCGTTCTGTTCCTTGCTGCTTTTGCTTGGAGCTTCTCCGGCCGACCAGGCAGGCCACTTCTACCATTGCGATTGTTCAAACAGTGGAGGGCATACACTATCATCGCCATCATCGGGTTTACCTCAGGCCTTGCACATATTGCGCTGGTCACGTTCGTGCCGCAGCAAATTGCTTATGTCTTCACTAGCGACCCCATTCTCGCTGGTTGGTACAATGTTCCCGTTGGATTTGGCGCATGTATTGGGGGTGTTCTGCTTGGGCCTCTCATCCCTCGAATCAAGCACGTTCCTCTTCAATTTCTGGCTGCCAATGCTATCCAAGCCGTTTCATGTGGTCTTTTGGCCATTGTAACTCCCAGACGTATTGCGGGCGGCATAGTCATTCAAGCCATATCGAATCTTCCCTTCACATGGATCATCGTCTTGAGCTATACGAGTGTGGGTCTACATGTTCCTCAACGGGAGCTTGGCCTCGCATATGGTTTGCTTGGGGCAATTCGATACCTTGGAGGTGCAGTCAGCAGCACTATTTTCAACACTATTCTTAGTGCTAAGGTCGGCCACTACCTCCCGACAAGGGTCGCAAGTGCGGTTGTACCACTTGGATACCCGGTAAAGGACATTGAGAAGTTGATACAAGCTCTGTCGTCTCATGTACCTGCAAGGCTAGCGGCATTTCCTCCTGACGTGGTCGCTGCCGCAGCCGATGCAATGCGCTGGGGGTATAGTGATGCGTTCAACTGGATTTGGTATGCCGCAATTCCATTTTTTGTCGTGGCTTGCTCCATATCTCCATTTGTCTTGGACCCTTCACCCTACTTTACAAACCACACCGCTGTTGCGTCTACCGATGAGAGCATTGTCAGTCGACTTACGCGAAACCGTCGCAAGGCTGAGAGGTCCCTCGATATTGAGAAGGAAGTTCGTGTTGAACAAAGAGAATGAGACAAGATGCACCATAGGTTGGTGGGTAGGACCTTGTATCGCTCGGCAGGATATTTTGAGGGCCCAACTGGTCATGGTGGTGCCACCATGTCGATATAAGCCGAGTTTTGAGACGTAAGCATTCACAGTGTGACGCCGCCATCAACTTAGATAGAATCTAATGAGACGCAGCTACCTCGCGAATAATGAATAAGGGATCTCAACCCTGAACTGTAGGACTGAGAATGAGACTCGTCGTATAGCACAGGAAGTCTGTTGAATGGTTTTGAATTCTGTTCATTTAAGGGGAAGATAATGAAGATAAAGGGATGTAAATCCGAGAGAGCATGAGGCCTCTCCACTCTTTAGTAGGACAAGATTAGATGCTCTGTCTGGCAATAGCCTGCAAAAATATAATTTCAAGGGTAGTTTGCCAGTCTAAGTCTACAGTATGGACCTCCTCAATCGTCAACACTATCATTGCTCGGTGTCCAAGGACCATACGGTCAGTGGTAGTCACTAATCAGAGAATGCTCAAGAGTGAGGTCCCACACAGCGCAACTATTTAGGAACGGCTATTCAGAGTAAACTGCCGGATCTTGTCCTTGTATGCCTCAGCTACCGCGAGGGCCGCCTGTTGTCTTTCGAACTTCGCATTCTCCACCTGCGGCGACATAGGTGGCTCATGCCAGATCAAGTCATGCACATTTCCTTCCACGGTTCCCCCAGTACACCCCTAGTAGTCTAGGCACAGACTGTAGCGCCTTTTCGCGGCAGATCGGCGCGCGGAATGGAAATAAACTTTGAGTGTAGCGCCAAATTTGTCCTGTAGCGTCATATTTATTGTAGCGCCAAATGTTCTGTGGCTTAGCCTCGTGATAACGTAATATAGCCTCGCCTCGACCTTTTAAACGATTGACTCTTCCATCCTAGCTGATCCTTCCAAGACTCGACTTCATGGGTACGCGGTTATCTTATCTTCCCTTTGCATCATGATCTCCTCTTCCCAGCTTCGCAGCTATAATCTTACGATAAGCGCTCCTGAAAACGCGTTAATTTGTACGCTATGTCAACGCGCTCTACGTATTGATCCGAGGTTTGTCTGGTAGCATCTTTCTTAGGTTCACTCGATCGACAGCTCGCGTCGGTCCCAGTTAGAAAACCTCACGACACTCAATCTCACGGATATCTCTTAATTGACGCCTCGAAACGATCTATCTTAAGAGAATATAGCCCTGGCCACGGTTTCTAGATTCGCGTGCGGCCACTGCTTGACCCGAACAACTAGCCAACAGCTTCTAGGGCGATATCTCTTCGCCCACTATCGCATAGAACAGTCCGATGCCACTGACGGTCAAGATTATTGATGTGTCCTCCTACAGCGGTGGGCCATTACCGGCCCGAGAGCACGACAATACTAGATCGTCACTCTCATTAGCAGTGTGGCGCCTTTAATGAACCCTGTTTCTCGCAAGCGAAAGCGTTTCCAAGTTAGCCACTAGAAGCCGTCCCGACCGAGAATAATGAGTGCCGTGAACACGCGAACTTAGCTATAGCCCTCCCCTTCTTCACTGTTGACTCTTCTCTTCATGATTCATTAGGAGGAAAAAGAACGAATCGCGTTCTCTCACTCAATGTTTAATCTGCGGTCGCAGAGCGAGTTAAACCTCACTCCTTGATTTGAGCGAACAGACTAGATCGCGACTTACGCTCACTTTCCTTGAGAGACCCTCTTCCGGATGACCCAGCTACCAACTCGACAGTTACGAGGAGAAGGTTTCACGTTAGATGAGCTCTCTTCAAGCTATAAATTTTCTGCATCTCAGGGAGTTGAAATCCACAGTTTATATGGAGACGAGACTCGTATTTATTCAGTTCTGGTTATTATCGATAGTATCTTTGACCGATGTGAAGATACTGTTCGCGCGACACCGCATGTCTTTCTTTGCTGGTTATAAAGTTAAGAGCCTAACTAAGTGTTTAAGCGGCCCTTTTAATTAGTTCTTCATAACTTAACTCGATAAAGATACCGACAATACTGGAAGAGATATCTCGTATTCTGTCTTCGCTATATATGACTCTTGAACACTACCTAATTCAGTCTGGGTATTTTAATCATAAGCGATCAACGAGATCTTATATTAAGGATATGAGATTAAATGATAGCTCAAGATCTAAGTCACTCTTCTTAGGAAGATAGTACTATAGAGGATCAAGATAAGGATCAAGATGAGGATCAAGATGAGGATCAAGATGAGGATTAAGACGAGAATGAGGGGGCTAAAGAAGATATTGAAGATATTGAAGACAATAAAGAAATAGATGAAGATAATTACTTCTTTAAAGGAGAAGATCATCTAATTGTCGGGCCTGATATCTTAGACAATTTTGACAACACTGTCGGCCCTCAATTATTAGGTCTAGATAATACCCAATCTTACTCACCTTCTCTTTCTGATCTGGTCTTTTAACTGAGTGTCTCACTCTGCACACAGGAATACACTGATGGTCGCCCTTAGTTCATCACTCTGGTCTTCCTCAGCGATATTTTAGGTTTCACGGTAGAAGGGTAGGGATATCACTGTTCGCGAGCGTATATATAGACCCTTGCTGCGTTGATCCACCAGCAGACTCTTCTTCTCCTCGAATCGACACTTCCCATATCCGGCTACCTCGGCTTAGGGATCTCGGCTCGACCGCGATGAGGACAGCTTATCTATCTTTAAGCAATACGGCGACGGTATACTTGTGGCGGGTGCCTTACCTCCCTTCTCGAGTTCACTGGTCTCCTGGCCTTTAGTCGTCACTTTCTCGACTTTGAAGGATCGATATTCTTCTTTCATTGGAGTGATGACGGTTAAACTCTGTTGTTCGCGAAGTATTAACTGTCATTGCAGTTATTTCGGTTTTTTGTATATGGCCTTGTTGATTAGGCTTCGACTCTTCGCCGCTAGCTTATATATAATTGGTCTCTCTCTTATGATCTTCATTTTATTCGGGACCTCATTAGCCACACGACGCCGAGATATTCCTTCGTTTAAGAAGCACAGAATGGTCTTCGTGACGCCTATCTGCATCTCTTCACCCATGCCTGTCAACAGGGGCTCATTAAGTATAACCAATGAGTCCACGCCGCGGTTTAGAAGTATCTCCGACTTTATGAAGACTTTCTCGTCCTTCTCTTTTAGCTGTTCTTTATCTGCGGTGGCCAGTCTCTCTGTATCTACGATCTAACGAGTCTCGAAGCCTGGAACGGGCTGACTAACGCCCGTGGGATCTATGTTTATAGAGGATCAATCCTCTTCATTAGCCATGTATCTAAAAGTCAGCGTATCACTCATCGTGAGTTTTACGCCGCTCGCTTTCTTTCTCTCTTCGTTGGTTAGCTGGTTTACTACTACATGGTCTTTATTCAGCTATTCATCGATCTCCTCCTCCGCTAGTGTCTTGGCCACAGCACCATGAGCCATCTATTCGCTTCCAACTCTTTCATTGCCCACCAATCTCTTTCTCGCCCTTAGATAGCCGGTGACATAACTCGATGACTTCGCCAAACAAGTCAACCCATTCTTCGCGTCCCCCTCGATATTCAGCTCTATCGACAGGCCACCATCGCCATGACCGAAAAGTATCTACGACATATAATTTAGCCAACGGATATATATCATGATGTCGGCCCTTAGGCTTCTTCGTGCCGCGTTCTCGCTTAGCAGAGTGGATACCGACCACTTTAATGTGCCGTTAATTATAGTATCAACGCTGATTTCCCTAGTAGGCTGTAACCTACTCTCCTAGAGCGATATCGCTAAGTCTCCCGGCAGTGGCACGAGTTCCTACCCAATATGAGACCGAGGGCATTACCGTTACCCTTCCTCTTTGGGCAATCATGATAGCACGTGACTGCCAAGACATTACTAGTTCAGGAAAAAACTACATCAAAACCCAACACCAAAGCCCAATGTTCATCCTCCCTTGATTTTCAAGTGATGTAGACCCAATCAACTACTTTTTTACAGTATCAGACTCGCCGAGTTTAATTCTGATCTTTGATTAATATGAATCGTGATGGTTATAGAGAAATCAATGCCGTCAAATCATTAGGGTTTCGTGGATTCAGGCCGCGATGAATTTCAGTTGGAAACTACCCAGCCACAATCGGCCGACGCCACATGCCTACGCCATCCCTACCCATGACACACCACCACCACCACCAACTAACATCGTAGTCACAGAGCTAGACGACCCCATACTATATAATCGTGTATATCGTGTTCTTATCTGCACCACTCACCATTACGCCCTACGAAATCTCGCGCGACATCTGCTGAATGAGCATACTCTCCCGCCGAGACGACGAAAGGAGATTATCGCCGCGCATGCTGATGATGATTGTGTGTCGCCCGAGCAAATCGAGTCGCCCATCGAGCTGGTTGACCCTATTAAGGGGTTGGCGGCGCCGGTCACCGTCTATCAATGTCAAGCCAGTATATGTCGAGTCATTCAGGGTAATCATGATAATATTCGAAAGCACGCCAATCGAGAACATGGCTGGCGGAAGTCTCGGGATCAACCAACATATTGGAACATCGTTCAAGCCCAGACCTTCTTTACCAGTCGTAATCTCATCAAGTACTTTGTGGTTCGAACCGATCACGGCGAGACTCATCACCTCGATGCTAATCAGTCCACTTTGAATGTCGATCACTCGGTTCCCCGTCTAGCACTACAGAGAACACCATCCCATCTCCATAAAGAAGAAGTGGAGCGCATCAAACTCGAGTGGTCAGCCGCTCGTGCACGGTACGATGAAAAATTGAAGGTAATGGATGAGGAGACCCTGAAACAAGATCGGACTGGATGGTACAAGCACACCGAATGGCCCGAGCACTTGGCGAAGCGGAGCTTGCGATTCTTGGCCCATGCCAGCCGACTCCCAGATCGAGATGAAGTTGTGCTGCACGAGGCTGTACGAGTACTGGATCTTGTACTGCAATGTGCGGTGGTGGGTCTCTCAACATTGGAGCAGGAGCTTCGACGGTGGCTTCGTAGCGCCAAACAGGGCGAACCTGATGTCCGACCATTCTCTCGACTACAAGAACCGAACAGCCAAGACCGATATCACGGCTATATGCGACGCTTTCTGTGTCTCGTCTTACGGGTATGGCTATCTTCACAGGACCCCCAGCAGCTTGACCAACCGAATTCGAGTTCATCACCGGAGTCTCGACCAGACCCAATCATCGAAACCCATGAGACGCTGTCGGAATCGGTGGATGATAGCGAGGATGACAAGGAGGAGGATGATGATCAAGGGATAGCCTTAAGTAGCGAAAGTGAGGATGAGAGCGAGACCGTCGATCGAGAGAAGTCTATCGACCCAATGAAGGATGCTCGTGAGTTGTTTCCGTGGCAGGGTGAGCAGTGGACACTAGTATCACAACTCTATGATCAGCTCACATCATCGGAGACGACATCAAATGTCGACCTCGAAGAGATCTCCCCGGCAGACAAGGCTTCAATGCAAGCGATGTTGAGGGTCTTTCAGAGTTTCATTTTTCAGAAGGTCGGTGGCCAGCAGTTCAAGAGCGGGTTAATTCATTTTTTGGCCGTGCTGGGCATCGACGAGGACAACAATCGACTGCGACGAGCGTCCGACTTCTCATACGTGTTGGCTGGGGTGGTGTACTGTGTTCGGCTACTCGGAGTGGAGATCTTACTCCCGTCACAACATCGCGATGAACAAGAGGATAACGACGACGTCCGTGAGCGCTTTCTCGAGCAGCGCCGACAATATCTGGCTGATGGCAGTGGCACCCCAATGAGTAAAATGCTCAGTTTACTGGCATACAGTAAACATATCGCGATGGACACAGGCAATGCCGGCAGTGTGTCATGGTCTCGGGACAAAAAGACACTCTACTTTCGCGGACGAGCCATTGAGATCGCGCTGTTCCGGAAGATGATTGTCGATGCCATCGGACGGGCTGAGGACATGCTATGGCGGGACCTGATGTGGGTGGAGGATGTACAGGACCGATTCGAGGTGGATTTACACTCTCTCGTGGACGATGTGACCTTTACTCGGCGGGGGATTTCATTCATCAACAAGAGCAGCAACGGTCTCAGTCACGGCTTAGACTGGATGCTCGAGCGAATGCTGTCTCAGCCACCGACGCAACGGCTCCGTACCCAGGGCCACTGGCGAGCTCGTCGGATCCGGCGCTATCTCCGTCGTGTGGATGACTTCTTGCGACTACTACTGTTTTGTGTGCACACCACGTCCGGTCAGCCCGCGCGCGGCACGGAGATCACGAGTATTCGCTTTCAGAATGGCTGCCTGCAGGACCGAAATGTGTTTGTGATTGACGGCCAGGTGGTGATTGTGACGCGCTACCACAAATCCCAGTCTCAATATGATCGCCCTAAGGTCGTGCCGCGCTTTACCCCATGGCGGGTCGGACAGATGACCGTCATCTATCTCGCGTTCGCACGACGGCTTCGAGAGCATCTACTGGTACAGGTTGAAGGTCAGGGCTGGAGTGATCACATCTGGTGCCACGACAAAGGGATTTGGGACACGGACCGCATGACCAGGATTATCCGGCAGGAGACGGCGATGGGGATTGGTCACGGCTACACCACGTTGGACTATCGTCACATTGCCGTCAGTATCGGGCGTGTCACGGTGGGAGAATCATTCGCGTCGGGCTACAAGGAGGAGATCGGCGAAGTCGAGGAACCGGAGGTCGACGAGGAGAGCGGGTTGGATCTGCAGAGTGGCCGTGGCGAGAAGCAAGGGTCATTGAAGTATGGTGTGCCGGTGGACATTATTGCGTATCTGTCCGTGCGGTCTCTCGAAACCTTCCGCCCTCTCAGCGAGGGTTGGCACCAGTTTCTCGGGCTCAAGAGTACTGCCGTGACCGAATTGCGTCCCGCGAATCTGGCCACGAAGACCAGCAAGCGCGCTCGGACCTTGACCAGCGCGAACGAGAACCCACCGGCTCTCTGGCGACCACCATTCGCCTCTACTTCTTCTTTGGTGTGCCATCAGCCGAGCTCCGCCGAGTCTCCCGGTCACGAGGGTACCGTGAGACTGGCCCACGCCACCGGGATAGCCACCGTCCGCCACGAGGAACGCGAGGCCCAGGTGGCCCAGGCCATGCGGCGGCTTTTTGGAGGAGATGCGACGGGTCATGCCCAACCATTTCGATCACGAGAGCAAGAGGAAGGGGTCGAGGCGGTACTCCGGCAGGAGAGTCCCGTGGTCGTGGTGTTGCCCACCGGTGGTGGTAAGACGGTGCTGGCGATGGTGCCGGCGTTGTTGGACGCCGAGGGAGTCACGGTTCTCGTGGCGCCCTTTCGTGCCTTGGTCGATGACATGGTTCGGCGATTCCGACAGGCCGGGATCGACTGCCGTGAATGGCGGTTTGGAGAAGTCAACCCGGCGACCGTGGTCGTGGTTAGCGCGGACATCGCGGCGAGCTATGGGTTTTTGAGTTACGCGCGAGAGCTTCAACGACAGGGTTTTCTCCGTCGTATCTTCATCGACGAGTGCCATCTGACCTTCACGTCGAGCGACTGGCGGCCCAAGCTCTGGCAGCTTCGACAGCTCCGCACACTTTCATGCCCGATGATACTCCTCACCGCGACCCTCCCACCGCTACTGGTGTTCGAGCTCGAGGAGGTTATGCTGGTCCGCAATGCTCGACTCATCCGTGGGTCGACCATCCGAGCGCAGCATCGCTATCAAGTTCAGACTTGCCGGCCCGGGGCACTTTTGGCCGAAGCGGTCCGACTGTGTCTTCGGCGCAAGCCCCATCTTCGGCGCCAGAAAGGGGTGGTCTACTGCTTAGCCCGAGAGGACTGTCGAGGCCTCGCGGAGGAGTTAGACTGCCCTTATTAC